ATAATAATAAGAAGTAAGTAATTATATAGCACATACTTAAGCTAAATACATAAGAATTTCCCCCTAGCTAGTAGCTATAGCTAATATAGCTAATTCTTTACATGCTAAGTATAATATAGGCTATATTAGTATAAACTAGCCTAATATGTTTATTAAGCACTACTTAAAGCTTAAAGTAAAGTTTAAGTGTAAGTATAACTATAAAAAAGCTTTTTATAAAAAATTTATAGTAATTTAAAGCTAGTTTAACTTTATAAAGAATATTAAAGCTAAGTATAGTATTTAAAATTATAACATATATAACTTTAATAAAATAAAGTTTATAATAAGCTAGATATCTACTAGAGTAGTTATTATAAGTTTAAAGAGATAAAAATAGCTAAAAGGAGTTTAGCTAAGTAACTAGAAGTAGACAACAGCTATTTAGAGCATTAATGCTAAAAAGTAGGCTATTTTACTTTTTCTTATTTTTTAAAGTAGTAATTACTTTTTAAACTAGTATAAAAAAAATTACTTTAAAATTAAGTTATTATAGTCTGTAAGCATAGCTAGACTACTAATTAGCTTAGTCTAGACTAGTTAAAGCACTTTAACATATATATAAAGAAGTGTACTATTAGTAGCTACTATTTACTAGTTATTAACAGCTATAAAAGCTATAACTTACTTTATTTTTAGTAATACTATAAAGATAATAAAATTATTACTATTTATATACTTTTTTACTTATTATACTTTTTATAGCTACTTAATGTAGGTTATTTTACTTTTTTAAAAAAAAGCATATAAGCGCTAAGCTAAAAACTTTATATATAACTAAATTACTTATATTATAAAAATAAAGTTTCTACTATGCTTTAAAGTAGCCTATAGTGCTATAATTACTTTTAGTAATATCTAAAAAAAGTTTTAAAGCGCTAAATTAGTTTCTTTTAACTTATAATAAGTTATAATAGGCCTTAATATAAAGTTACGCACTTTATTACTACTACTACTTATATATACTAAGCCTTAGTAGTTATAAACTTTAAGTAATACTTTAAAGCTTAAGTTAACGTACTTTACAGGCAAGTTACTTACACACCTAAGTTGCTTACTTTTGCTAGGACTCTACTAAACTACTCTTTCTACACTAATATATTCCTAATAATACTACTTAAATATGCTAAAAGAATGTTAGATATAGCTTATGCTTTAAGCTTTTAAATAAAACATAAAACTTTTAAAAAAATGTGCTACAGCTATGTATAAAGTCTTTTAAAAGATAATAAATAACTATAGCACTAGACAACTTTTATAAGCTAATTCTATATCTAACTTATAAAAGCTAGGTAATAAGAAGAAGTAGGTAATTATTAAGACTATACTTTAGCTATATATATAAGAATTTTCTCTTTAGATAGCATTTATAGCTAATATAGCTAATTTTTTACATGCTAAGTATAATTTAGGCTATGTTAGCATAAACTAGCTTAGTATGTTTATAAAGCATTATTTAAAGCTTAAAGTAAAGTTTTAAGCATAAGTATAGTTAATAGATATTTAGCCTATAATAAAGCTTATATTACTAAAGTTATATATGTTATTATCTTAAATACTATACTTAGCTTTAATATTCTTTATAAGGCTAAATTTACTCTAAATTACTCTAAGACTTTTATAAAAAGCTCTTTTATAATTATACTACACTTAAATGTTACTTTAAAGTCTAGATAATACTTCCTAAATATACTAAGCTAGTTTATACTAATATAGCCTAGATTACACTTAGCGTGTAAAAAATTAGCTATATTAGCTATAAATGCTATTTAAGAGGAAAATCTTTACATATATAGCTTAAGTATAGTTTTAATAATTACCTACTTTTTTTTATTACTTAGCCTTTATACGTTAGTGTCGCGTACAGCTATCCGTCTATATACATCCTTCTGCTGTGCTAGCTAGAAGGTTAACCTTTTAGCAAACGCAACAGTTATAAGCCTAGTTTACAGCGTAGTGTAAATAGTTAGCGCTTAAAAATTTGCACACTCCTACTCTACTAATAGGATTACATTATTTTTAAGCACTGCGTGTTTAATTCCTACGCTTAGCAAAAAGCATTTAGGCAGTGCGTCTATTACAGAGGCTACCTTACTAGATCTGTCTCTAAGTTCTGTTGCTTAGGCTAGGGAGAGTGTGTTAAAGTTATTTTACTATGTTTTACCTCTCTTGTTCTACAGTTTAAGCTAGGGGGTGTGTTGCGTACAGCTATCTGTCTATATATATCCTTCTGCTGTGCTAGCTAGAAGGTTAACCTTTTAGCAAACGCAATAGTTAGCTATAAAATTAGCTTATAAAAGTTATCTAGTGCTATAGTTATTTATTATTTTTTTAAAAAACTCTATACATAGCTGCAGCATGTTTTTTTAAAAGTTTTATATTTTATTTTAAAGCTTAGAGTGTAAGCTATATCTAACATTTTTTTAGCGTGTCTAAGTAGTGTTATTAGAAATGCATTAGTGTAAGAAAGGTAGTTTAGTAGAGTCTTAGTAAAAGTAAGCAACTTAGGTGTGTAAGCAACTTGCCTGTAAAGTACGTTATAATTAATGCTTATAAAAATTAAAATTTAAAAGCATATAAATAGTTTACTAACTTTTATAGTTAAAGTGTTTAAAAAAAGTTTAAAAAAAGTAGTAATAATTACACATAAGCTAGTGTTAGTATAATAAAAAATTACTAAGCTTTAAGTAGCTAATATAGCTACTATGTAACATAAATTACATAAAAAAGTAAATTAAAGTAAAAAAAAACTTTAATAATTTAAAAAGGCCTACACTTAACAGCTTTAAAAGAGTTTAAAGCGTACAGTAATAAAAAAAAGTAAAAAAGCAAGTGTAAGCTAAAGTAAGTAAGCTATTCTAAAAGCGCTATAGACAGTGTAATTAGACTAGGCATAACACGTAAACATGTAAGTAAGAAGTAGAAGTAGTATCTAAATAATATTCTAAGCTGTACTGTACTATATAGTGCTAGAGCAGGTTGTTATAGGCTATAATAGAGTTTGTTAGGGTGTAGTCTTAGCAAAAGTAAGCAACTTAGGTGTGTAAGCAACTCACCTGTAATGTACATTACTAAAAGTAATAATTTACTTATAAAAAAGTAAATAAAAAATAAAAAAGCAGCCTAGTAGCATAAAAAAGCTTTTAACTATAAGATAAAAGTAAACTAATAGTCTTAAGTAAAGCTAAAGTATAGAGAGTATAAAAAAAAGTAACAACTATAAATAAATAAAGAAAAGAAATATTATATATAAAAAGCTTACCTGCACTATTAAAAAAGGCATTTTTAATAAAACTACCTAAAAAACAAAAATTAAAGTCTAAATTAAAAAAAATAGTAGTAATAGTAGTTTTACACAGAAAATAACACTATAATAAGTAAAGAAATTATAATAAAAATAGACTAAAAACTATGCTAGTAATATAAAAGAAACTACTAAAGTAAAAGATGTGTAACCTGATAATATAAGCTAAAGATACTTAATAGATTAAGTATATATCTAGTAATATAAAACACAGCAGCATATAAAGAATAAAAGAACTAAGATAATATAAATGCTTTTATATATAATGTTTATAAAAGATATAAGAACCTTTTAATTAAAGTTAAATATAAAAAACATAGTATAAGAACTCTAAATAAAAGTAAACTAAGCTAAGTACTAGCTATACAAGTTACTATAACACACACTAATATAATGTAAATTTAACTTCTATAACATAAAAGTATAGAAAACTTATAAAGTTTAAAAGTTTATATAAAAAGTAACTTTTAAAAACTTTAGACTATAGTTAGTTGTAAATAAAATAATTCTTTAATAATATAATTAAAAAATATATAAAATAACTGCTAGTCTAAATCTAAAAACTATAATATAAATAAAAATATAAAAAATAAAAAATAACTTCTTTACTTTCTATAGCTTTAGAAAAACTTACTATATAAAAATAATATAAAAAAGAATAACAATGCACATTATATAGATTATACAAACACTTAGTACTGTAGCATGTTGCTTTAAAAGTGTTGCGTCTTGTTTAAAAGCCTAGTGTGTAAGCTGTATCTAACATTCTTTTAGCATGTCTAAATAGTGTTGTTAGGAATGTATTAGTATAGAAAAAGTAGTTTAGTAGGGTCTTAGCAAAGTAAGCAACTTAGGTGTGTAAGTAACTTGCCTGTAGTGTACGTTCTTAGTTATTGTTAGCCTTAAACATTACTACTTTATTTAATATTTAGACTTATAGTTTAAACTTTTATAATTTTTTTTATAGCTTTTAGGTTATAGAAGCATATAGAATGCTTTTAGCTTTTAGGTAGTTTAGTTCTCTAATTCTAACTCTTCTATATTCAATTTAGGTTCTGTAATATGCTATACGTATTTACTACTACAAGTTACTTGCTCTGCTCTCTAATTTCACATTTATGAATTAGCGTAGTATGTTATATAGTAAGTTAAATAAGCTTATAGACTACATTAAAATAATTCTTAGCTCTATTACTTTAGATGTTACAGTGTAATAATTAGCTAATTATAAGAATTACTATGGTTTTCTAACTGTTATAGTTACACGTAGTAAGGGCCCCTCTAGTTAGTTGTGCAGTATAGCTGTATTCACGAACCTAGACGTTACCAGTTGAAAAAGCTGTTCTAGAACGTACTACTCTTGTTGAACACGCTGAGTATATTTCCCCTATTTTCATATCTGATATAGCACCTTCAAACCCGAGTAGGAAGACAATCTAGTGTAGCAGCACATCAACATGTTGACTGATATGACATTTCTAACTTGACCTTCCCAGTAAAGTATCAGCAGCTGTTTCCCTTTGCAGGATATGTTCCTCTAACTATATTCACAAATACCACTGGGAGCAAGACATTGGGGGAAGCTATCATAGCGAAATTAAACTCCACAGCAGAACGCCATCATTGAATTTGCCCTATTGCAAGGACTTGGCGTGAATTAGGCCTCGAAGCATGAAATTGGCGGCTTACAAATCACGGAAAGAGCGGTTCGTGGGAAATAGAAAAAGTCAACAGTAAATGCACCGAAGTGCTTGAGCCCGACCGCCATGTTCCTAGTTGAACAAGCAACCCCCTAGCGAGGTTTCTCAAGATTAGAAATGTTGTATGTACACGGGCTAGGCATATTGCCGAATTTCCTGTAACATGATAAGCACAAGATGTCCTCTCAACGACACAGCGAGCTTTGGCATCTACCGGCCACTTGATGAGAAGGTCGAGCACGAAATACCACAGCATGATGGGCCCGAAACGGGAAAACCACACTGGTGTGGGGCGTCCATATGACATTTGTACGTAGCTGGCTTGACTTTCATTCACTGAAGAGAGTCGATAATATATTGTACTAGACAGCGTATAGAAAGTTGAAGCTAGTCGAATAGGATCTGGAGTTGCGCATATCTCTGTAGTGGCTGCCCCCGATGGAGTAATCAGAACAAGCCGGGTTAGCGGGATATACCAGCTGTAGTGGAGTGCACCATTCGGCTTGGAACACCAAGCATTGCGTCCGCGATAATAATGCTATTCATAGTTCCAAGTGTTTCTGCTTGGAGCAATGCTCCTTGTAATCCCTGTCTAGTGTGTTTCTTTCTGGATATTGATAGGTAGCGAAGGATATTACGCACGATTTCCCGGCGTGCTGTTCTCCCGATCCTATTACACTGGAAGCCTTCCCATCAAGAGTTGGCTTGAGGGCTGCTCCATTTCCCTCTGGCGTGCGCTTATGGTTAGTAACGTGCACATGATATAACATCCCCAAGACACTAACCCTCGTAGAAAACTAGGCATCTTGTTTCAAGCCTCCCACAGTGATGAGGAACAGGATCCAGAGGAAGGTTAGGAGAAGGGTGGCTATCCTGGTCAGCCGCGTTATAGCCGGGGAAGCAACAGCAATATCATCAAGGTTAGGACTGGTACCTCTAGACTTTCTCGCCGCATTGAGAATTAGAGCACCCTTCTCAATAGTGAAGACATGTTGATGGACATTTCTGCGAGTGATAACGTAGCAGTGTTTCGAGTATCTTCTGCAATTGAGCTTACTCACACGTCTATTGTGGGAACGAGCTTGTGGCAACCGCAGGCAAAGACCTAATAGCTGTGATATTTAGTATAGTCAAATTCTGGCGAGGTAGGATAACAGGACATGCAGCAATGAACGTAAATTATGGAGGCTGGGGCTTTTGGAGCGATCATAGGAGGTACTACCACTGCTTTTATCGCCCAGATTGCAGAGTCATCCAGATATTCTCGACTAAATTATTATCATCAGCATAGAAGTAGGGTGGATTGAGATAGAATTAATATCGGGGAGAAACCTGTACGGTAATTAACTTAGCCCATGTATTTTAGGCATGTCAAGCAATCAGATATACATACCAGACACTCAGCGCTTCCAACCGTACGTACTACGACTCAGAAAAGTGAATAGTTACGGTCACGTGAGCCGTACAAACGTAAGAGGATTGTCAATTGTAACGTACAACTAAGAGAGGTCCCCTTACAGTTTGTAATACGTCTTAGAAAGTTAATTTTTCCTAGTAATATAGGACCTAATTAGACATCTATAGGCAAGCGTTAGAAGGGCGTTTAAGGGGGCGTTTTTAAGTAACAATAGGTAAAAACTCTATTATGTGCTACAAGCAAGAATGTGTTAAAGAGGGGGGGCTAGAGTATTAAATCTTATGTAAATAGTTAACTTTTTTACGCTTTATATTATCCTTTAGTTATAATTTGCTATTTTTATTTATTATAAGCTAATTATCTTAATTCCTCTAGCATAGTAGGTGTACAGCCTTATCTTAAGCTAGCTTCTTTTAAGCTAGCTCTTTTTAACAAGCTAAAGTAGCTTATTACACTAGTTTTTATTATCTTACTTACTTAAAGGCTTTATTATTCTCTTTATTTATTAGCTTTTATAATAGGACGCTAGTAGTTAAATTTATAAAAAAGTTCTTAGCTAATAATTATTTTAATAATAGCATAAACTTTTTTATTAAGTAAAATAACTTTTAGCTAATAAATAAAAAGCTTTTACTAAAAAAGCTTAGTTACTATGTTAAATATAAAAGCTAGCTTTATAGGAATTGTCCTATTTCCTTTATATAGCAGCATAGGGCAGATTTAGTGTATAAGAATAATAAAGGCGTCCTTTTAAAGCTTTAGTTATGCAAGAGATGCTACATATAAGGCCTTTAAGCTAGAGTAAAACAGGTTAATAGCTATAACTATATTATTAGCTATTTTAAAAAGAAGCACTAAGTTAATGCTAATAAAAGTTTTTTACCTAATAGGCTATAGCTTCTAGCTAATTCTTTTAATACTACTTATAAAGTTGCTAAAGAGGGGCATATTATTACTTACACTATCTAGTAGAAGAAGTCTTTATAGAAAGTAGTTATTAACTAACATACTTCACAGGCAAGTTACTTACACACCTAAGTTGCTTACTTTTGCTAAGACCTTACTAAACTACTTTTCTTACACTAATGTATTCCCTACAACACTACTTAGATGTGCTAAAAGAATATTAAATATAGCTTACACTCTAAGCTTTTAAATAAAACATAAAACTTTTAAAAAAATGTGCTATAGCTATGTGTAAAGTTTTATAAAAAATAATAAATAACTATAGCACTAGATAACTTTTATAAGCTAATTTTATAGCTAAATTATAAAGGCTAAGTAATAAAAAAAAGCAGGTAATTATTAAGACTATACTTAAGCTATATGCGTAAAAAATTTCCCCTTAAATAGCATTTATAGCTAATATAGCTAATTTTTTGCGCGCTAAGCATAATCTAGGCTATGTTTATATAAACTAGCCTAGTACGTTTATAAAGCGTTATTTAGAGCTTAAAGTAACATTTAAGCGTAAGTATAACTATAAAAGAGCCTTTTATAAGAGTTTTAGAGTAATTTAGGGTAGGTTTAGCCTTATAGAGAATATTAAAGCTAAGTATAGCATTTAAAATAATAACACGTATAACTTTAGTAAGATAAGGTTTATAATTAGCTAAATATCTCTTAACTATACTTATACTTAAAACTTTACTTTAAGCTTTAAATAATGCTTTATAAACATACTAAGCTAGTTTATGTAAACATAGCCTAGATTACGCTTAGTGTGTAAAGAATTAGCTATATTAGCTATAAATGCTATCTAAGAGGAAATTTCTTACGCATATAGCTTAAGTATAGTCTTAATAATTACCTGCTTTTTTTTATTACCTAGCCTTTATAATTTAGCTGTAGAATTAGCTTATAAAGGTTATCTAGCGCTATAGTTATTTATTATTTTTTATAAGACTTTACATATAGCTATAGCATATTTTTTTAAGAGTTTTATGTTTTATTTAAAAGCTTAGAGCATAAGCTATATCTAATATTCTTTTAGCACATCTAAGTAGTGTTGTAGGGAATGCATTAGTGTAAAAAGGGGGGTCTTAGTAAAAGTAAGCAACTTAGGTGTGTAAGCAACTTGCCTGTAAAGTATGTTAAGTAATTTTTTATAATATTTTTTTTACTAAGGCCTTATTAGCTAAACTTTAGAGCATTATTTCTTAAAACTACACTAACTTTTTTTATGCTTTTTTATTATTGCCTACTATATATTTTTTATATATAAATTCTAAAGTTATAGAGCAAAAGCAGGAGATTTAAACAGTACTAAGAATAGCCTAGTTAAAAGTTACATTAAGTGTTAATATATAGACTTTACTAAACTACTTCTTTTTTTAAGGTAGTAGCTTATTTTATTAGTAAGTTAGTAATTCTTTAGCACTAGCGCCTTAGCAGCTTAAAAACTTTATAATAATTAACTATATAAAAATAAATAGTAACTACTAGCACTAAGACTTACTTATTAGCTTTTAAAACTTTTATAGTAACTATATAAAAGTAAATTAAGTGCATAAGATTACTACTATTATTTATAACTTTAAAATTATATTAAAATTCTATTATTTAGTTGCTAATAATATATTAAATAATAATAAAGAAACTATTACTAACTTTACTAAGCACATTAACATGCTGCTTACCTCTAAGCACTATATACACTATAGTAGTTATATAATCTAGCTAGTTATTAAAGCAGTAATATATAGTAAAGGGCTTAGTGCTTTTAAGACTAAGCTAGCCTAAGCTGCTCCCTAAAATTAGTTTAATATATACTGCTAGCATAAAGTTATAGGCAAGCTTTATAATTTTATAAATATAGTGTTAGCATTACATAAACACTAAAAGGCTTTTATAATATATTAGGCTACTATTAACACTAATAACCTTTTTTAGAGCTTTAAAACTCATTTTTTTATATAAGATAGCAGTGTCTGCTAGCATTTAGTATATTTTATGCTATTACACTATTATAAGCTTAAAACAACTATTATAACATTTATCTAAAAGTAAAAAGGCACTAATAATAACTCTACTACACTTAGCATCTCTACTTTTACTAAGGTAATAACTAAGAATAAGTAAAAAAAAGTAAACTACTTTTATAAGTTTTTTAAAGTCTTTTACTTTATAACTAAAAAAAATTAAAAGTAATAGTAAGTATAAGTTTTTTTAGATAATAATTATTAATTTTTAGCACTTATATAATAAACTTTATAAAGTGTAAGAGAAGGTAAAGTATAAAGATAAAAGCTTCTATTTTAAAAACAGCATATTATATAGCATTAAAAAGTTAATATTATACTAGAGTAAGTTTATTCTAAACTCTTTTATATCTTATTACTATATTATAACTATACTTAACTCTTAACTTTATCTTATTTAGTTTAAGAATTATTAAAGAAAGCACTTATTATAGCATAAAAAAGCTAAGGTTTTAATAAAAGCTATTTTCTAGTAGTATGTTAATGCAGAGGCTAAGGCTAAGGTTAATAAAGATAACCCCTCTTAGCTACTCTAGTGTTATAAGTTACCTAGTAGCAACTATTATAATAATAAATTTAAAAAAACTTTTTTTATAAACTTTTTTTTTTTTACTAGTAATTGCTTATATAAAAAGCAGTAAAAAACTTTAAAGTTATAGTAGTATTATAACTTTTATTAAAAAGACTTTACTATAGCTAAGAATAACAGCCCCTTGTTTATAAATTCTTTTACATAGTAAATAAAAGTAGGATGTTTCTTCTACCTTATACTTTTTAAAATTACCCTTAATTTCCTCTCTATCCTGTGTACGTCCTACAACTGTAAGAGAGCCTTCTTTAGTAGAAGAAGGACTTACTACTTTAATAAAAACTACCTTTTTAGAGAGATAATTAAGGCTTTTTAATTATAAAAAAACTAGCTTTATTAGAGAGTAATTTACTCTAAGCTTTTAGCTTTCTTAAATTATATTTATTTTAGTGTTATGTTATAACTTCTGCTAAGTTGTTAAGCTGTATAAAAATTCTTAATTATTATAGTTAAGACTTATAAGTTGTCTTTATGTTAATTGTATAGTAAAAACGTACTAAGATAGTTAGACGTAACGTCCTAGATTTAGTCAAGTCGAATCGTATTACGTACGGTTGGAAGCGCTGCAGACACTTATAAACTTTTAAATCTATAGCTCTGTACATCTCGTCCTATCTCCAGACGTAATGCAGCCTCTTATAAAGACTAGGGGTGATGAAAATCAGAAAAAACGAACGGTTACAGGAAGAACTAGGGAAGAAATGAGAAATGAAAGTAAAGCATAGAAACCACAATGTGCGAAATGACATTAGGCGAAACCAAGCAGGAGGGCATGCATCAGATGTTTCCTATCACTTTTCCTAACAGAGCAGCTACCCTCTCAAGCTTAGATCACTCCGAATAAGACACAAGACAATTTGCAGCATGTAGCCTTTTGTATAATCGCTGCGCGGAGTTGAACGTGAGATGAAAAGAGACCGCATCTCAGGTGGAACAAAGACGGGGAAGGTAAGGGCGGAAAAGACACGCTTTCCGTCGATGGCAGCCATGATCCGACATGAAAGACATGATGAACCGCAGCCCATGAGAGCCGCACGTTTGCAGCACCACACTTGCCTGCTTGCCTGCTAGCATACTACGGATTCTGGGGCTTGAAGTCCATCGAGACGAGACAGTTGAGAAGAGAAAAGCAGCCACAGCTTGTCTGATATCTTGGAAAATAAGGACCTCAGTATGAACAGAGAAAACTACGCAGGCCTTAGCGAGATATGAGAAGCAAGATGCGAAAGATTCAAATGACCCATGGGGGTCATGAGATAGAAACCTGCCTTTCCTTCACTGAACGCATTTTGCCTTGGTCATGAGCACTATCCTTCATTTCCTCTCCTCTATTGATTGATCTATTCTATCTGCCCACGCAGGACCACAATTGCTTGAGATACTATGAGCAAATCTCTAATCGAAACACTGGACCATCCGGTCAATATACATGACATCTGCAAACTAGTGGAAGCCCATGGACAACCGTATACGTGTATGAAATCTGTGCTCGAGAAGTATTTTAACCACTCCTATTCATGTAGGGTGAACCACCACAAGAACGAACTTGTTCTTAGGCTACGGAAGCAACTATCTGTAGCGTCGGATCCCAATTTCGGAAGCTGCGAAGCGCTGCACCTCACCAATACCGCGGTTTCGTACTTCACCCGGCCTGCGGAAGAAATGAATGATAAGCAACAGCGCGCACTGCGAAATTTCTACCGTCTTGCAGACGAAGGAGCACTACTATAGAAGCTGAATGCGGAGGATGCAAGTGGCCGCTGTAGGTCACACATATATCCTTGGATGAATGGGGATCCTTAACAACATCCTTTTCTTCAGGTTCTCTCTCCAATCTCGCGTTCTTCTGGGAACATGGGCGTTTTGATAGTGGAAGCTTATCACACAAACTGGAAGGGTTTTCGACAGCTCGTGGCAACATCATATCTTCTGCACCGTAGAGGACTAGACGAGCGACTAAGCACGCTGCTTTATGACATGGTTCATGGCCTTTTGTTCCAGTTTCCTTGCTCGAGAAGTGAGACGTCCGGGGTTAATGTTGAGGTTCATGATGAGAGGGCCTGGCAGTTGGCATCGAAAGCGGTTGAGGAAGTTGCGCTACAGTTGCTGGGCATTGAGGTCAGCCTTAGAAGGTTGGATAACTTGCTTGAGGACTTGGTGTATGGAGCGGAGGTCCCGAGTTCGGACGACTTGACGTTGAATAGTTTCAAGTCGCCGCCTAGGTCCTGGTTGTTGATGGCCGAGTGGGGGGAACCAGCTTCGTCCAAGCATATGTACCATGTGTTCCTTTAGCTTTTATTCTTCTCCCTGCCACACTCCTCATACATCTCCCTCAAACTTGGCATCTTGTGGTCAACGTAATATGACATCAGCTTCAGCACCTTATTTGGAGTCCGGTGTTGGCCCGGTGGTCGCTTCGACACATCGCTCAGTCCGATCAGAGGAACAACCTTGGCAAGATCCTCCTGCGCCATCGACTTCATTGGGCTAAACTGCTTCCAATACGGCTGCCTCTCTACGAAATCCTGGTGTACAGCACGCGACCTATCGACGGTAATCTGGAACCATTTCGTCGTCGTCCCTCGGGGCTCTGGACTCTCGAAGGGCAACCCGATCGATGGGGATGATTGTGGGCTTTTGGACGAACTGGTTAACGATGTAAGGGATGTCTGCCTGTTCGGTAGGTTGCGGTTGAGCAATGGACTCGCCCGCGTGATTTCTTCAATGCCATCTTTAACCGGAGTTTCAGGCGTGATGGCATCGTCGCTCACCGTCACGCCACTCTGTCTGCTCCCTGCCTTCGATGCGTCGTCTTCGGATAAGATTTCCTCCAACGAAAACCGTATGGGCGAGGCATTCAATGCCTTTTGTGCGGCGTCGGGATCTCGATAGATAGCAAATGCGGAATTGTCGGCTGGGGCGTGATACTCGTACTAGGAAACGATCGCAGCCATTAGCTTTTGATCCTCTACTTTGACTCTGCGAAGGGGCTCTACTCTGCAGGGTCATTGTAGGTTGACAGGGGAAACAAACCCGAAGATACTTGTAAGTGCTGAGTTCTCCAAAGCGCTGCATTACACGGAAGACCTCGCGGCTTTCTGACAGATTGGCAGGCCGAGGCTGGATGCGAATGTGGACGGAGCGCGAGGCTAAGAGCTGGGAGGTGGCTCTCCATGAGACGGACATTGCTGAGTGTTGCGAGATGAGACTATTGGGGTCGGTGAGGTTCCAGCAATTCCCAATGCATCAAGAAAGTGTTCCCGAGAGCCAGGGTTGCGGAACGCGATCACGTGCTTGGCACGTCAAAATTAGATCTCCTGTCGCCATGTCACGCAACGTCGCTCGATAAGCTTGATAAACATGCAAATGGTGCACATGATGCTCATATCTACAATGGAGCAACTGAATAGTGGTCACGATAGCACTGAAGCTTATCGCGCCCAAACAACCCCAGGCTCAACCCACTCAGGGAGCGCACTCTAAAACCCGAAACCCAATTCAGACCCATTAATATGCAATACGATACGTCAGGCCCGGTGACCATTGAAATACCTGTCCCACCGCCCAATTTTGTCGCCATTGGCCGTTCGACAGCCTCCTAGTGGTATATGGCGCCCCCAGATCAAGCAACCCAAACGCCAATGCAAATGCTATTTAATGCCGAGAGTGATTACTTAGACGACCTCTTCATTACCTTTGATTTCTTCCGCATCCTCACGGTCTTCGCCACCATGGCTTGCCCATTGAGGCGGTCGCCCGATCGGCGGAATTTAAGAGTGGAGAGCGGCGAGTCCTTGGGCGCCAGAGGGCTGTATTCCATGTCGACGCCCTCGTCCTCGTCTGCGTTTGATGAATTGGATGATGGTGGTGATGGAAATGGTGATGGAGATGGTGATGTTCGCGACTTCGAGTCGCAAATGTGGCACTGATCGCCTTCCTCGACCATCCTTTGTACGAGTATCGATATGTCCCTGATGTGCGACGGACTGCACTGCATCCGCATGTTCGCTTGCCGTTGCTGCCGTAGCGCAACCGGGGACGGGAATGAATATGGGGACTGTTGAGGTGCATCAGCGGGAAAAACAAAGTCGTCGCTTGGCGGTGTGAGTGGCAGTTCGTAGAATGTCGGTATCCGATAGGAAGAGCTGGTGTCGACGCGCAAGCTTTGCTGGTTGAATCGCTGGGCCAGCTCGCCTATTGAGCATGGTGGTGGTGTTGGGAGCCGGGCTGGATATAGCGGGGGAGCGAGCGGTGTCGAGGTTGGCGAGACATTCATGGCTGCACGCTCCGCCTCATGAAAGGACGACGGGTGCCGCGACGCTGGCCCGAAGGAGAAATCGCGAAAAATGGCGGCCATTGTTGCGAGCGAGAGCACCGGCGTGCTCGTGGAAGGCGGCAAGATGAGATAGACGACGTCGTGGTTTTGCGGAGTCGGTCGTCGAGGTGGGTCGTCCAAGACAGCAGCTTTGCAGGCCCAGCAGAGGCGGGCAAGGCGCGTGGTATTAAGGCGCTGGTCAAGGCAAAGGCCATCGTTTAGCGAGTGAAAGCCAAGGGAGTGGGCGCTCCTCGAAGGTCGCGGGAGGAGCCAGTCTGGCGTCAGAGGGAGCGGCGCAGACAACCAGAAGGGCTAGCAGCGACGAGTGGCAACGACCGACCCAGTCAGCAACACCACGCTCCTTCAGATGGCCCGAGGTGGCGCGCTCGGCTGAAGCTTGGAGGAACGCCCATCCACTGCCCGTCTGCCTTCGATCCCGAGCGCCGGTCGGCTGCGACGCTCTCCGTCTGGCGTGTTGCACCGGCAGCCCGTCGCCCGCAGCATTAACCCGACAAGAGCCTGCTCATTTCATCGTTTCACCGAGCTGCATGCCCACCCTCCCCAGAAGCGGAATGCCATGCTGGGGCAAGCGCCTGGGGCATGCTCATGGGGCCGGCCAGAAAAGCGCCAGAAACTGCAGCTTGTAACGAGCGTCCTGCAGCTAGAAGGCCCCAAGAACCGCTCCAGAAAACATTTTCCGTCACGACGCTTGCACCCTGGCTTTGACTGGCCACTCGCAACCCTCCCAAAAAACTCTCCCTTCCCTTGGCGCGCCCAATTTGCCTGTCCCTCAACAAGATCGTCTCTTCGATTTACTCCTCCTTTCCCTTCCACTGCCTGGGCAGTTCCCTGAGGCCTCTGCAGCTCATCGGCCACCAGCTTGCCAGGGACCAAGGATCAGCCCTTCATCATCCACCCGGCACCAAACTGGTTCTCTCACATGGCCATTCCAAATCCTCATCTCTTCCGCAGAGCATAGCCCCTGCTATATCCCATGGGTTCGCCCACAGCTTCAGGCAGACGACCTCGCCTTCGGATTCTGGATCGTCGGGGCTGCCGGCAACTTCAGCCGTGGACATTCAACTCGTGCCACACTTCCTCTAGGCTCCCAAGGCCCAGAAAGGAGCCAATCCCCGCACTGGTGGGAATAGCTTACGCCCGGCGCAGCATCATATCCAGTCGTTGGCCAATGCGACCAGGTAAAACCTTTCCACCACCATCATATGATATCTGGCGTATTACAGCCCACCATCCCTTTCCTTCATCCTACTTCCGCTCCCCTGGATTGCGGAGCAACTGCTTCTCCTTTTCTTCTCTAGCCTCATTGAAAAAACTTGAGTGGTAATCTAGGGCAGTCGAATAAGAATCCTCTGTCCTAATCTACCACAGCTGACTACGGAGGCTGCTACTAGCTGGGCCCCAAAACTGTCCAAAAGAACATCATCGGAGCCCGGCTTCTTTCGATGTGGCTGACTCCTGCATAAACGCCAGGTTTTGCTATCGAGGAACCTGGGGAAATCGAGTCATGATTGGAAGCATTTCATCTCAACTACCGACATCCGGCTCCTTCTAGCGCTTCCATTGGAATGCACCCCCTGAACCAGCGGGAGGACGACCTTCATTCATGCCACTATGCCGCTCTGCTCAGCCTGTCAGAATATTAGTGTACCAGCGCTGATCTGCGAACTCCAAGATGTTCCAGATTGGTGGGAGATGGTGGTCGACCGTAGCACGAACAGCCAGTCAAAACCAAGAGGCATGGTTCACCTCCATGATGCCAGGCAGCTGCCGTTGTCTGCCGCAGAAGGTTGCGGTTTGTGTGCCATGATCATAGATGCTGTTCTACAATACAACGGCAACCACACTTTCGCCCCCAGCTTATTTCATCAGTCTCCTGTTGCTCAAGGTCAAGGGCAATGGGACATTACCAACTTAGAGGACCATTTGATCGATAGTCCAATTTATCTACGGCATAAACACGACCCAGTCAAAGGGAGCTTTCCAGAAGATGATGTGACAAACGCATTACATTTCAGGGGTTTCGTGGTCTTTGTGCCTGTCGATCAGGGAATATTGACCGGACAGATTAGACTGTGGGCGCCACGAGGTACCGCCGGCCCAAATCTCACTTAACCCTAATTGCTGAACTGAGCCAAAGACAGACAGCCCAGCCGCCGTCAGCTGCGATGTCGTCGGCCGTCCAGCCCTACCATCCTCGGACTCGCCGGAAGCGTACGATCTCATTCACCGTTGGATGAGCGCCTGTATTGGCAACCACAAAACGTGCAGCGAGACTTTCTCGGGTGCTATCCTTGATGAATGCACTCCTCCAATCTTACCCACTAGAATCATTGATGTGGGATCTCCTGATAGGGAAATATCGCCGCGTTTGATAGAAACAAAGGGTATGGCTGGGTACTATGTCGCCCTCAGTCATTGTTGGGGAAAGCCTTCCAAGCGTCCTCTTATGACCACTCAGTCTAGCATCCAGAGCCACCTAACGAACATACCCTGGGAGCTTGTACCCAAGGCATATCAGGACGCCATGACAGCCACACGCCGCCTTGGCCTCCAATACATCTGGATAGATTCACTTTGCATCATTCAAGATTCCCACTCCGACTGGCTGGATGAATCGACGCATATGGGGATGGTGTACGAAAACGCTCGTCTAACAATTGCTGCCTCCCACGCGTCTGACTCCAGCCAAGGGTGTTTCTTCACGCGTTCCCATCCTCCAGCCTCCATCGAGCTGTCTCACATATCGCAATCCGGCGATCGTGAAGGGTCCGTATTCGCAAGCTCCATGCCAATAGACTATGTCCCCATCACACCAGAACTTGGTCCCCTCGCCCAGCGAGCCTGGGCAACCCAAGAATGGCTTCTCTCCCGTCGCATGATATTCTACACCGCTGATAGCCTTGTCTGGTCTTGCAAGATGATCACTCAACGCGAAACTGGTGGCTCGTTTCACTCCACCGCTCGGAATCACCGGTGGAAAATCATCATTGAGCGATACTCAGCCCGTCTGCTTACCAAGGCAACTGATCGCCTTATCGCACTCGAGGGGCTGAGGAAGGAGATGGGGAAGAAGAGGGTAAACGATACCTACTGCTTCGGGCTGTGGAAGACTAGCATGCCCGACCAACTGCTGTGGTTTTGCAAAGACCCAGCCGAGCGGTCGAAAAGTCTACTGGGGCTGCCGACGTGGACTTGGGCGAGTACAATGCATGGAGTGCGCTTTCTCGAGATCAAGAAGGCGAAGAATGTGTGCAAAGAGTTTCAGTTTGATGAAGCTAGGAAGACCCTCACAATTCGCAGCTATATCAGAAAGGTGCCGAAGATTATAATCCCATCGATAATGCAGATAGAGAGTAGCTCCAAATGCCGCATTTACTCCGCTCTGATGGAGGGTGTCCATATTGTGCTGTCGGCAGGAATGGTGTGTGGGATTTGTGCCGACGACCAGACCGTCTTTGGCTGGGGAGGACTCGATGAACCCGACATACCCGCTGATGCCGACATCTTCTGTCTCCAATTGATGAGCAAGAACGTAGTCATTTCTGCATCACCTGGAACCAAGCACAAATTTCAGGAAGACTGGGTCCTACTCCTTCGAAGTTTAGTTGGTCATCCTCATACGTACGAGCGCATCGGGGTAGGAAAACTGTTTTCTTCCGAACCATGGTTCAAAGAGCAAGGATTGACACAAGTGCGCCTACATTAATTATGGTAAGGCGTGTTGTTCTCTTTGCCGTTACATGGCAGCCTCGTGTCTCAGTGTGCTCTTTTCTTACTCTGCTTGCTCGGTCGACGTCATCTCTCCAGAGGCTCCCCCCCTCAGGCACTTTGTGATTGATTCTAAGGCTTATTTTACTCTCCTGGTAACCTCCCATTGCGATTTGCTACATCAATTAGAATACGTTTTTTCCAAATAATGCATTGGGAAACTTCGTTCAAGTTGCAAATATCTTGCGTACGTAATGTTCATCAAGAATGTAAGCGCACTTCGACCCTCGAAAGGAGTGCCACGCATTCATGCAATTGCTACCTAGGTATAACTGAACGCAAAGAGCCACAACTGCTGAATCGGTATGCTTGGTTTTCAAGCTTGTTCCCTTCCGTCTTTATTTCTCACATATATGGCCTATTCCGGCGCCGCACATGCCAGATCGCCGCATGCGGCAACATACGAACAAAGTCATGCAGTACCGTCCTTAGGCATACAAGAGTCCACAATGCAGAGGAAACTCTCACTCAAGATAAATCAGCCCCACCCCAACTTTTGACCGATTGTCCTCTTTCAAACTTCGTCTATCAATTACTCAGGCACCCACAGCAGTTTTGAGAATAAGCATCCACTCTCTCAGAACCACTTTGTCCATTCATCGGATACAACCCCCAGCAGCTATGGCGACGCTCATCCAGCGCCTTTTAGGCTATTGCGCAGCCAGGACCGAAGCAGACACATCCTACTCTCCTCTATCTCGAAAGCGCAAATCTACGGCCGAACCAGAGGGACGTTCGTGCCTTGAAGGAAAGTAACCGAGCCACCTCATACAACAAAAAGCACTACCAGAATGCGAGTTTCTATGATGGTGGAAAGCCTACATCGCCAGTGGGTCAAGACCAGAATTACTACTCTAAAGAAATCATCCCGGACAGAGAACCTGTCCACAAGAAGTCCCCAGAGGTAGGGTGAACTGTTACGATGGTGGGGCCTTCGGGAACTAAGAAGGCGGTGGTGACCCGCATGCCGAGGGCTCCGGTTGTACCTCCTGATGCTAGGCCGTCGGGAATTCAAAATAAGACAGTAAGCCGGCTCACCCAGAGCTCCTTCTGTTCACGCCATTGTCGACGATCATGAAGAGAACGAGGAAGTATATAAGCCTCCAGAGGTCATTGAGCAACTTCCACTGAAGGACCATCCAAACCATGTCACCAAAAGACTCCTACAACTCAGTAGTGGAAACAAATCAAGAGCCAAACATAACATCATCAACACTTTCCAGCAGCCAGAGTACACAGCTCGAGACATCGAGATCCGGGATGGAGTATGGAAAGTCATGGGCTTGATGGAACGATTTACGAAAGCTCATATCCGGTTCGAGCTTAATAATATCGTTGCTTTGAAGAAGGTTTTCAATACGCTGAAACCAGAGACGGGTAAGATCATTGGTTGTGTTGCGTCTGGAGGCCCTGGCGGCGAGGATGGTTGGTATGACTTGTTTACGAACGAGCCAAAGCGGTGTGCGCTTGTCGTTACTATCATAGGAAATGTGCTCATGGAGCAAGTATTTCAACATGCCTTCTTTGGCGGGAAAGAGGCTCAGAAGGAGTTACTTGCTATTCAGAAGCAGTATCAGAGGGAAGACGGTAAGCATTCGCGCCCGTTATCACCTGCGACAGAAATTATAGGAAATGATACAAGGGTTTGTCCGCAACATCAAATACGCGCAACACATCCGCGCCAGTCTCGGTGAGGAAACGCATCGCGGGCAGTTCAGCGGAAAAATAGATCTCACACCGCTTCCCCTCAGCTTCCACATACACGTTAAAGAAGTTATTTTAGCAATTTACAAGCACCTGCTTCCCATCCTCTCCCTCAACCCTTCCTTCACCTCCAATCCTGCGCCCACAGCTCGCAAACCCGTTCTCGGAACCCTGTACACCCTTGTCGGCTGCGCAGATGCCATTTCCACCTTCATGCGCTTAGATCCCCACACCGTATACTACTTCACTCCCATCCTCAAGGAAGTCAGTTTTGAGCACAAGTACATGGAATGTTTCAACCAAGAAAAAAATGCAAACCACCCATCCGCGCCGTCGAACATCCTGGCCTGAAGAATTCCTTGAAACCAACATTGCGCGAGCGAAACACGATGAACGTGTCGTAGAAATCACACTAATTGGTGGCGTTACGGCGTATCGCCAAGGGGGATGGGAGACGCAGGATAGCGGAGTTGAAGAGGGGACAGTCAAGTATGTAGATGAAAACGGGAAAGAGAAGGGGATTCGCAGTAGGGTTTTGACGCAGAGTTGGGTGCATTGTCGGTGAGGGAGAGCAAGGAGGTTCGATAAGGAATCCGAAGTTACAAAGAAGAAGGATCATGAGAAGGTATGGAAGGGTAAAGGGTTTTTGGAGTTTAGGACTGCTGTTGAGGGGTTTAAGGAGGGAAACAGGGCGAGAACGTTGTCTTAGGTGAGGGTAGGGTCCTGGTAGGGATTTTTATGTTGGTTGCGATTTGAATTGTTGTACTGGTTTCTCCTTTAGTCTACTCTTAGAAGCACCTTAGAAGTAACGAGTCTAGCTTATGAAATATTTGCTAGCCTGCCTAAAATTAGAAGCTACAGTGAACAAGTTGAAACACGAAACGGGAGAAGGCGCCCTCGACCTCACTGACGTGAGCGAGGCGTCTTCAGTAGGTACTAAAACCCCTACAATACCTTCCTTCCGATCTCTACTTCGCATTCAGCACCTTCTGCCCGACTCCTGTCCACCTGGGCACTAGAAACTTTCCCATTGGATACCTTTCCCCATTCTCAATTGTTTCTTGCTTGGCACCCACTACCTCAACGCCCTACTTGACACTTCGCTCGACATCTCACTCAATTCTTTCTCACCTCGTTAGCCAGGAGTTTGTTGCGCATTGGGGGGTGAGATGGGAGACTGTAACGTCCGTCCGTGTGTCGCGAGCCACCTCCGACGCGAGCCACATTCCCAAATCCGACCCCGTAGAAGTCTCCCTCGCAAGCCAATAAAGATATAGTGCGTACCTTGCCATTTTTAACCCTTTCCTCTACTAGGATACTAACGCGTGAAGAGAATTTCAGAGTTTTGGTCACGCTGTTGACCTTTTTATTCACGCCAACGTTCGCTCCTTCGCTTAACCACCCTTGCTAAATCGCAAATTAGAGGGGTGTCTCCTACAGCCAGAATACTAGGGAGAAGGCACTGTTATAGAAGAATATAGTTTCAAGCTTAGAAAGCTATTTCAGCCTAGTAATGTAGATTCTAAGAGTTTCTCCCAGTAGATTAAAGGACAGTTTCAAAGCCTTATAACGTAGCGTAATCCTCGACACAGTTTAGCGAGAGGCCCTTGTTAGTATTTAATTGTATTACGTCTTAAGCAACCATATTCTGAGGTTAGCTGTAGCGCATGGCGGTAGAATTCTAGTAGTGTCCATGACTACGCGCTGTTTCTATTTCTGCAACAAGCTGCTGCATTACAATCCTTCACTCAACTTCATAGCCGTCCCAAAAATGCTTTATGTCCTAACAAAGAGAACAAGCTTGTGGCTCTCCTGTCTGTGGCTGTGACACTAGTGGCTGGTAAGCCAAGGCATGTGCGGGGGCGGGGATACTCCAAACACACGTCAACCACAACGAACGCATAACCTCTCCCACATCTTCGATAGAACCATTATACCGTCCAGCGAACGGCACCGCGGCAGCTGCAAGTACAAGCTATACAGGTCACATTGGCTTGGGACCACCTACCCGTCGACGTCCCGCGCAACTCTGTATTTGATCCCTAGATGGCCATGGCGGTTGAAGACTGCATTCGTTGCCGTAACCCAACTACGAAAAGGTGCATCGGATGTTTAGGAGCACCAGATTATAACAACAACCCCTCAGTGCCCACGTTCTACTGTAGTCTTGAGTGTCAAAAGGCGGATTAGTCTCAACACAGAACAGAATGCCAGAAGCTCTAAGCCCGAAAATCTTTAAGTAGAGCAGCATCATTACTTCAAGCTATCGTCTACAAGATCAAATTGCACGCGACAACACTTGAAATCACGTCAGTACATGTGGAAGGCACGACAGTCTATTTGCATGGACCTCTGCCACACCCATTGTGTGCTCAACAGATAAAGCCCTTTCCAGTTCACTTGTTCGAGGATCAGGCCATACTCAAGTCTGCTTTAGTGTACACAAAATGCATGGATACTATGGTGTTTCTCTACAGTTTTACTACAGAGCTGCTACAAGGTCAGATTTCACTATCCGAATTACATCCTACATTAACTATACTAACCTAATGTACACAGATAATTGCTCGGAGATTAAAGAAATCGCTGTTAGCGTGATCAAACCTCGATTGCGAATCTGCTTTGGCCCCGCTCACGGCCCAGAGATCAGCACGCCGCAGTCTATGTACCATAATGTGTATAGAGTTGTACTGAAACAGGGAGAGATTTAGGCCATAGACACAACCGGAGCGCAATTTGGCTACTACGAGCCTTTGTGCTCCTGGGGAAGCTTTCAGCAGAGAATAAGCAAGGTCGACAGAGTGAATGAGCTTGGTTACATTCGCCACACAGTCTTCTATAACAGCACGAAATATCCTGTCAAATCCATGATCTCCCAGCAAGCTGAGAAGGAAGAGTTGGTCAAACAACTTAAGCACTGGCTCCCTGTGTGGGTGACACCGCACAGCGGAAAATTCAACCCCATACTGCAAGGTCCAGAGGCAGCTTTTGAGTCAACCAAGCACGAGTTCTTAGAGCAGCTGAGCGCCCACGTCAAGAAGTCGCTGGCTAGAATGTATACTCCCGCCGAGATTGCGAAACGGACGAAAGAGGTTAAGGCACGGATGGCCCAGAATCAAGCAGATCCTACCAGTCGAAACGAGTTTGAAGGATCCCTCCAATTCTTTACGTCTGCAATAGGAATACAAGACCGTATAGGTTGACAAGGAGCCAAAACTAGGCAAATATTTTACAGTTCAATGTGACTTCATTCCTCAAGGCTTTCTAGGCAGCCCGCGAGCCACGGGATGCGCTTTCCTGTTTGGTTAGTGAGAACTGCACGGCCACAAACTGAGTAGGCACGGTTTCGAAACTGCAGTGCTTACAAGGAATAAATTACATCTTAGATGCTTAGCTCATAGTTTTGCGCTAGCTCAAATCGTCATCCCTTTGAGTAGTAGGTACCGATCGCGTGGCGACGTTGCATGAATTATCCCCGCGCGGTAGCCACAATCCTAAGGATGACTTATCGACGCAATAGGAAGGTTTCGTGCCTCAGATACGGCCATACTATAGCTATCAACAGCAGCGAGGCGCCAATGATGGTGTCGTAGTGGAACTACTCTGTGATGCCGCTAGATGGGGCCTCTCCGCAGACCGGCGATATGGTGGTGACGCCAGCGTAATTTTAAGGTGGGAGACGTTCTAGAAGTGCTAGAGAAACTAGGCTACAGCACTCGCATATTCTCAAGTAAATACAGATATGTATAAAAACTTGAGATTCCTCTAAAACTAAAGTACCTAGATTTTGGCTCGCTGCAGAGGGTGGCTCGCGACACAGGGACGGACGTTATGTTGGTCATGACATGGGGAGTGAATTGATAGTGAGAAAGGAGTGGGGCGGAGTCAGTCATCTCTAAATGAGGTGGTGTGGTGGTGAGCACAATGATCACCCCTATTCCAGGCAGCGTCCCGTTCGGGAAGTCTTCTCTCAAGATGGCAACCGGTCGTCCCTGCTCCTTAATTCACTAACAAAACTTTGACTTGGCCTCTTCGAGAGTTTGTTTGATAAACAGTTATGCGTTATCTTAGCGCATAAAACAGGCAAGAGAACCGCGGCCGCTTCATTCTTCTTAGAAATCTTGCCAACCATACACTATACTTTAGTCATCCAAGATGGGGCCTTCTAGTTTAGGAAGCATGAAGAACTTCTCTGCGCTTCTTTCCCTAACATTCCTAGTCTTGCCCGGCTCTAGACCTACTCCTAATCGATGGTATCGTGCTACAGACTAGAGTGTAAATCGAATTTAAGTACCCTGGGTAAGCTATGCACCTTTTGTCTACGAAGGTCGAGCTCGCAGTCTTGAGTAGACTTTTCTAGACAATGACTGGCGGAGACGAGGAATTCGTGGAAAACTCGAAGCATCTGCTCGTATTTCAAAGTTGTCTACACCAACGGACATGGCACGGACGGTTATGTTGGGTGGAATTCTACGGCGCCACACTTTAAGAAGCAAGTCTTCGATGTCGTCGACAATAGGAAGACGATACGCTTACAAACACATACCCAGTTTCATAGTCCGTACGAAATGCCATAGCATCCGCTCAACAAGATATGTTGTCTACTGGTGAATATTCTGGGGAACGTTCAAAATACGCAGATATAAATCGACGTTGGCAAAGAGGAAAGGCAGAGAGCATCGCATCTCGATGTGGACTCGAGTCTCGCTTGCAAGAAAGCGAAACCTGGGTTTTCTTGATTTTACCTTAGAGTTACGTTCATATGAAGGTAACTTCAGATTATACCCGTACTAGACTACTAGAGAGAGATCGCTTCATAGAAATATAGCCAAAACTACGCGATTAGTTCCGACAAAGTATTTGCTCCATATCGCCTTCAATCCTCCACCAAATAATAAGGATAAAGTATTCATCAACGGTTTGCCTCTCTAATGCTTTACAGCCGAAAGAACTACAACACTATGTCTGGCACAGCAGCCCGGAGAGTCTATAAGAGGTTGTCCTGGTCCCAACTTCAAAATGCGTTCGTGAAGCACTGAGTGGATGGACATCTGGACATTTGGGTAGATGTCGATGGAGAAGTTGGGCATCCTACCCATGCGTCTTATAATACTGCAGTCGCACTCAGGATTGTTCCCTTGATAAATGGGAGAGTTTACTTCAATGCAGATTTATGCCCGATTTAACCAGCTAGAACCTCCTTGAACTTGGCCTTGATTGGTGACACAGAAGTCCGATCTAGCGTCGTGTGAGTGGATCTAGGGGTGCTAGTCTCACTCAATGCAACATTGCTCACAGAGAAGCTAAGGGTCGGCACAAGTTTGATAGGAGATGCGCGTAGATGGCCTTCCTAATTTCGGGAAATATCTCCTAGATAAGGTCTCTCCTGGTCATGGCGCGTGTGATGTGATAGTGAGCTGCAGAGGCAATGTTGATGGCGTTCATGCTTCCGTTCTACTTGTAAGCCATATATACTATTTTGCACACGGATCGACCGTTAGTTAATTATTCGCACCTTTTTGGTTGTGATGGGGGAGTGGTGCGGAGACCCGCTCTTACAATACTCAAGAATTTATCTTTGGAACGGTTTTCAGCGAAGTTTTCCTCCTGCATTGTGGACCCTCCTTCACCAATCCAGGCTTCTAGAATCCTTTTCAACACCAGGTCTAAAGAAGCTTACTTTGAATTTATTTACGCCGTCTTGGTCTTGAGCTGAATAGGTCTCCGAGAGAACCCTGAAGCGAAAAGTGACATGATAGAAAATGGGAAGGAGTTGAACGCGGAAACCTAATCCTTTTGACATTAATTTAAGACAGAGACTCGTTTCGAACAACAGAGATTTTACCACGTGTAAGTTCCCAAGGCGAAGATGTAGGACGTGAAGCTGTCCACTCTCATAGTGATGTGACGAGACCGTACTGATCGAAGGAAGGAAAGAAGGACTAACTAGGAAGACATAGATTGAGAGGAGTACTTTAGGTTTGAAGATGTTGAGCTATGTGGAGATGGGAATCTGGTTATTCGTTTGACGCTAGTCGACTTCGTCTCTTCATGTGTTAGCGCGTCTCCTGACGAAGGCGATTAGTATGGGGTTTGGCGGAGCTCGATGCTGAATTGGCCGTAACGACTTCATCATCCCCTTCCAAACACTGCCGAAATCACCGAGTAGTTCCAAGATGAAACGCGAATAACGATTCAGCCTAGGCTGTCCTCTTCAAGTATCGACTCTGTTAGTGTGTTTTTGTTTGAGCCCCTCGCCGAACCCTGAAAGCGTCCTCGTTAACACGGACCCGTACTAATGCAAGGCGAAAAGTACTGAGTAAGGAGTAGATACTGTACCTCTCTATGTATTATGGCTCCCCCCTAGAGATTCCACATCAATACAACACTATCCTGCTGCATCGCCACCCAGGGTTACAGGTACTTCTCCCAGACTCCAGTCGTTCCTCTCATAACCTCCACGCAGAGTTGAAACAGGGAAGCTGAATTATGAACATCTTTGGGACGGGTCGCATATTGGTATGGGCTTATGGAGCAATCTTAGGTGGATGGAACCAAGCCCTGCGACGCCAGTTCGCCCTGCCGATGCATGGCCTGGCATACCATGGAAATATTTGTGCTCGCAGATCATGTTGCTGTGGAGATAGCCCAGGAAGTCGCGGAGCATACTATAGGATCACCTGGGTATCTAAAGTGGACATTAATCCGTTAGAACAGTTGATACTGGACTGGGCTTACTCATGGGGAATATTTCTGAGATATCTACTGCCACATGCGCCTAGACGGCGTTGTGGGAGATATCAGAAGAGATATTGAAACTCTCATTGACACACGTCCCAGAGATGGCTTTTCGTTGGAACTGATCCTAGATTGTGACTTCCTCACCCAGGATGTAGAAGAGGTGGTAGAGCAAGTCCGGATGTTTATCGCAATTCAAAAAATTGGGGGTTAGGAGTCGCATTTCCAGCCCCCAGAAAAATGGGCAGAAACCTGAGGTCGAGCTCGCAGACTTCTACCACATCCCCTTGGATACAGGCCAGATAAACCTTCACGCCTTCTCAGCTAGCTGTAAGGGAGGCTCTGAATCCTCCGACGTAGAAGATTTCGTGTTCTAAAAAGTACCAAGATAGGTTGATTAGCTGCTGAAGCAATCACCAGGAGAATTAGCGCAGTAGTGGTATGAACATTGAATTTTGTTTGTATTATTAAAGAAAATAGTTCGAGCTTCTCTCTCTGTTACGCATGTGAACGGAGTGAGTCTCGAACCTTTCCCCCATTACTGAAACTAATCGAAGTGGAGCAGATTCATTCCTGTACTACATTGCACCATAATTAACCCCTCACATGTCCTGAGAAGCGCGTTGTGCGAAGGTCCGTGATGCTCTTGGAATGACGTGGGCATGTTGAAGTGTCATATTGTGGTGAAAAAGACTACACGACGATGAAGACATCCTACAACAGTCGTTATTGTGGTTGCAACGTTGTAGTTACAATGCTATCATACACTATGATGGAAACATTTCTACCTATCGTGCATGATTACATGGTTCCGCATCTTCCTCACGGTATTTAAGCACAACGAGTCTAACCCTATAACCCTACTCTTCACCGATCAAACAAACTAGCACGAGAAATTCTACAACCAACAACTGTAAAGAAAAAGGAACCACACATATGAAAATGTCAGTTTTAAACCCATGGCTTTTCTTAGGGAACGACAATGTCGGGGACACCTGGCATGAGAAAGACATGCCCCAACCGCGCAGCACTTTTCACTCCCCACCCGTGTCCCCAAAGCAAGAAGGACCGGTGGATAAAGCTAGTAGTTCCCTAGAGCCCACACGTCAGACGAAGGCTGGTTCAATCTACTGATTTTCATCAGGTAGCAAGAACGTCGGATACACCTGGCTTGAAAACGAAATGCTCCAACAGTGCCGATCTTCTGACTCCCAAAGCCAGTCCACCGGTCTAAGCCAAGAAGAGCCGGTAAATAGAGCGAGTCATTCGTTGCTTCCAGAAGTCGGATCCAGAATCCAAGAACAAGAGCGCGGGTCTTGTAGACCTTCACGGTGTCACGAGGCCGACGAAGAAACTTGGAAGAATCGCTTCGCTGAAGTGTACTTTAGTGACTTAAACCACTAGCGCGTCGGCCGTGACAGGTACATAGCGTCCACTAAATCGTGGCGTACATAGCAAGCATAGCCTAGAGAAACTATGAATCATTAGCAATTGAAATTGGCATGTGTATTAGTCGTATGGTTCTAATGGATACGAAGTACCAATATTCTCCGCGCGCTCGTTTCAGACATTGATGAGAAGATATGTGTATTGCTGGATGTGAAACCATCGTCTGTTCTGCTACCCACCCACGCTCTCCTCGCGGTACATAGCGTGATAGCGTGAGGGGAAAAGCAGAAACAAACTCATATGGCCCCAGCGTTTGTCATCATAAGGAGGATTCAGGATAGATGCGAAACAGACATGACATGACATGACATGGACGGGAAAGGAGGATTGGGAAGTAAGCTTACCAAAATGTTACCAACATTTAAACGCCTGAAAGGGACCAATAGTCTGGGTAGTTTCGTGGTCGACAGACTGGTAGCGAGGCGCCCTTTAAGTACCGACAGTGAAGCATGCAAACAAGGATAATAGTGGAGAAAGCGTGGGATGGACTGTGGAGAAATAAAACTCAAAACACTAAAAACTGGGGAATTGGGCCGGGTGGGTTAATCTCGGGCCATCTAGATACAGACAAGTGAGTCCGATGCAGTCCTTTCCGAATGAAGGGTCCGCGAGTAAGCGCTCAATCCCTGAGCCCTCGATCCCGTAAATCTCCTTGACGAGTGGCATGGCGTAGATGGGGCTTGGGATGGAGGATGAACATAGTTCTCTAGTTCACCAATTAGAGGGCTCTCACATTTAGATTTTTGAGTTAAAGCCTGGCGTCTACGGCACAAAGCTCTCAAGAATGTGAAGATATTGGTGATTGAGTTAGATGCCGTCAGCCGAAACTTCGATTCTGCATCGGGGGCGCGCTATCCAGATTTCGGACATATATCCGAGACGAGGTGGGCGACGAGACAAAGTCGATGACAATTGAAACGTAGTGGAGTGGATGAGGGAACAGGGCGGAGATGTGTGCAGAAAACTACCTAATCGGCGACATGCTAAACTTACAACAGCAGAGTGCAACATGCCCATGAGTCGTGTTGAAAAGAGAGTTTGATCAGCGCGTGCAGGTGGAGGGGTCTCCCAGAGATGCAGAGCGCGCGACACGTGCACTGCCGGTGAATGACCCTGGAACGCGGGGGATTTTAACGATCGGCACGGACGGCCATCTTCCACGAGAGTAATTGGCAAATCGCAAGTGCGCATTGAACCAAGGTCCGTGAGGGGTTCGATAAGAAAAGTGTTAAGAGGAAGAAAGATTTTCGCAGAGCGGGTGGCTCACGATGTCTGCAGCGAGGGGTGATCACTTGGTTAAAAAAAATTAGAACCAGAGTCACTTGTCAGCGGGACTTGTGAGCGGTTAGACCAAGGAAACGGCCGGGCGATCTCCTGGGCCAAATGCAACCAAGATTGGCGCCGTGATTCATCCATCATGCGTGCAGCAGGGAAAGGGGAGCGGAAATGCCTGTTTAGATAGAGGAAGCTGGAGGAGTTAAGGTGATCGGCTCGGCGCGTCGAGGCGGAACCAACGGGCGCAGGCAGGCACACTCAGCCGTTCCACTGAGCCGGGCACCTCTCGCACAACACAGGATAGCAGCATGCAGCAATTCATCACGCCCTTTACCCAACCCTTGCATGGTGTGCTACTCAGCGCTGGTAAAGGCGGATGTCGATGCGTGCCCATGCAGGCATTGGAAGAGTCATGAACCCCTCGAAGGGGCATCTTTCGTCACACTTTGCCTCTCCCAAAATACCCGCCATCAACCCGCCACACTGGACGTCCCAGGAGCAGTAATTAACCTACGTGTCAATAGCAGAGAAGGAGTTTTGCAGTAGGGCATGGCCAGACCGCTAATTCACACATTTACACAATCCCACGACTCCTAGACTGACCATCGGAGCACAGTCAGCCAGTCCTCCCAAATTGCCTAGATGGGCAGGTCTACTCCGACGCTGTGTACGAAAAGTAATATCTTTTTCATTTGGGACTCTCATTTTGCCACCACACGCCCACGTCAAACTTGCTTCCTGCAATGCACGCATCTTCCAACCAGAAGCCCTGCAGCACAGCGCAGCTGATGCACGCATGCCCGATTGCATTGTGCAGCCAAACGGAGTTGCCAGCGGTTACGAGGAGGGCACCGTTGCACAGGATCGAGGAGCCAGGGGCGGGATGAGGCTGAGGCGAGGCTCCGTGCCGTGAGAAGTGTACCGGTTATCTGGTCGGAGGCTTTCTGAGCACTGACGCTGGGCTGCCTTCGACGTGTTCGATATACGATGCACGCCTGGCGCACATCTCAGGAGGAAATTGTGCAGTGCAGCTCAGCTTCAAAAAGACCACGCAGAGATCAAAGCAGCGAACACTGAAACCAGCTCAGAAGAAGCTCAATTGACGGATGCGGGTATAAGCTCTCCTATTATATTCAGTCGGACACCGAAAGACGACCTCCTCATAACCACCTTGGCCCTCTAACACCATGTGCGTGAGACCGCTTGGAAGCTGCGGAGATTGTACTCCGGAAAGCCACCCGGCGACAAAAAGCAAAAAATCACGCGCTGTCCCAACCACGCACCGAGCAACACGGCTTGCAGCCCAAAAGGAATATGACCTGAAGGAACTGTGGTGTGCGTTCGTACGGAGCCACCAGAGGCCTGCAGCCAGTGCAAGGCAAAGCAATGCACACGAAAGCAGCCCGCATGAAATGCTTCAACGCTGAAAGCCACGACGCGAGCAACCAACAGAGCAGGGTCCAGATCAGGGAGGAAAACATTAGAATGGAAAAGTGGGGGACGGCGGTTGGAATGCAGACAAAAAACCCAGCCATGTGAACCATCTCTTATTGCGGGAGAACAGGCAGGAATGTGAAAAGCAGTAGCAAGGTATCAATGTTGCGTGAATGCTGGCCCAAAACAAAATAAAACGCCTAGCATAGTGCAATCGCCCAAAAAGACTCCATTTTTGTCCCACGCACACATGCGCCGCCGAGTAAGAAAAGCGGAGAGAGGAGATGAAGAGTTAAGAGCGAGTACTCTGGTGTGAGGAGTATAGCAGAGTCGAGGCGGTGGCCATTGTCCTGCGTTGAGATCGTGATCCTTGCTTCCTTTTGACCCAATAACTCCCGTTGCCGAAATGCCTCTGTTGGGTTTGGTTGACAAATTGTGTGTATAGAGGCATCCCACCTGCATCCATTTTGAGAAATGTTCCAACTAATCCGAAATGTGCGATGATGTCAAAATCCTAAAATGACATTGCTCAACAGGAAAGGCGAGCGCGAGGTTTGAATTGGAAAGTTGGCAATCGGACGAGAGTGGGCCGGTGGCCTTGACCGAAGCCAATATTGAGGATCGATTCAGAAGTAGTGCAGACTGCGTATGACGGATCAGTGGTCAATAAATTACCAGCTCATTGCTGCGGTCTCCTGGCAGTCCAGATATGACTGTTAAGCAAAGGGTCAGTATCGGCAGGTAACGTCAAAAAATTGGTATCACGGCGGTGACGCAGGGGTAGACCTACATATTGTTGTACGCATGAATCTTCTTGTTACATATCTGGAGTCGGACAGCCTCGACGAGTGGTTTGACGTGCTCGTTCACATCCCACCGGTTGACCCTTGTGAAGGGGGCGAAGCTCAGGGCTTCCAGGCCCTCGGTTATCCCTAAGTTGTACCACCTGCCGATCTCTTTCTGGTGCGGGTCGTTGGGCCACGAATTGTACGGTGCGCGGATGACGATCTCCTGAATGTCAATGAAGCCGGCTGATTGCAGCAACTGCCGGGTCTGATGGTTGTAGGCAATGGGGCGTGAAACGCGGTTAGTGGCATCCGCTAAGTAGTTGTACCACTTCACTAAGGCACTCTCTGGAGACAAGGTCTGGTCGTCACAGCGTGGCTCCAGATCGATTTCGACGTGCTCTATCCATCCAGAGCCCGGCCGTAGGTGCCTAGCAGAAAGTTAGTTCTGGTGTAACAGGCCACAGCGCGCGCCATCGTACGTGAAGATCTTCTGGTACAGCTCTGGCCAGCTCGAGACGCTGCCGGCGGCCATTCGCAGATGGATCAAGTCCCAGGAGTCTTCGCCTAGGGACCACGGGCTCTCGTAATCGCGGGGGACGCGGAATCGCAAGTTCGGCGGGATCCTGAACACAGGGGATGTGAGCACTGGCGCCAATTTCGGCCGGATTGGGGGCACACACTTTTCTGGCTGGATGTTGACCAGGTCCAGGCCCAGAACCTGCGGTATTCAGAATCAGTTGTCTGCCCATACGAGGAGGGCTGAGAGTGAAGCGGACGACGCACCTCGGCGTTCAAGTAACGACTACACACACAAAAGGTTAGCAAAGAACTATGCAGAGGAAACAGGAGCCTTGGTGAATGGCGCGGAGGCACACTGCAGGTTGCGGAACCAGACTTACTCTGCCATGTCAATCGCCCAGATACCTGTCCCACAGCCCAAATCAAGGATGCGGGGCTCCCAATTTGGCGGGATCGGAGCCTGATGCAGCTGGTCTCTTCGTGCAACGAGGAACAATTTGTGGTAAATGTCCATGCGGTCCTTTTCGGGCTGCGCAGTGCACGTCGGGTTAGCGAACTAGAGTCTTGCTCGTCTAGGAGAACACGTCTGAGGGCTGGATTTCTCACCTCGTCACACGGGAACATGTATATTCCCCGGCGGAAGCCCTACGAGGGGTCAGCAAATTTGGCACTGGTGGGAATTGAAACTCGGTAGGTGTGGCTTACATGGTACGATCGTCCATTCTCGACGTAGTTGCTAGAAGCAGGAACGGCCAACCTGTTAATTCCACTCGGTCAGTGGGGCGCTCGAGTAGGTGAACGCAGGGAGACACGGAAAGCGAGCAAGCGCGGCCGAGGGCAGCGTCGCACGGAGCGGGGAGAGCAGTGCTCCACTCACCCATTCGAAGCCATCGTAACCATTGGAGCAGCCTTGCTCCTCATAAATCCGCCTACAGCGCTCGTGGAAGCGGACACGCGGTTTAATAAGTCGCAGTCACCAGGCGGGGAGACGGAGGTGTGTCGCGGACGACGCTGGTTATGGGACGTCGAACTGCGGAGCGGTGAGGGCGCGGCGACGACACTTATGCGGCTGCGCTGGCGAGGCGAGATGGTTGAGGGCAGGCGGCTGAGAGGGGGGGGGGGACAGAGGGTGGGTGCGGGCGTCGATGCGTGAGTGGACAGCGCAGAATGGTGAGAAGCAGTCCGCGCTGGTGCTGGGGGCGGGGAGGAGGTTTTATTAACAGTTCGCCGGGACGTGCTGGTGGGAGCGGGTGTGCACTGGCAAGCCAAACTCACCAGGATCGCACGGCAGGGGCTTTAGCAGTCAAGTAGCGCCCAGATTTCAAAACATCTGCCCCATGTCGGATCCAGCCAAGGTTGCACGGCACGAGCAACAAGCAAGTTCGTTAAGCGTAGCACGTCCATCTGTCTCTTGGGGCTCGACGCAGCTCGCTGACTCCAGTGTCCCCGAGGGCGGCCGCTGCGCTAGCTGCTGGGAACCACGCAATAATAGCATCGTTATTAATTTTTACCGGCATTCTCATGCGCGGCGCGAAGCCTGCCCTCCTTCTCCGGAGTAAAAAGCCCCTACGGCTTAGCGGCCTCTAATCCAAGGAAAAAGTGCCCAGCAGCGCACTCACCGACCCAGGTCCACACAGTCGGAATTTGTCTTGGAGAAGGCCCAGGGCAAGGTCCACAGGGTGGCCAAGCTAGCGGGTCGAGCGGGTAATTGGCTCATCAGCAAGCCTCCCAGAAGACCGGCTCCAGCCAGCCCCTCTCCTCCAATTCATCCCTCGCATCCTTGTCGTGCGCCTCCCACGTCTTCCTTGACGTACCCTGGAACCGAGCGCTCACGTATCATCACCGCGGCCCCAAAGCAAGGCTCGTCGGTAGAGAAGACGCTGCTGTCGCTACTGCCGCTGCTGGAGGACCACCACAACAACGATAAAAACAACAACAAAACAATCACAAACCGACGACCGCGCGCCCGGGCAGAAGACGGTTGCTCCGGAGCGAGGCCTAGCGCGCGCCGTCATGACCGATCATGGGTCAAGAACGAGAACACGTCGAGATGGCAGCCGAACCCCAGCCTTCACTCTTCGCAGGGCCCGCCAATCATGTCCAGCACACACGGTGAGCTGTCCGAACTTGTTGCTCCCACACCACCAACTCTCCGCCATGGCAAGATTGCTGCGTGTTCGCACAGCGCAGCTCACCATGTGCGCGGCCGCAGCGTGCGGCGCCGGTCGTTCCATGCTCGTGGTGTGCGGATCCTTTGGGCGTTTCTGCACGAATTACATGCCTCGCTGTTTCTTGATTGCGTTGGGGAGACTCTAGTCGCGCAGTCCTTGTGGATGGTTTGGCGCCACATGGAAATATCATTCGGCACTGTTGGTTTTTCGACTGAAGACAAGGTTTGACTTTCTCCTGAGACGTTCCCAACATTCTCGTTAGTCACCGCGACCCGCTTCAGCTCCAGGTGTCGCTTCTGACAAACCGCCGCCTATCGCAGCTGCCCTGTCCCAGAGGTCTGTCTGCAAGGCGTTGGAGCTCGCAAGCCAGCCTCGGCCTCCTGCATGAGTCGCATATCCTGGGATCACAAAGAGGTCACCCCGAGATCTGGGGGTGATGCGCGCATAGACACGAGAAATGGTGTTGCCAGGCGTGCGAGTTCCCAGTCATCAAGTTTGGTTGCGCCCGTTGCTGCGTCTGTGTTCTGCAAGCAAGCTGGCAGCACACGTTCCGTTCCGTGCCGTTCTCGGTAATAATTGAGCACGCAAGGAGAGTCTGCATTCCTGGGTAATTTTTGGTGCTGTTGAGCTTGGATATCAGAGTTACCTTTGATGTTTGTGCTTGAAAGTACGCATCCTCGCTACATGAGCCTCCAACAATTCGATCAGCAGGCGAAGTGGGAGATGAAGAGACAAAGATATTACTGTCCATAGCTGATCGGGATTGGCTGCTCTGCGCTTGCCCAATTGATGAACAAAAGCCCCGGCGGTGGTCGCTTACACTCGGGGGAAGGATTCAAATGCAGGACGCAAATCGCAGCCTCCTTGGTAGCACGAGACATGCAAGCCCATCAACAAACTCACCACCCACTCCTTGTCACAAGGCGCCTCATTAGTTGCCGACTTCTTAAGGCTGGAGGCCATGTGTTGGATGCGGCACCTTGACCAGTGAAGAGGCCGGGAGGTGTGAGTAAAAATGATGGTGAAATGAAGGGCGAGAGTGACATGAATCGTAAGAGATCCGAGAGTGTGGTTCCAAGCTTCAACCTGCCCTGGGATCAAGCTGGTGCGTGCTCTCTCGCTGCGGTTCCCCCTCCGGCTCGGTAAGGAGACTTTGCAGGCCTGACATTGCTCCTGTCATTCACTTTCTAGTTTCCGACCGACTGGCTAGGGTGCGGCAATTGCGGTGCGGAGCTGTCAGCGATTGATTATTGATGGGGGTGCAGGCAGCCATTGGGCAAATTAGCTGCGAGCTAGCGAGCATTGGTGCCTGGAGTAAATTTAAATCGAGCGGATCGCCGGGAGCCTGTGAGAGAATGCAATAGAGCAAAATATACAAAATATAGAAAGGTACTCGCTGCCGTCATCGTCGCGCTCATCCGGACTCGAGAAAAGAACATGTGATGAGCCCGGGCAGGAGGATGATGAGGTGTGGTGAGGCTCGAGTTTTTATTCGAGTCCTGGAGGAGTAAATGCCCCGAAGCAATTCACGGTTGGTCGCGAATAGCATTGGGCTGAACGCACCTTCCTCCTCCGGTGGTCCCGCGGCGGAGGATGGCGCTGCTACGTCGCAACTCCTCTTACTTCTCTGAAATGGATGGCCTCAGAAAAGGGAGTAAGCCCCTTTTGCGGCCAACGAGCATTCCCAAAGCGGCCGAGCTGGTGCGCGCGCCACTGATGAGGAGAGGGTTGGAAAAGCAGCAGGCCACGACGCGGAATCGCGATGGCTCGGCGAGGTGCGGGGACGGGGCAGGACGCTGCAAGGAAGCCCGTCATCAATTTGAGATGAAACATGCCGCATGGCGGCGAGCAGAGCGCCTGCGCGGCACAACCACACGTCTGGGACGTTTCGCTCTCGAACCCGCCGTATTGGAAAGAAGAGTCGGTCCGTGGGCAAGCAGCGCGCTGCACCGGCGAACCACTCCACGCTCATGCAGTCTGCGCATAGGCGTTGAACGGCGCGGCCTCTCACAGTGAGGGGCCATTCTTCAAACCAAGGATGCTCTCCAGAGGTGTTAGTGGTGGTGAAATGAGACTGCATACGAACTGGCACGCGGCAGAGGCCAGACGACGATGTGACACACGAAAGGTGTGATGACCCCGTTTCTTTCGACCGGATCCAGTTCTGCTCGTGGATTAGTCAAAGACCGGACACAAAGAGCATTCCCTGTCTATAACAGTTGCTGGTATTATGACCATGCGTGATCTGGCAGACAAGGACGCCGTCGCGTGTGTGAATGAGGATGAGGCGTTCCCGCCACTACATTGAGGGCATTGATCATGACGAAACAAGCAGTGGGCAGACGGAGCGGCGCTCAGCGGAGTGCTGAAGTAGGATCGTGGTTATGTCCAGCCCTGTGCCGGCAATTGAGAGTGATCCGATGATAAAGTGAGCCCGTGTTCCTGGAACCTGCCCAGCTCATCTCGGTGCTGCACTGCTGCACACTCCATGTCCAACACAAACTGACGAGGTGACTTATGTTACATTGTCCTCAGCCCGATGTGCTCTGAGCTCGCCACATGCGACACGTCTGCCGCCCACCGTCGCTCGCCAACGGTTGAAATCCGGTTCGGTCGTGTTGCAGGACCATGATCGGTGACTGAAAGGGTAGGAATCCCTCCTGCCTCGACTGCTGTCCTTATTCAGCCCACGACCATAGTCCAATTATGCAAGGGACTTGGCCTCTTACAAGTGAGAACGACGCCTTGACTGAGCTGCTGACACTCGCCCGACTGGCGGTGACGGGGAGCTACGTGGTCCGGTGTGGACAAGCAGGCGCCTGTTAGAGCTTGAGCGCATCAGGGACGTTGAGAAGGGCCCACCCCTCAACACATCGCGCGTAGGCGGAACCTCGTCGTTGCTTTAGTGACTGCAGCCGATGGTCTTTCGAAACGCCATGCTTCCCCCACGCCGTTACAGTTCTTTTCCAGAAGCATCGAAGAATCAATGTCCCAGCCGTGTGGGTGCGCGGCATGCCCAGAGTCTAAATTGGCACTCCCTTCCGTCAGTGGAGCCCGTCCGATAGCGACGCGAATCATCCTCTCCTAAGTTGCGACCCGCTTGACTTGTGAGAGGCGTGACTTTCCCACCTAGTCGGTATCTGCCTGAGTTTCTTTCTAATAATGAAGAGAAGCGCCGACTTGGGACCGAGCTACCATCCTCCATATACCTAGGTATATGGGCTTCCAATCAGCCAGCATTGACCGATGACTACAGCACCGAACACAACATACGTTATCTATCTCATGGCACATTTACCAACGCCAAATTTGCGGTACGAGACACAGACGGTTGAAGCAACGACCCGCCTGTACGGTTCGCTGCCGAATGGAGCAGCGGAAATTGATCATCGCGTCTCCGTCGGGTTTTCTAAGCTTGGTTACAAACGATCTGTCTGCCGTAGGGTTCCAACTCCATCAAAGTAAATGACCTGGGAACGCACACTCGGCAGCAGTTCCCTTTGCACAGCATTGTCTCTCGCGGGACCGAATGTACGGGTACGAAATGTATCTTCATTGCCAAGGGGTCAACCACACAGTGGCGACGAGCCTTCGACATCCGTAACGGTCACCTAGTCGGCCCCAGAAATCATGCCATGATTCCTAAATTAGGAAAGCGTTGGATGCGCTTTGAAGGACGGTAGAGTTAGACCTAGGCAATCTGTCGACACAATAGGCAACAGACCATTCAGGCTCTGCCTAAAAATGCGCTTCTGCAGATCGCTAAACATCCGAACCGCCTCAACCTGTAGCTTTCCTATCACTTCACAGTATTTCGTCTGCCTTTGTTGATAGCATTCACTCGCCGCCATTGTCGGAACTAAGAGCTACGACTCTAATAATACGTCTAGTGTTACGGTGCTTGCTTTGCATATATGATTCAGACTACAGAGCGCAGTTGGTACCTAGGCTATACCTAGGTACAAGGAATAGGAACTTAGTATGATTTGAGTTTATTCCAAGGCTCACCCTTGGGATCCATACCCAGACTCCTAACTGCGGCTGCTGATCATGCATCTGTGATTCCTTCAGTCCAACGGCCTTCAGGGGTTCTTAAGAGGATGATCCTTATGCAAACCGGTCTCGCCGAGCGATAAGAGGATTGATACCTCTGATTATTTTAACGCCAAGAGTATCTAGCTCATTGCTTAGCCATGACAGATGAGCAATTATTCCCGCTTAGCAAAGCTAGCTGAGCTTTCTTTGGCCTCCCATTCCCCGGCAGTTACCCCGTACTAACTAACTCCCTCAGCACCAAGCCACCAAACTTCACAGATAAACATTGCAGAAGCAGACAGAGGGAAACCATATACATAGCAAAATCTCATTGAAGACGCTATCTATTTCGGTTTCGGTCTCGGCCCCATTACGTGACAAAAAGCCCGAGCATACGCAACGGGCCGAGTTGCGTCAGAAGTTGCATCGGAAGTGTTCCGCTCTGCAAGTGCACGTTCCTGTTTGAAAGGGCACGTTAGCCTATTCCCAGCTAACTTATGGGAACCTTGGAGACAATTCGCAAAAGTTCTATTCTGTCTTTCTTTCTTTTTGCTTTATAATAATCTGGTGTCTAGGGAGATTCAGCGATTGATTCGTCCTCAACAGTCAAGCAAATTTCGAAGATTTCAGTTCAGCTGCTCGCTCTGGAAAATGGTACTCCCTGAATCTCAGTTTCCGAAGAATTATCGTCATGCTCACTCACGTCTCATGTCCAATCATCCCCCTGAACGCTCTTCTCCTTTAATCTGATCATCCTTTCCAGCCCCATCTCTTCTTGAAGAATTGCAAGACATACACTAACCCCACAAGCACTGGAACCTCAATCAACGGGCCAACTGTACTTGCTAATGCTTGTCCACTTCCGGCCCCATACACAGCAACCACCACCGCGATAGCTAGCTCAAAGTTATTGCTGGCAGCGGTGAAACTTTGTGTGCAGCTGATCTTATAGCCGAAACCCATCTTCCAGCAAAACCAGACGGTAGACGTGAAGATGACGAGGAAATACACTAGTAGCGGTGCACATACTCGGAGCACATCCGTAATCTGTCGCACGACATGCTGTCCCTGGCTCGCGAAGAGAACAATAATGGTGTAAAGCAGCCCGATCAGCGACCAAGGCGCTATATACCGTATGAAGCGCCTCTGATAAATATCCTCTCCCAAGGCTTTGATCAAAATGAGTCTTGTAAACACGGCCGCACCGAGTGGAATTCCGAGAAACACTCCTACACTCTGTGCAACCTTGCTATAAGACACACCTGTCTTCTTCCCATGGCTAACCACCTGAATGTAGAACACTGCAAATGGTGCAAACAAGACAATCTGCAAGATAGAATTGAACGCCACAAGCACAGCACAGTAATCGCCATCTCCCTTAGCGAGATCAGTCCAGATTAGCACCATGGCGATGCAGCGCGCTATTCCAACAAATATGAGGCCTTCGCGGAGATCCTGGCGATCAGGGAGGAAGGCCCATGCCAGAGCAACCATGAATAGGGGTGCAATGATCCAATTTAAGACGAAAGAGACGAGAATTTGGATCCAGAGAGCGCGGGAGCCGAGAAGGAGGTGGAGTGTTTCGAAGCGGACTTTGCAGAGGATTGGATACATCATTACGAGGAGGCCGATAGCTTCTGTGAGTTAGAGAGTTTGACCCACGGCAGTGTTAAAAATGTCCCAGAGTAGACGCACCGATTGGTAAACTAACACCAACAAACTGTCCCTTCTGTAACGCAGGACCCGTTGATGGCACCGTATTCCCTAGGATGATTCCGATTGCCATTGCCAGGATGATCCAGATTACGAGAAACCTATCCAAAAAGGAGAGCTCCTTCAGAGGAGGAAGGCTCTCGTTTGTTCCATCATTGCCTCAAGTAAAGTCAGCAAATCCCTCCCCTCTGTATACCCAACACACCCAACCTGTATAGTGAGACTCACCAGAAGATACAAATTCAGCCTCCCCATTTCCTTTCTCAACATCGCCACTTCTACCATGTTGGTCCTCCAAAGCAGAATGCTCAATAGTATCCATATGTTCGCAGAAAAGATTCAATTGTGAGAGACTGATGAGCTATGTGAAGTGTCACTGCACTCCCAGATTTTATAACTGTAAAACAGAGGGAAGAATTTGGCCAATCAGGGGATGGGAGGATGTCACCGTTGCCAAGGCGCTAGATGAAAATCCGGCAGAAAAGGAGGCGGTGTGAATGTGGAGGCGGTGACGATGGACAGGGGCGAAGATTGCATGTCACTCCCAGCAAGAGGCGAATTCCTCCTGTTGACTGACCGAAGTGGGCGTTAATGTGCAGTAATAGACATGTAGCAAATTTTGCAGTTGCAGGTAGATGCAGTGGGTTGATATTCCCTTGTTAACTTCTGCAAGTATTTAGATACCTTAACCGTTCCCAATTCATGTGAGTATTGGGGTCGCCGCTTCGCTAGGCTCCCACACCTTCTCGTCCTTGGAGTCTTCTAGATCCGAAAATTCTTCCTCGGTGAGACCAATGGAGTTCTCTGAATTAGCATTTGAGGAGAGTTCGTTTCATGGTCGGAGGGATACGCTTTCGCCGCTAGTCTTCTAAGGAGATTTCGAAGAAGTTCTTAATCTCTACAAAGGTGAAGTGCCTGCCTGCTACCGTGATGTGAATGTCGCACCGGCTGTATTCAGATTGCAGTACACAGGCCGCATTGCCTCTAACGAGTGCTCTAGAATGTGGTCGAAAGCAAAGTGTCCAATTAATCGGCTCAGTCTGAGACTTGCTTTGCGTCGAATGTCAAGCAAAACCTCAAAGTTCTGCCTCACTACTCTCCGAAGAGAGCGTTTGGTGGTGGTGGTGGTTGTGATTCTAGAGATATAGGATATTTTACGGATTATTCTGTATATCAAACCCTGTGAAATGATCGCTTGGCATCATCCTAAGGCCGAAAGAAGTCCACAGTCATAGACCATTCCCAGTCTTGCGCACCCCCAAGGCTGCAACGGCCAAGATCATAGAACACGGCAGCTTCTCGAGCAACATCCATACCGATGTATTTAAGTAAAGCGAACTTCGTTATATTCATCTAGGTGACGCAGCTGTGAAGAGGCTAGTGCACTCAATCTTACACATGTCGATTCAGTCCAGAGTATCCTGCATGATAACCTAGTCCTAAAAGTATCCGTACACTATATCGCGTAGCTCGCGAGGTAAGGAAATATGGAGCTTTGTCACAAACGCTAGAGATTCGGCTTGGGAGTAGGGAATGGATGGCCGTGCAGAATTCGATCTCAAGCTAAGAGTTTCGTATTTCGAGCTCTCGCGGACTCTCTACCTAACTTCTATAAGCCTAATCTCTAGTATTAGTAGTAAAACCTAGGCACACTAAAGTGTACCAGTCGCTAACCTCTTTCGCTTCGCTTGGATGTTGCTTTGTGTTAATAACGACACAAAAAATAATAGTCCGTCATCTAATGAGGTGACTTGGTCAAAACTCGCGTATGTGATGAACGAAATTGCTTCATGCAGTGCGTTGAGAGTAGATGATTGGGGCCAGGTGCTAATCTAGACGAGTTTAAATTCTGACTTGTTGAGTAATGTGGTAGTCATCAATGCTTCTTCGGGATTCACTGCCTGCAACAGCCTCGGGGAAGGTGAATACCTACTCTTAGCACAGGATACGGCGATTCTTACGTATCTTCTAGCCTAGGATGGCCTCCTATCCTAAGCTCCATCAAATGGGGGATACATCCATGCGACTGCGCGTTCTCGTCCAGCTGCTGCCAATGAATTAATTCCACATGAAGCCCTCGCCTATCTCTTAAGTTATAAATATATATATTGAGATTTAGAATGCACTGTACCTTCTCGCCCAATATGGGACATGAAAAGTTTTCAATTCAAGGCAGAAACTTGCATCCCATTGATGTGCTCTCTAATTCTAGTAGAAGGTTTAATAGATTGACCCTACCCTAGTCATGTTCCGTGTTGCCTATACACTGTAGACGAAGGTCCGCTTCTTATCAGAATACCTCACATCATTCGTATTCTCAGCTTGAATATCTTCAGGTGGCATTCTGGCAATTTTCTTCCCCTTATACCTATTCCACATTTTCAACTCAAAATAGTACGCCGATATCACACGTAGGATATGCTAACCAATCCGGTCGTAATATTCAACGGGAAGATATAATTGGGCTCACCCTTGGCGAGAAAAAATTCTCAGTCGGTGGTGTCACCTAGGTTACTATGAAATTCCGAGAACAATTGTGCGATTACCAGGCTCTGAAGTGTTCTAGGTAGCCGGGCTAGGGCGATGGGAGCTGTGATGAAGGTCCCAGAGAACAATATTATAATGCTACCGTAGCGAGGATCAGAGTTCTCTAGGGGAAGCGTGAAAGCTAGAATCATGCCAACGATGGCCAGGAGACCGATGAGGATATGCAAAGTTCGCTCTCGAAAGTGGTCGGAGGAATACGCGAAAACTGGGAGCAGTATAGTGCCGATGAGGTATGGAGGTACGGTCATCGGATTTGCAGTTGGTCCTGGATATCCGAGTCCCTAGTTTTGGTTTAGCGCGCGATCAAGGCATTACCTTTATCATAATGGAAGGAATTTAGTAAAGCTCTGCGGTGCTACGGAAGCAAGAATGCTGAGCGGCAACGCGGCCCAAAGCCTCCAGTCCTTAATCGCCTCTCAAACATCTCTCCTCGAAAGCTTGAGACCCGAATTCAAATTCGCCGCCGAGTCAATCACCATACGTTCTTCGGTAAACTGCCCCTCTGTCGCATCCAAGAACCAGGCCCCTCTCTGGCTTCTAGCCAGCCAAAACGGTGTGACCAACGCAATTCTAATAGTTGCTGTTCCTTCAACAATAAACAAGCACTGCCAGCCGTGCAGGCTGCCACCAGTCTGAAAACATTCGTATGCTATCAGACCGCCAAATGCACCTGTAATTGCGTACCAGCCGTAGAACAATGCGAAGTTGAAACGCGGGTATGAGAGTAAGAGGTGGGAAACACACGTGGAATAAAAGCCGGATTCATGATGCGCTTCATTTCTGACCCAAGCATGCGGAAAGGTTAAGATGGCCCATCCTGGGTCAATGATCTCGAGAAATCTCGGCCAGCCAATCTTCTCCTCAATCACCACTGAAACTGGCCGCAAGGGAATGTAGGTAGCGACACAGTGGCGGACACTCCAAGGTCGGCTGTGGACCCATCGGTTTGCGTATTTCCTAAGTTAGAATGGTTAAGGTTATTGAAGAGATAGGTGATGGTGCAGGTTAGAAAGACGAAGAAGTTGAATTTGCGGTTGAGGGGACGATGGTGTGTATTCTCCTCCAGAGTTTGCGGGGAGTATTCGCCTTGTGGCGAGCTCTGCAGCCCCTGTTGCAGTCGACCGGCATCTGCGCCATCGACCCATTGGACCGCGCAGCTGACTTGCTCTGCCTCTTCCACTTGCTCGGCTTTTTCGAGAGACATTGCTGAGTTGCATTGTATGCCAGCATAAGGGACTCAACCCAACGTAAATGTTGAAACTACATGGCCAGTTTTCCATGGGCGGAATAAAGCATGCAACAATGGATCCAATCAGAACTGCACCCGGTAATCAGGATTCCCATCCCCCTATCTTGGATTACCGAGGAGTAGACATTGAAATCCCCGCATTGATCGACACAATCCAAGCCCTTGGCTCTCGCCACCAACAACCTTCCCTGTGGAGAACTTGTGGGAAACCCCTATTTCCGGGTTAAGTTAGGAAATAGTTCTCCTCAACGGTCTGTAAGTCCACCAATAGAAAACGGCTAGTCTTGTGTGATACTGAGAATGGCACTTGGTCTTCAACTTCAGTCGTCTACATTTTGAATCATGAAACCTCGGATCCTGAACTGCCAAACAGTCGAATTGATGGTCTCTGCTCATTATCCCTGGGATGGAAAATTCGGTCCATGTCACAGGAGAATGACATGCCCAAGCGTTGCGTACTGAATATTCGCTAGCCAAGATGCCTTCACTTATAGCATCACCCTTTTCAACTTCCCCTGACGACGTGCCCACGGCACCACTCCTCACTATCCGGTTAAGCAGGCTTCTTGCCAACGGTGTCGGTGAAAAAGACCGTATCTTTAAAGCTAGCGCATCGCTCGGCTTTTTCTCCCTCGGCCTAACGAACTTCCCAGATGGAGAAGCCGTACACCATATTCGATCTCATAGAGCGGTTCTACTCGCTTTCTCTAGAAGAGAAGATAAAGGAGGATTCCGCGGCCGAAGGTAGCTATTTTGGATATAAAGGGATGGAAGCTGAGGCTATAGATGGTAAAGGGACTCTTGATAATAATGAGATCTACAAGGCGAGCACCACCACTTCGCATATAGCCGATGTTGCACAAGCATCATAAGCACAAAACACTTCACCAACCTCCCCATCTCCCAGGTCTCAAAAGACGACATCCTCTCACTAACTCCTTCTATTCCTGCCCCACCTATCATAGCCACAAATCGCAACCCCCTAATCTACTACATCCACGCCAACAACGCCATCCTAACAACCCTCTTCTCCTCCCTCCCCACCTCTCCCAACCTCCCATTCTCTCCACCGCCACACCGTATCTTCAGGGTGCCATATTCGCTTCATCCGTGCATCTCCCCAACCTCAATCCCCCCAACCAACCTTCAGTGAACACACCGATTTCGGCAGCTTAACAACCCTCTTCAACCGATTGGGCGGCCTATAGGTCCTCCTTCCAGACACCTCGTCTTGGGCCTACGTCCGCCCCATGCCCGGCTGCACGATCATCTCTCTTGGGGATATGCGATGGTGAAGTTCCGGGCGGGGAACTTGAGGAGTAATTTGCATCACATTGTTGCGCCAACCGGGGGTCAGGAAGGATTAGTGGATACGAGGTAGTGGTTGGAGAGGAGACATCAAGGGAGGAAGATCCAGTTTTCCAAGGGTGCGGAGAGTTAGCAGAACGCAGTGGGGACAGAGGGAGCGATGCTGTGAGAGGGTATTTGTACTGGGCTCTGCTTATCTTCATTCTGTCTAACAGTATCTAACAATAGAGCCAACAGCTCTCATCATTATTGCCAATGGTCCGTAGTACGTCTTGGCATGCTATAACAGGCACACGGTATTCTACGATCACAATTTCATATAGCAGTTCGTAGGCATTTCCATCTTAATTCCTACAAGTATCTTAACTGCCTAACTACTCTTCGGACACCTCAAAACCGGCTTTTGTTCTTGAACCGACAGTTTTGTGTACCTAAACCTATATACGTGATATCTAATTAGTTTTCCTGTCTTAAATTCTGTAGAATAACATCTAGACGCAGACTCTTTATTCTTAGTCTGTGCACATTTAAAACAATCCCCTCCATATTCTTCTCTTCATGTCTTGCATTCAGCGCAAAAAGCAGACTTTCACGATTCTAATTCTTTGATTGGAACGCATTTTCTTCAGGCATATACGCTGAAGCGAATATCGTCAAGACGGACATCAGTATTCTAATTAAGCAAGATCTTGACTTGCCCAGCGGTATAGCAGAGATTTTGTATCCAAATGTGAAGAGGATCAAGGTCTGGGACGGATATAGCATCCTTGATGCACTTAAGACGGAAAGTGAAGGTGCTTTGCAACCCTCACCTAGATGAAACCGCGAGCCAGTTAACATGACCAAGCAAGGGAAAAGTATTAAATGAACTCATGATCGTTTGAAAAGTCAAGCTACCTAAACGAACCGAGAAAAAAGAAAGCGCATCCGAATCCACTCCTCTCACCAAACTTCCCAGATATGCGCAGAATCCACGCAGCATCAGCCCTCCTACGCCATCCATAAGCACCTTTGGAAGAATTGAAGATCTGTACCCGTCCCCGAGCTGAAGGTAATTACAGATTTCCAACCCCCTACCTATCCCAAACTTCCATGACTCCCAGAGCTCAGTACCAAACACCGTGACACCAGCCTTGCTGCCGTCAAAGGGAGGAACAGGTCCCCAAGAGTCTATCCCACCATCATGTCATGACTCGCAAAGTCTAAACTATGTTTGCGCCATCAACGATGATTAAAAAATAGTTTGACCTCTATGTGTACGCCGCGCTAGCTCCTGAGCTAGGCGAGGTGGCAGGATGTCCATTTCCAGGGTCGCGAATGAGTCCGCTCGTTGGCTCAGCATCAGTATAAGCCATATCCATATCCATGTCCACATCTCCATCAACGTCTTCAATGATGTCAACGTCTTCAACCTTGACGGCTTTGACATCCCCAAATATATCTTTTTCCTTTTCAAACTTTTTTTGTTCTTTTGTTTTGTTTTCGTGGATGGAATAAGGCGACGTCACGTCGACCAGCGACTTGGAGGAAGAAAACCTAAAATCGAAATCAAACTTAAACCCATTCTTGAAGTCTTGCTTCCCATTGCCATCAATCTCAAACTTCGTAATATCGAACTTTGCATCTTCATTCTCATGAATCTTGGACTTGACATCGGGCATTAGGTCCACACTCTCGAAGCACACCGATTCTTCTTTCTTGACACTTACAGCATCCCCTCGTAGGCCATGTATCTTGATCTTCATCTTGTCCGTGCTCCCGTCTTTCGTAAGCTGGCACCCGCGTCGCAGGCCAGGCACGGCTTCAGTCGTCTTGGTATGTACCTTTTCCCAAATGAGAGGCGGGAGACCGCGTGGGAATGTCTCGCTCGCCTTGAGCGAGTTGCATTCCCAGTACATTTGCTCGCCCGCAAGGTGGAGTAGCCGGTGACTGAGCAGCCGCTCTTGGAGGCTCCAAGCCCGTGTATCCCAGGCGAAACCCGGGGCATACCAGTCGATGAGCGGGAGGGAGGTGTTAGCGATGTCGTCGCTGAGGGTGAGAGCGGCTCGAAGGACAGGGTTGACGCTATCGCTTCTGTCGTTTTCCGCGTTCTCTTGGTTGACCTTGTCGACGACGATTGTGAGGGCTGCATTGCGGTATACGGATGCCATGGCGGCGCACTCGCGGCGTTTCTCTTCTTCCGAATCCTGGAGGACACATAGGGAGTCGGCCCAGATGTAGCGGAAGCCGATGCGGTTTGCCGCTGAGATAGCGTCGTTCACTGCTTTCGGGAGAATCTCGCGAGAGATTTCGCCTTGGCTGCTGCCCAGACGGTCGTTGGAGAGGGTAACGTCCCACTGGCTCCAGAGGTGATTGAGGACGACATATTCGACTCGGCTTGATTCCCACTCAATCTCAGAGCTGTTGACGACGCGGATAGTGCGGCCATCTGGTCCACGCGGCTGACTGTCGACGAGGCGTGTCGGGAGAGACTTAGAATCTGAGGTCTGTCGGCGACAAGCTTCGTGTCCATGGGAGCACTCATCAAGCCACGACTTCGCTCGCTCAAAGGGTCCAAGTTCATGCCTGTGATCGGCTCCCGTACATGACTGCAACTCGGCCAGGCAATCAAGCATCTCTACTGTGCCAAGCTCCTCGAGTGGACCAGGGAACGAGACCTTCTCGTTTGGCCACTTGAGGCAGCAAGCAGAGGGAGTGAAGATGATGGTAAGCCTTGCCGCATTCGGTCGTTCAGCGGGCTCTCGACTTAGCATCGCCTTGATGGTGTGAAGGGCGGCGGTCTCTTGCGGAGCGGTGGCGTGGTCGAGGAATTCAGATAGATATTCGTGTAGTCGCGAAACGTCCTGCCAGTAACATTTGCCATCACTGCCATGGAACTCCTGGCGGAATTCTTGCCACTTCGGATTGCTCTGGATGAGGATGGCAGAGGCCATCTCAAGGAATACACAACCAAGGCTCCAGATATCTGCTGCTTGTCCGCGAGTCGCGGTTTCGGGTACCTCAGGCGCGCAGTACTGGCGTGTTAGAGGCTTGGAGCGGGGGCCAGAGGAATCCTCCTCTGAAGAACTGATGCCGAAGTCACTCAGGACTATGTGGGGGATGCCGGAGTCACCATGCATGACAAGGATGTTCTGTGGCTTAATGTCCATATGCTTGATTACCGGCCGTTGCTCGTGGAGATACCGAATCGTTGATGCAAGACAGCCATACATCTTGAGGATTACTTCAGTCAGCCCAGCGGGTTTCTCTGTCATAGATTTGTCGATCCAGAGGGCAAGCGTTGTCTCCGCCACCGGAGAGAGGAGGATTGAGACTTTGTCGCCCTTTGAGTACGCTCCGAGGAAGCGGATGATGTGAGGGTGCCGAAGTTTCTGGAGCACATCAACTTCTTTCTTAAGCTCCTCCAATGCAGAATGTTCCCGGTTCTTCAGTGTCTTCCGACTAACCCTCAGGTTTGTCTCGCGGTGAACGACCTCGTCCACTGTACTGAAGCCACCAGTACCAAGGAGCTTGACGCTGAGGAAGGATTGCGATGTATGGTACATGTCTAGTGTAGGAGGGTTTATCTCATGCCAGTCGGATTTGCCCGAAGAGGTCTGGTCTGAAGCATATCCGAAGTGTTCCGTGGCTTGACAAGTGGTCTCCAAGAGAGGATCTTGCATTACATCCATTTCTGTAACATTGTTAGACAGCAATCTGCACAAATTGGAGCGAAGCATACCGGATCCGTCGCTCAAAGAGCTGTCTTGTAGTAGAGTAGCCGAATAGTGGTCCAATAGGACACCCTCTTGCGCTTTCTCCAGATCGTTTTCATCTGTAACATGCTTGCTAGTGACGTTAGCAGTGCGAGCGTTCATCATCATTATGACCTCGAGGAGCGAGCTGATACCCTCGGTAGCACTGCTGTGGCCAATTTTGGCCTTGGTGGCACCGAGGTGGTGCGTTTGATGGAAGCGGTGTCGGCTGCGGCGAGGGGCGAAGACATCGGTGACAGAGGTAATGCCTATACCACTACCGGCAGGGGTACCATTTCCATGCGTCTCGATATAGCTCACGTCTTTATGCGTGTCTGTCCGGCTCATGAGGGCGTTGAAAAAGTCTTCAGGGTTTTGGAGCGATTGACCTGTGCCAATAACGACGGCGCTCTCTTTTATTTGTTGTGTATGCATCTCTAGGTTATCCTTCAGTACGACTCTCGTAACGCAGTCATCCAGATGTTCATAGAATTCCTGAGCATTGGCGAACTTGACTGTACATATGGAGCAATTTCCGGGCTTCTCAGATCGAGATTTCTTGCGACTGCCAGTAGGGTTCTGCTTGACATCGTGAACCCGAGTGAGATGGCGTTTGAATACGTCCGTGCGGGTAAAGGAATTTTCCGTTAGAGCAGTGGCAGAACAGAAGCCACAGACCATGGTACCTTTGTAGTGAGTTAGTGTATGTCGGTTCTCGTCGTACTTTCGTGCGAAGCCCTTAAAGTGGTATTCGCAGGTCGCGATTGGGCACTTTTCTGGTCGCTCGTTTTGGTGGGCCAGCATATGGGTCTTGAGATGCTTGAAGACACGTCCGCACTCTGGGTTAGGACAAATGCCTTTCTCCTTGCTCTCTTCGTTGAAGGGTTCGCGGAAGGGTTGCATACAACCGAAGGTTGAGGAAAGAGATGAGGCTGGCAGTCCCGGCTCGTCAGGCTGGAGGTCGTGGTGTAGATCTTCAGTCCAGGGAGCCATATCGCCACAGTACCCTTGAATCAAGTCGCAGAACGTAGGCGTAACTTTGAATTTCTCATCGGTGCTCTCCGGAGACTGTCTCGGAACCCGCGGTGGAGGCATCGTGGACTCGAAGGAGTGCCCATCATTTGAAGAAGATGCATTCGAGGAAGACTCATCCTCAACTACTGCACCAACCCTTTCAGCAGGGCGAATCCCATCCGCAGGTGACGATAGGTCCATATCCGATGATCCAAGAGAGGAAGAATCGGAGACTGAACTGACATCTTCCAAAGGTTGGGTTACGTTAGGAGATACCGAAACAGAGTTGCTTCCCTCTGGCTTCGAATATGCCCAGTGGGTGTCATTTGTCGTAGATGGCCTTTCTTGTGTGGTCTGGTCATCTAGGTCTTGCAATAGTCCGCCTAGTTCGGGTTTCGTAATCTTTGGTAAGGGTGACATCGCCTTACTTACGGTCCTGGTGACAGCATCTCTGGCCATAGCATCCGTGTGACAGTCCGCTGCTTCATCGCGCCTTGGGATTGAGCCTGATGGAGATGAAAATGAACTCGAGGTTGACTTGGGGTTTCTGTGGATTCGTTCGCCGGTGTACGCTCCTGGAGGTGAACGTCCCTCAGCACAGCCATCTGAGAAAATGTGACCCTGTGTTCCACTGTATGTCTGTGAACAATGTGGTTTAATATGCTGGTTGGCTGTCTCGCCGCAGGAAGATTGTCCGTGAGAGACCTCGTCACTGATCTCTGACAAGTGGAATTGCGAGAAGCTCGGTGGAGGTTGGCGTCGACCACCGCGTTGGTTACCGCCATTGCCACTGCCGTTTTGCTTTGGGCCTGGCCGGTCTTGTGAGTCCTTGTCTTGTGGATTGTTTGAATGATTGCTATTATTGTTGTTATTGTCGAAGGCATCGCTGTCATGCCTATCGTCGTCATCATCGACATTATCAGAGTCGTTGCTGTCATCCTCATCATCATTCCAGAGGAGCATGTTCTTTCCTTTCTTGAAATGGTCTGCTATGTGGTCAATGCGGTCCTGTCGCGACGTGAAGCGGTGAGGACAGAAGCCGCATTTGCGAGGGAATGAAGTGTCAGAATGGACGACACTCTCCTCCTCGTAGTCTGCACTATTCAGCCCCGGGTGGATGTTCCTGAAGTGCTGTAAATTGTTAGTCAGAGAGCCAAATTTAGGAGAAAGATGTGCTTACTTGAGAGAAATGGTATCGTCGAAAGCAAGGCTTTACTTTCTCCACGCCCTGGCTGACACACAAACTACATTGCCAAGACTTGGATGGGTAGCCTTCTTCTTCGTTCCTCTTCCAATCACACTTCCGGCCGTATCGCTTCCCACACTTTCGTGTGCACTGGTAGATTTTGTTGGGGTCTCTACAAAGAAGCTCATGCTTGTCTGTAGGAGTGCATCCCTTCCTTCCACCGCGAGGAGCTGACTGCCCAGTCGTTGTCGTAGTATCGTTGCTGCATGGAGCAGTGGAAGCTGTATCCATCCAACCAGTTGAGGTGTTTGTCAGCTGGTCTTGCTGGCTTAACCTGGTCTGAGACTTGTATGCAGAGTCATGACCAGACATGCCCTGCTTTAGCATTTGCCCGAACCAATGTCGGATGGCAGTTGGCGACTCCTCTGTGAGCTGACTGAGAGACTCGATATGCCGGTCACTAAAAGAGCCGTTAGAACTTGTTTTATAACGGCTACCGCGACTGACATAGTCAGGAGAATGAAAGTACTCGATCACTCGTGAAGCCCACCCCCAAGGGTGACATTCATGAGTGGAAAGCATAGTAACGATAATGGGGTAAACGAGAACTGCTGTACATACCCAGGAAGCACACCATACTTGCTAAACCACGTAGCACAAACATCTGCCGCCTCGTCACTAAGCCCGATCTCATTCAAACTCGTTGGCGTCGGCTGGGTATCCACCGTCCAGCTTGACCCGGTCACACTTGCAGACGGGACAAAGGGTGAGAAGTCGGCATACCCCGACCTCTCCTGACGCTTCGGCTGTGGGAAGTCCTGGGTATCCAGCTGTAGCGGACGCTTGTGGATATTACCGCTACCGCTGAATTGTGATTGATTCAGCGACCCAAATGACTGAACTGGTGTGGATGTGGATGCAAAGTCATCTATCGCGGGAGAGAGCTGGTTGTTCCACGCGGAAGCACTTGCCATGGTGTTATCCATGCTCTGCGAACATCATCAGCACTCAACCCACCATTAAACCAACAGCATCATCACTGGCTCGATCTTACCAAGTTCTGCTGTAGTCCAAATCCAGTCTCATGGGGAAAAGAAAAGAGATCTGTAGCATTCATGGAACCAAAGGACTGCTGCGTGTTCGCAACTCCAAACTGGCCCCCAGACGTATCAATCCCCTCATCACCCGCAAAGAAGAAGCTGGAGGTGTTATCCTCATTCGGCTTCATAAACGCCTGATCCGTCATCTGCGCAGCCGGCTGCGTATAATCCGTGTTGAAACTCAAGTCGAAATCCAGGTCGTTAAAATTAAGGTTGTTAGCGCCATCCATGATTGAGGCCCCTCAATTTGCGATTTCAAAGCGTGGAGTTTAGGGCGCGGAGTTGAATATTTTTCGAGCCCAGGGGCGAGAGAGTTCACGATGGAAAGTGAGTCAGTGCCTAAGGTTGGGTAATATCAATCTTTTTGTCTCGAAGATGTGCCCGGCGCCGGTGAGATTGAAGTTGGAGTCATTCCACATTGCTGCAGCCCTTCCGCTCTGGAAGGGCGCAGAGCAGCGGTAGGCAGCCATTAGCGAGGATGTGTGTGGCTGTGAAGCCAACGTAACGAACGGGCCCTTGAAACTGTGTATTAAGCCACAGAATTGCTCTCCGTGATTCTAGCAAAGAATTTAAACAGATAGAAAGTAACCTAACTGTGTTCTACATTAAGTAAGAAGGTGCAGTGCAACATACTCAAAACTATCGTGGAGGGTTAGCAAGGCAGATTTGATCAATTAGACCTATGGCTAGAATTGCGGAGGATTTAGTAGGATGCCATTTCTGTTTTAAATCACCACCCGGTCAAGTTTTACGTTCAGTGATAAGATGCAGTGGAGATATTTACAGCACAAAGAAGTGTGACACTCCGCACAAGACACTCGAAATGCTCGCATTAATTTCTGTTTGCATGTTATTCGGAGAAGGGAGAGTGTCGATGTTCCTTCCCACGCTTCGAAAATTACTGGCCAAGCATCATCGCTAAGCCAGTCTAGCAAGAGAAGGGCGGTGGAATCACTTCGAGGCTGTGCAGCCAATAAGAGAGTCCGGGCTCGTGGCTGTGTGCGTTGGCTTCACATTGCCCCATTTCTCCGAGCAGTTTCGCTTATGTTTCTGATCAAATGGTTCACGAGCGAGAGTGGTTGAGCAGAGGAGGGTAGTAGGGAGAGCTGGTTCTTTTAGCTATCCTACAACGCGAAGCGCCATTTTCTACCAGAGCTCCTCGACCCTGTATTACCAGATGAAACCTTGACTCTGCTGACATGTTGAAAATCGCAATACATCGTCCAGTCCATTCCCTGAGCCGAAGTAAAAAGCTTGGAATATGATTGACCATCAGTCACATTGCCCACAATCTTTGAAGTAGTAATTTGCCTATCAACTTCGCACGCCGGCTTCCCTACATCATCATTTCGCTACGCCTTCGATTATTCAGACTTTCTCCGGATCGTTGATACCACCGTTCGTAATGATGTAGGTAGCCTCCTTTTCCGGCATGTCTGGAAATGCGATTAGAATTCTGCACATCCAGAATATTAGGAACAGCATTATCTACCAGGTGAGTCCTGGATTTTTGCCACTCGTTCTTCACCACGACCCTTTCGAAGCAGAATCCTGGTCGCTGAAGCATGCGCAAGAATGTGGCCGCCAACTGGTTTACGACCATCTGCACCGGCAAAAAGAGCACTGGCTCCGGGATCGCTCTGGACTTGGTTGGTCATGAGGACGGCGACATTGAACTCTGTGAGTTGTTAGACTGCGTATCGGATACTGGAATGGTGTCTAACATACCTTCTGCAACATGTGTCAACTTGGAGAGGAACTGATTCAACTTCTGCTGTCGTTCATTAAGCTCTCCTCGTCCAGTATAGTCAACCCTGAAAAGAGCCATGATGCTATCAACGATCAAGAGGCGGTACTCGTTGCCAACGAAGTATTCGGCGACTTTATTGAGGAGTTCCATTTGGTGTTCTGAATTAACAGCGCGAGCATAGGTGATGTTGTCTTGGGCTGAGTGATGTGAGTGGATGAGCAATGCGACAAGGTAAAAGATCATACCAGTCTCGGGGTCCACCCCAAACCGCTCAGCAATCTGCGCGATCCTCTCGGGTCTGAAGGTGCCTTCCGTGTCTAGCTCGGGATATTAGATAACTATTCGAACGGGAGTGTCAATTATACCGATGTACGCCACTTTCCCTTCGGCCCCCCCAAGATCCTTAGGCAGCTGGGCAATCACAGACATCGTGTGAGATAATTGAGTCTTTCCGCAGCGGAACTCTCCGAAGACCTCGCTGATACTCATGGTTTGGAAGCCGCTGGATCGAGTAAGCGTACGATCAATGGTGGAAGCAGGCTCACAATCACCCCCCGAGGACAGCATCGAACTGTTTGCTGCCAGTCGATATCTTCATGACTCGCTTCCGTTGTTGACCGAGTTCGTGAGCGGTTTGGAAGCCTCCTCCAGCAGGCTGACACTTCGCGATAGCATCCTTAACCTTATCAACCTTAATCTCACTGAACCCTTTGATCTTCAGCAACGTCCGGCGAGTGGCCGCATGGACAGACTGTCATTAAGTTAGCACGCCGAATACCCCCTTCCACCCGCACTGAAGTGCTGAACGTCTACTCACAGCAATAGTGTAATACCCATTCGCCTTCAACTTCGCAATGTCCACAGCACCGATACCTACCCCGTCAGTCAGCCACAGCATCCACATCTGCCCGGAGCAAGACACATACCATGTGCCTGAATCACATCGATATCCACGATGAAGCCATCCTACCCAACACCAAGTCAATACTGCGCAGGAGTGAGATTGAAGCCCAAGAATTATGTCGTACATCGTTCCCAGAATCGTCGCTTGCGACTGAGGAAGGGGCCATGGTCGGTTCTAGTTCTGGTTCTGGTTCTGTGAGTTGGTGCTGTAATGATGGTTTGCAAAAGAGTGATGAGAATGTGTTCTCAGTAGACAATAGAAGAGAGAGCGACCGTAGATGTAGGAGTGATAGTGAGGGTCAGGGTGAGGGGAGGCTGGTGGCGAGCTGGCTGCTTTGGAAAGGGAAGGAAGAAACGGCGATCCATACTCGCAACGCGACGCCAAAGCACGTGTTTCTAGAAGCCTTCCAAAGTTAGAAGATGCGCGGTAGTACGGATTGACGAACATTGAAACTGAACTGTCGGAAGTTTTGATGATAATGAAAAGGCAAGTGTAAGAGTTAGAACAAAGGTGCATCGAGTAGCTCCAGGAAATATCCAGAGTGGAGATGGGCAACCAAATACGGACCAAGAAAATCTCACGCACACATACGGCAGGCTATCTCATATTCACAGAGTAGATTAGCACACTAAGCCATGCTAATTACGATCCTAAACAAAAGGTAGCATAGGGGATAGGGTAAGGGTAAGCAACAACAATAAAAAAGGGTAAAAGCCACATACTGCCACTGCAGAATCTCCAGCTCCGACAAAACACACACAATAACTCTGCATTGCCACTGCAAATCCAATGCCAATGCCTTCAGTCCTCCCTCCACACCATCCCTCATCCCTTTCTCCAACTTATCTTATCCACAACACACCACCACCGTCCGTACACAGCACAGCCGTCGCCTTTCTACGTCCATTGATTGATGCCATAACTCTTCGTCTATCCAAGTAAGATCCATCATAAATCCCCGTTCACCAGAAAAGGAAGATATTCAAGAACATACAAAGAAGGAGTAAGAATTATTTTCAGTTGCCCCATCAATATCGATCAAGTGTTGTTTCAATTCGCCAAGCCGTTCAAAGTATGATGGTTTCTTGCGTGTAAAAGGGATAACGTTCGTGGGGTATCAGCGTAGGATTCGTGAAAACTTTTTTTCTCTTTAATAGTAACTCGTGATTGCGTAAGTTTGCCAGTTCCGAGGGCGTGTGGTAACAAGGCAGCCAAGGCCTAAAACGATTGTGGGTGACGAAACGAAGGTAGGGATGAGAAATTCAGAACAGGGGTAGTGTCGAGGATATTTGTCACGTCGATGTTATTCGCACAGGTGTGACTGAGATCGGTTGATTGATTTAAGCTACGGCAGTAGTAGGGGCCGGGGGTTGAACGGCAGCAGGCGGAGCAGTGCTGTCGCCGTTGACCTCAGTTTGAGTGCAATCGCGAGAGATATGGCCAGTTTCGCCGCATCGGTAGCAAGTCTTGCCCGCAGTGTTGAGAGGACCGCCGTTTGGCGCAGTGCAGTCACGGGAGATATGACCTAGGAGTGCGTTAGTCATCTCGCGCTCCATCAGATGATCGAGGACTCTTTACCCAATTTCCCACAAGCATAGCACTTCATAGCCTGAGCTTGGCAGTCTCTGGCGAAGTGGTTTGGTCCACCGCACTTATAACAAGTGGCTGGGCGAGGGCCGCCCGCAAAAGCGCCTCGGAAACCTCCGCCAAATCCGCCTCTAGGAGCGCCAGCTCCGCGTCCCATTCCGGCACCAGGGTTAGGGCAGTTACGGGCCAAGTGGCCAGTCAGGCCACAGCTATAGCAACGTCCACTAGTACCGGATCCGCTGAGGCGGAGAGTTGGGCAGTCGGCCTAGGAAGGTTAGTGGTCCCCTCTAAATACCAGAGCTGCGGAACATACCTGGACATGTCCAAGGCCCTGGCAGTGGTAGCACTGCTTTGCTATTAATCCGTCAGAGATATTCCTCACGATTATATAATAACACTACTCGAGGCTGGATCGACATTGCTACCGCCACTCCGCTACGCAGAGGCGAACATGTTGCGCAGACGAATGTTAGGATACTGGGAAATTGACGTACTCTCGGTGGTGCGTGGATGCGGGCATCCGTTAGACTCATGGCCAGGCTGCTTGCCTTCAAGCCGTCAGCATGCGCTCGGGAGATGGTGGGTGGTCTTGAGCTTACAGTTGTAGCAGAGCCTCTCGGAAGACGAGCACACCTCTGTTTGACAGCCATGTTAGTCACGTGCTCCTCCTGCAGCGATTCTGTATTGGCTGGGGCTGCGCGGCGCAGATACTGGGACTGAAGTGCAGTCTTGCGACACTCTCCCTCCTCAGCATCCTACGACAAGCGCATGCCGAGGCCGAACGGCACAGGTATGCTCACCAGCGTAGTGCCCGACGTTCCCGCACTTGAAACACGCACGGCGAGATAGAGAAGACATTGTGTATCCTCCACGTAGATTCTAAGTCCAGATATGAGTATCGTGAGTTGGTTGTGGAAGAAAGCGAAAAGGGGTGGCGAGCGGGCAGAGCGCCGTCGAAGAAGCAACGTTTGAGAGTCTGGCGTGCGCTCGACGGCGACGTCTGCTCTGCTATGAACCGGCGCAACAAGTGACGAGGGCGCGTACCTGCTTTCACGTCTTCGATTCCTTCACCTGCGCGGGACCGGTCAGCGATGAAAATTTCGAGCCTGCGGCGGGGACGTGGCGCGCGCCGAGGGGCGAGTGCGCGCTCCTCCCCCCGCGGTGAGTCGTGACTTACGTTCAAGTCTCCAGTCCTTCCCTCAGCGACACTGCTGCGACCGTCCTCCGCTTCGTGCTGTGGGCGTTGGGTGAATATGTAGTTGGCAGAGATGCAGGCCAGGACAAATGCTCGGGCTGCAGGCCAAAAGGATGAGGGAAGCGCTGTCCGTGCACGCTTCGGCAGAGCTCTAGCGACCTGCGCAATTTTGAGTGGCCCGAGGTCTCTGCCAGCATCAAAAGCCGCCAAAAAGGGAGGGTCCAGATTCCGTCACGGAGCATGACGGGCCTTGACTTGCCCTGCCACGTTGAACCTGCACACCATGACGAGAATTTTCACCCCCTATCTTGCCCAGATTGGCCCTCGACAACCCTATCACGGCCCGCTGGTGGACTTCGTTTTTGCACCTCGTCCGCCTCTGCCGCCTGGGTGGGAGACGGAAGCAAAACACGCACCTCGCGTGCGCTAGCATAGGGGGCAGCCCCGCGTGATGAGTTGTGACACAATATTGGGCTGGGCACCGCTCATCAGGACATCGACATCCATCCCCACATCATGTGGCAGAACCCCATCGCTCGCGGCGGAATTTCTCCTCGTCCTTTTTTATTTGCTTTTGGGCAGCGCGCGGACGTCTGGAAGAACCCTAGCCCGAGCCCCGAGAGCTGGAAAATTTAGGGGACTGGTCAGGCTTCATGCCCTATGATGTCCGGCTGCGCCGGCTCTATCCGAGCTGAGCAAGGCCTGCATCATGAAGAGACTCTTTGCTGCATGGGCTGCAGAAATCAGTCTCGTTGCCAGCAAATCAAGAGCCGCAGATGCTGCTATCGTGGCTCGAGCGATTCCCCTATGGCGTGCATGTCAGCACACGATATGCCCATGTCCCAGCAAATCCCCCAATCCTACAGGGAACGGTGCAAAAACTCTGAGATTCAGATTGATCTTTGCGGCTTTGCGCGGTGGGTTTGCTTTGCAGGATAGATGAGCTTGATATCAGGCTTGGCACCATGGATGCGGTTTTGGCTCGGGCCGCGCAGTCGGCGTCAGATGCGTGGATGTTGCGCGCGAGCGAGCCTGGGTTCCTGCATAAGAGACGCTGAAACCCCGGTTAATCTTGTCATACGACCATGGCTGAAGTCACGATGAGCTGCCTGGTAGGAGAGCCACGCCTGTTTACGGAAGAGGTGGGGATAGGCGAGATAGGTTGAGGACGAGTCAGGCCGGGCACACGCGCTGTCGCGTCCTATGGAATTTCGGAGGGAGAAGGTGATTGGAAAGCTTCTTGCTAGAATGCGCGAATATGTCAAGAAGATACTTGCTTCTGTTTATATACTAGCACGTTTGCTAGGGAAAAGGAGAACGTCAAGCGGATGCACACTTCTTAACCTGAGCCCGAGTTTCCATGATGTGCTAACATGCGGTAGGTGCGGAACAGTCTTTTCTTAATATATGGTTGGTTCTATCTTTTATTGTCCCCCGGATCCGCAATGGACTTTTAAGTTCATTCATTAAGGAAAGTTATGAGTCGCCATGATACTTAGTCCTCCTTCTCGATGACTGCGGGAGCCTTGATCGTACGGTCCTTGAGGAAATCAAGACCTTCGCCGCCCTGTTCCAGTGGTGATTAGATTTCATCCTGGCCATAATATGTTCGGAGGGACTTACATATGAGATCAACGGCGAAACCTCAATACCATCTTCCGCACCCTCGCTCACAACAACAGCGCCCGCAGCCCGCACCCACTTCGCGCCTTGTGTCATGATATCCTTCTTGCTCGTATCTGGATCATCCTCTCCAGTCCCTCTCGCATTCTTCAACGGCGAGAACTCATCTTCACGCTTAACCTCCATGCAAGCGAACTTGTCCATAGTGAGGAAAGGGAAACAGTCGAAAACAAACTGCTCCAGTTTGATACCATTCGGCTTCTCCGGCTTGACTGTCTCGCCCTTCTCTGTATCCACATACGGAATCTTCTTGCGCGCAACATGGTGAGGCAGCTTCTTCGCCCACTCTGGGATGCTCTCCAGAAAACGGTACGAGTAGTAGTGGTTCACAATATTCGCAGCGCGGAACTTTAACAACTCCGAGTTCTTGGGGTCCTTTGCTTCCGCGTCTTTGGTGTCGATCTCAGAGTACTCGACGACGTCTGGTCGGCCATTCTTTTGGAGGATCAGACCGACGGATTCCTTAGCATTTCGTTTCCGGACGACCTTTGTAGCGATGTCGACATCTTTAGAGGCTGAGAAGCCGATGAAGACAGGATCGGCGACTTTTACGAGACAGTTGTCAACGCAGTAGGCGTGGATGTGTTGGATGCCGCGTTTAGACATATCGGCCACGACGCCGGATTGGATGAGGGCTTGGTAGATACCGCCGTTGCCGTCGGGGGCCACAGCAACCTAGAAACGTCAGCGATTGGTTCCTGCAGATTCAGAAAGCAACCGGTGCTACACACTTTTGACTTGCTCTCAAGTAGAATCTTGCCTTCATTCGAGATGCAAGGAAGCACGCCCTGCTCGAAGATAACGACATTCTCCTTCTTGAGACCAAAATAGCTATTCTCCTCAAAGAACTTCTCCGTAGGGCCCCGCGTCGGTCCACTGGTCATAACATACCACGGCACCGTCACCCTATCCTGACCATACTTCTTCTTAGCCAACTGCTCCACCTTCGAAATCCTCTCACCTTGCAGCTGAAACAGGGACTTCTTGCTGGGGAGACCAATATCAAAGCAGCCTTTAGGGGCAGAACTACCCAATCGAGTGCCCTGCCCACCAGCCATCAATACCACCGCAACCTTGTTCTTCGCAATCAGCTCCAGACCGCTATTATACCATTTCTCCAAATCCTCCGCCTTGGAGTCCAGCGCCGAACATGTGGCATTATCAGGCAAGGGCTCGATGGTCGATTCGGTGGATTCCTGTTTTGGGGGATGCAGTGCCTTGTCTGTAATCTCGTTGATGTAGTCAGGGGTGAAGCCGGAGAGCTGGGCGAAGAGTCCTGCCTTCTCTGCCGTGGAGAGGCTGTCATAGAATGCGAAGACCTGTTCTTGGCCCGCCTTCTCGTACTTGGACCTCAGTTCTTTGACTTGCTCTTCGCTGGGCTCCGTGGTAGGAGCACCGTTTTCACCGCCTGTGACGTGCAATTTTTCGAGGAGCGTGTTCACGGTTTCTTTGACGGCGGCCATGATGCAAGCGGGGTAAGCGGAGCTCGAATGTCTGACGAGAAGGGGAATGTGGAGAATTGGATCAAGGAGAAAGGAGCCAATGTTCAGATGCAGGAAAATTGAAGACTGAAAAGAAGTCGCGGTCTCAATTTAAGTTTATGAGGGAAAGCCAGAAGCTCAGCTGCTTTGCCCTAACGCCACACAGAGTGGGGTCCCAGCACAACGCAGCCTCACCGGCATGTGTCAGCGGGCGCAAATCATCACTAAAAATAGTCATTCAGAGGACAATTCATCCGTTGGAATCGTAAAAGACTGTGAATTGGATATATATCTAGTCGGCTACAGGCAAAGTTCCTATTTAAAAGTTTGCAATTTGCCTCCTAATGTCGAACGTCAGAATCGTCGAGATGGACAACGAAAATGCGATACCAAAACATCAGGAACCCCGCCCTATAATTAAGCTGACGGTAACCAGTACACGGCCATACGAAAGAAGAAAGTGGTAATGCTCGTCGACACAGATTTAGCCATGGAACCTAGATCGCAATGACGTTTAATAAGAAGTGAAGAAGAGGCTACAATGCGTGGCCATTTGCTTGAACACCATTGGTTTGCGGTTCCTCAACTTTCAGTGGCTCGGCTGGCGCTGGGTTTAGAATGCGGGTTGCATCTATTAATCTGGCATTGGGGTTTAATTCGAGCCCAAACCCAGGTCTGTCTAGATCAGAGACATCTAGATATCCCTTCGTTGGAATAGGTTCGTTGAGGAACAAATCACCAAACACTGGTAAGACTGACTTGCCGTCTGGGGAATTGGCCAAATACTCCTGGAATGGCGAGTTCGCCTGGCTGACGACGAAATGGTACGAATAGGGTCCGCTGGCATGAGGAACGACGGGAATGTCATACGCGGCGGCCATAGCGGCGACTTTGAGCAATTCCGTCATACCTCCGACCCACATGACATCTGGCTGGAGGATGTCCAGGTTTCGGCCCTCGATCAATTTCCGGAACCCATACCTGGAATATTCATGCTCGCCCGTAGTAAACTTCATGGTGGGATGAGCGCGCTTAATAAGCTCAAAGCCATCTGAGTCGTCGGGGGATAAGCACTCCTCCCACCAGTTCAAGTTGAGGTCTTCGCAAGCCTTGACAACCTCAATTGTATATGGGACGTTCAAGCTCATGTAGCAGTCAACCATGAGGGGAAAGTCAGGACCAACGCTCTCACGGTGTTTCCGGAGAAACTCGACATTCTTCTTCAACCCCTCAACGCCCTCACCAGGACCATATGGGAGCGGAACCTTTGCACCAAAAAACCCCATGGCCTTTGCCGCTGCAGGTTCTGGGCCGGTGCAATAGAAGTTCAATCTTTCCCGAGTTGCTCCACCAATCATCTTGTATACGGGCTCGTTTCGGATTTTCCCCAACAGATCCCAAATTGCAAGATCGATCACAGATATGACAGCAACAGGCAGTCCTTTCCGCCCGTAAAACATGGAGGCGCGGTACATCTGCTCAAACATGTGGTTCGTATCTCGTGGGTCTAGGAGACATATGAGCAGGGAGATTCATTCCACAGGGTCCACAGGACCCACTCTCCGCATCCAAGGCCAGGAGGTTCAAGAAAATGGGACTACCTTTGCCAATAAGGAATCGCTCAAAATGCTCTGCAACAAGCCAGCAAGCAGGGGGGCCACCAAAGCCGGTTGCAAAACCTTTGCTACCATCCGATGCTTCAATCTCGACACAAAAGGAACCCAATACATTGATTCCCCAGCTTGTCCGCGATTTCCTATATTCTTCGTATTGGGACATAGGTGTTGAGATCTTGGAATCTATCAGCCAATGGCCCCCATGGACATTGTGATAGTCGCCGCCAGACCCAGGCCCCTGAGTAATGAAGGTTCGCACATGCTTGATAGCCGGAAAAGCCCGGACAGCCGTGGAAGCTGTATTTGAATGCATGATTGAAAGATGAGACCAGCACAAAAGCCACGAGAGGAAGTGGAATGACGGGTGAAGGAGTGGGATGAGGCACAGAACAGCTGAGGCGGGCGCACTATTAAATACGTGTACACGCTCTTGTGGGAGGTTCTTCTTGAACAAGAAATACCACACTAGAGGCGGTGTCAGCTTGCCTTTCGGGCAATCTCGCTGCAATAGCAATGCCGAAGAGATAGGCCATGTTGACTTCGGCTTTTGTGTGGAGCCTCAACGTGATCGCTGGTGGGTGGTGATGGTGGTCGAAGGAAGTAAGACAAGCCACCATTGGCTCGCACGACGGGTGAATAGAGAGCCTTCGCAGACGTATAGGGGGGATTACAGCACTAGTCAGCGCAACCAGCCACTCAACAGCGTTCACAGCGCTGAACATCGATAAATACTCGATCTGACCCACAGCCGGGCCAGCGCCAAAACTGGCTTCCGACGGCGGGGAACATCACCTTCGTTCCTCGGGTTAATGCTCTTGCGATGGTTGCTTGAGTGCCGCTCGACACATCGCATTCCAGAGGCCTTTGCCCGCGATGGACCTGGCAGGTGCCAATACCCAAGTCCAGAACTATGTCAGCCCAGACTCCAATGCCAAATTGTCCCAGCACTCGCCGACGGGCGACGATGACCACGACAACTGGAGTTCGAGCGCGGACGAGGCCAACCGCAGCCAGAATGGCACCGCGAAGCGCAAACGCCCTCTGTCTGTCTCATGCGAGACGTGCAAGCAGCGCAAGGTGAAGTGCGATCGCGGTCAGCCTAGCTGCGGATGGTGTATGAAGAACCACTCGGCCTGCACGTACCTGCCGCGCAAGAAGCCTGGGCTGCGCGCTGGCTACGGAAGGGAGCTCGAGGCACGACTGGGTGAGTGAGATGAGTGCGCAAGACGTGTTTTGGAGGTGCACTTGGCTGATGGAGGCAAGCGCAGACAAGCTCGAGTCCCTGCTCCACCACCAGCAGAACCAGATCTCGCAGCTGTCGAGCAACCAGCTGTCCAACTCTCAAATCGCGCATTCAGGGTCCTCGCCGCAAGACGGCCCCGTGTTTAGAACGCCGCCCATACTCCAGACCCCCCACATTCCGCGGCCAGAGACTGCCTTGTTCCTCCAGAAGCCGTCTGTCTTCTCCCAACAGCCTCAGCTTCCGCCCAGCTTCGTGGGTGGCATTGCAGACGCGCGACAGGGGCCATCTACGCCAGCTGTGGGAAATGGGTACCAGCCCCCGCCAGATGAGATGCAACACTCGTTGGGCCCGCTGCAGCGAGATGTGTATGGCTCAGGTGCTCCTGCAGGATTCAGCAACGACCGTTTCCCCGCGCCTTCCTTGTCCGCACACGCTGGTCAGGCGACCATGGGACAAACTGACACCGATTTCCCCCCGTATGACCTCTTGTACGGCCTTGTCGACCTGTTCTTCAAACACATCTACCCATGGTGTCCGATCCTGCATCGCCAGACGACATTGAATTCACTCTTTGGGGAGGCGAGTCTGGACGAAGCCGACAGGATCATCCTGCACTCCATAGTCGCCACCACTCTGAAGTTCTCAACTGACCATCGTCTAAGTCCAGAGAAAAGAGACAGCTACCATCGAACATCTAAGGAGAAGGTCCTGCTCTATGGTATCGAAAACAGCTCTGTAAAGTCACTTCAAGCTCTCGTCATCCTGTCTCTGGATGTTGTGGGCTGCTCTAATGGCCCTCCTGGGTGGAACATGCTTGCCCTCATCACCCGATCCGTTGTTCAACTAGGTTTGTCCATGGAGACGTATTCGCCAATGGTTGCTCCTCAATACGCATCCATCTACACTCTGCGAACCATAGTTCTGCCGGAGCCAAAGGATTGGATCGAAGAGGAGAGCCGGCGGAGGCTGTTCTGGATGATATACCTACTTGATCGCTACGCTACTGTTGCTACAGCCTTCGAGTTTGCGATGGACGAGAAGGAGATTGATCGTAGATTGCCATGTCGTGACGACCTGTTCAATCGCAATGTGCCGGTTGAGACTAGATGGTTCCAGACTTCTGGGCGGTCCGACTACACAATGAACCGGCCGGAAAACCTTGGCTCCTTTTCTTATTATGTGGAGATCCTCGGCATTCTGTCTCGAATTCACAATTTCCTGAAAAAGCCTGTGGATATTACCTCCTTGTCGGATGTGGAGAAATGGCAAGGCGAGTATCGCGAGCTTGATAGTGCTATCGAGCAGTGGAAGTATAATCTTCCCGCAGAATACGGAAACTCTGCCCGGATTTTCTCCGGCCCCGGAGTGAATAAGACTCTAAATAGTGGACTAGTCATGCTTCACGCGGCGTTCCATACGTAAGTCTGAGAGCACGCCCTTCCAAACTATTTTTATGAACATACCCATCCTCTAACTTCAACAGCACTGTAATTCGACTACATTCATCCGCAGCTTATCCGACCCATCGGTCCCCAATCTTCACCCCTTCTTTCAGCGCTAGCCAAAGATGCCTCAATGCTGTGGAGAATATTACGGCTCTTTGCGCATGCATTCGAGAGAATAATCTTCTCACGAAGCTCGGCCCACCCTTCGCTTTCTCTCTCTGGGTGGCAGCTCGCGTTCTGCTTGTTCACGGGTCAACGATCGACCACCGTGTCGATCAGTCAATCAACCTCCTCGTCAGTACCTTGCGAGAGATCGGTCAGTACTGGGAGGTGGGCACTCGTTATGCCAATCTTCTTTCACGCGTTCTTCATGAATATCAAGAATCGCAACGGGCACCAGCGGGAGTCAATGGCGAACGTGTTACCCCTTCAACAGTTAAGATTCTTGCAGACATGCGTCGCTGTGCCTTCGATCTAGACTTTTTGATTTCCCGACAACCTAAGACGCATGCCTCTACTAGACCTGCTTCTGTGACGCCTGCTCGAACTCCAGGTCCAAACGAGTTAGAATACCTCGACGTATTTGATTTCTTCAATATGCCTCGACTACCTGTCTCTATGGATGGTCCCATGAGCTACGGCGCCAGTGCCAACACAGACGGAGCTCTGCAGATGCCAGACGGCACACCCAGCAACGAGTTCAATATCACCAATTATATGGTCGATGCGAGTTCGGATTGGTTCATGAAGAATCCTACATGAAAAGTCAGCAACTTTTTTAATTTCCTACTCGCATCTAACCTAAAAGCTTGAATTTTCCTCCTTCAGCAAAGTTTTCAAAGTGTAGTCTGGTCTGATTCTCGCAATTCTCTAATCATGTTTTTCTCTACCTTCCTTATTGTTACAGATACCCCTTTGCTGATACGATGGAGGAATGGAGAATAGGTTTAGGTAATGAAAATTAGTAATATTTCATCCAATGAGTATCATTTCCAAGCACATACTTGAGGAGGTTCTGGCAAAGAGTCGGTAAAACTAATATGGATTCGCGTTGTAAAGGTTGAGGATCCGTCATCCACTGTACATTCCGCACGTTCGGTATAACGGAAACCCTTGTGCGTCCTGACATCGAGCTTACTTCAATAGCCTGGACGTGGATAGATGAGTGGGCTACGCACGACTCATAGCCTCTCATCACCTCTCATCACCATCCTTTCCCAACGCGAAGATAGGGCTTATGGGCCAGTCCATCATTGAATGGTTGCTTTACCGCTACCAGCAACGCACAACCCACATCTTACCAATTTAGATATACCCCTGAATGCTCCTACAAAGTCGGAGAAGTTCATCGGGTCGACATGCTGGTGGACTCATCCGCGACGCGCTTCGACTGAACTAAATTCTCGCAGTGAAGAGCACATTGAAATTTCAATTCTGTGATGAGACTGAGCTTCGAGTCTAAATCTTCGGCAATAAATTATATTCACAGATAACCCCCGCGATGATTGACTACACCACTAAGCGCCCAGAGCTCTCGATGGACGCCATTGCTAAGATAACGACTAAAGATAAGCCTCGGGATCCTCATGATTAAAACATCAAGCTCCAGACTTTGATTATTCCATGTGACCAGTCTTTTCTTGGCTGCAGCAGTTCCACCATCGGGTGTCCACTCGCCACCAATCCCTCATCTTTCGGGAGTTCGTGGGGCGCCGGCCTAAATGCATGAATGAAACTAGTTCTCTATCTTAGAATCCCATGTAGAAGGCGGGGCTTTTTTCCTGCACCTGGGTTGATTTTGCCTTTGCATACCTACAATCATGTAATTGGTCTTTCCCTCTCCATGAGACTCTTTTCATATCTTAGGCTTCAAGCCCCCCGATAAGTACATTCATATTCGCAATTTCAATCCTCCAAGGCCCTTCTGCTAGGTACTCTTTATGTAATACAAGATGAAGTTTCTCCTCTCTCTCATCCCATTCACTGCTGCGTCTACCATTCCTTACGGCCTCGCTTCAAACTATAATGCGGATTCTTGTAAGTTGCCCTCTCTTCACCGAACTTTCAAGATATTCACGACTATCAGCCTCACTGGCGTAAATAGAGGTATTACCGGTATATGGATATCTCTTTAGACTCACGTATGTTTCCATACTAATCCGGGCCCTCTAGCAGCCACCGTCACCCTCCCGATCTCCACCTCCACACAATTCGACCAACTCTCTGCTGTTCCAGAGCTGCGTGCAAAACGAGGGGAGGTCGGCGAATGCGGTGACAACCGCATTATTGAGGATAGACGACTCGTACCTGATGTTGAGAATCTTGATCAAGATGTTGCTGAACTAGAAGCCATCGAAATTACTCAGCGCGGGAAACGAGATATGGAGGATTGTGGAAAGAGTTGTTTTATGTCGGAGGGGGAACTGTTCGTGCATATTTCCACTAGGGAGTGAAATTAATGGGGGCACTATTTTCCTCAAGGGAGGATGAGGAACAGGAATAAGTGTGTTTAGATTCCCTGATCTTCATGTACTGCATCTCATCACCTAATGTGGAAGATGGCAGGGGCGATAATTATTTTTTGGGACAGGAAATTTGTATTGTGTTGACATTCTCCCTGGGGTGTGGACTTTGAGGATGGAACGTGGTTTGGGTAAGCCCAAGGAAGTGTTTTTCGGTCTTGCAGAACGGCTCTTACTCTTCGCCAACATTATAGACACATGTGGGATCGACCAAATTGCACAGACGCGCATTGGTTCGTATTCCCTTCCTCATGTCGTTGCACTTCTTTGGAGGTTGAATGACACGTTTGTCGTTGGCAATGAAGCCTGAAGGGAGCCTACGCCACAGCCAGGGGGACGCGCGGAGTGGCGTTGACCCCGCAGCATGAGCTTCGATGGAAGCTTCGAAGCAGCGTCGATGATGTGCCTTAGGCAACAACATTTCACCTTTGACTTCGTCTTGCCCTGAGAATATCCCCGCAGCAAATTGCTCTCAAGTCTTCTCAATCCCCAATATTTGTTCTTCTATCGAAGATGTCCCTCTTTTGAAATATTGGTGAAAATTACCGTTTCTGGACGGATAGTATCGGGCCCGAAAGTTCGCGAACTCTCCGAGATCAGCTGGAAAGAGGATTGCGTGCGTAAGACGCGCGGTTCGTTCAGGCAGCAACAATACGAGCTGTCCAATCTTCTGAGCCGTTGCCAAACACCGCGTGGTTTGATCGCAAAAAGGTTATGACGCGTGTGTATATTTGACGGCGTCGCCGAGCCTTGCGAAGCTCGAGGCTTCCTTCAACCTTAATCCCACTCCACCTTTTTCTTTCCAAGCTTAAAGTTGCCCCTGCTTACTTGCCTCTGACCTGGACAGCATTTGTTCTCTACCTAGGTATCTTTCTCTTCTACCTATTCAAAAGTCTGATTGACACTTCCACCCACTATGGTGGACAAAACTCTCCCACCATCAACCAACCCGAATCTTCAGCTCAACATCCATCCTCCACCACCACCCCACTCAACTGCAGGCTCCAATTCAAATATCCCTTTCACACCTCGCTCCTCGACATTCCCAGATGATCTCTCTTCCGAAGACCCCGATATCGATGTCTTCGAGCCCACTCCTATCAGCAGCCCCGGAGGTCCACATTATGATGACCTCCCTCCTTCCTACGACGAAGCGCAACAGCAGGCGCTCGAGGATGCGAGAGCTGGCAGGACTCCACCAAATCCCAACGATATAGAAATTCATAGGCTGGTTTTGAACGACACCCAGTATCCTTACATGGCACCCCCGGGTCCAGAGACACAACGGACAAGGGTAAGTGGGAATCTACTGGACAACCCACATGCGTATGAATTCGAGCCCGAGAATCGGCGGAATTCTAGGGGCTTGGGGACCAGTATTCCTGTGCAGCAGGTTGAAGGTGTGGAGCACATTCCTGTAGCAAATATGCCTTTAAATACCTTACCGACGAACAACATCCCTGTTGGGCACATATCATCCAGTGCGGGAGCTACGAGGGTTGTTCCTAATCCGACAGCCGTACTACTGAGTAGAGCCCTCGAGTTCACAAAACACGAGCCCGATGCCGACGCTCGCTTTGCGCCTCGATTGACTCGCGTCGTTGCCGTTCCACAGCAAAGACTACCATCCTTGCGTCCCGTCGAGGGTAGAGGATCCCGCCACCGCCATCGGGGACATGGACGACGAGAACGACGAGGAGGCGGTCCCACTGCCTTCCCACCCTGGGCCCCCACAGCACGAGAAATGCACCGTATGCCGGGGCAATGGCCCGACACCTCGACCGAATCCCTCCCGGAATTAACGGAAGAACCAGTCCAATTTCTACGAGCATATGCGAAAGCCCTACACGCACACTCCATCAGACCAGCCGAGTTCACAGAATTCCTGGACGGACTTAATGCGCTTTGTCTAGCCACTGGCACAACTGCCCAGCAGCTCACACGCCCTGATGCGGAACTTGATGAGGGGTCATCCCTGATCCAGAATTACGTCGCCTCCACAAATGAGTCTTTCTTCGCTCCTCGCGGTCTCAAAGTCTCTCTCCGGTCTCTCTCTTCCCTGACCACCGCACTCCAGATCCCCGAAGATCGCGGACAAAGAGCAGGTGCAGTGGCAAGTGTGCTTGATGAAACAAGTACTGCTGAGCAAAGAGCCGGGTCGCTGTTTCCTTGGATCGAGAGACTTGAAAACAACGTTCCAGAACCGACTTCACAGATGCTAGTCTTGCGGGAAATGAGCGAGCGCATCCATTGCCAGGCTTATCCACAATCTCAATCCCAATTCCAACCCGAACCCCATCCAATCTCTCAGAATCAAGATACTGGGGTTATTAGAGACAACGCTCCACCCAGCGGTCCCGAGAAGCCTCGAGAAGAAGACCAAACTGTAGAGGACCCTCCTCATTCCATCCCCACGCCTCCTCCCGGCCCTATTCCAGGCTCATTCCCAAGCTTTGGTCCCCAATTCCCCTTCGGCCCCGGCCACGGCAGCCGCCGAGGCGGCCCGCCATTCGGACCCGGAAACTGGGGCCACTGGACACAAAATCAAGCCAACTGGGCCGGACCCTGGGGCAACCACCGCGAGCGTGGCCGCGGCTGGGGCATGGGGCGTGTACCCGGTGCATGGCCTCCACCACACCGGGGCCGTAGAGGCTGCGGAGCCCCGAACCCTCGTGCAGCCGCGCCTCCCTTTCCTCGTCCTGGAGAAACAAATAGCTGGGCAGCCTGGGGTGAGAGTATTGGGAAGTGGGGTGAAGAATTTGGGAAGCATATGGCAGAATGGGGAGAGCAATTTGGGAAGAAGGCTGAGGATTGGGGTCATGGGGTTGAGAGAAGGGCAGGGTCTTGGGGAGAAGAGATTGAGAGGAGGGCTACTGGGTTCAGTGGGAATCCTAATAATATCGGGAATGATGTGGGTGCGGATACTAGGGCCCGCGAGACGGGTGTGCATGTAGGGGAGGAAGGCAGTAAAGCGAAAGAGATAAGCAAGAATACTAGCAAGGATGAGGCCAAAGGCGAGCACGACGACAATTCCGATACTGAATCCATTTCCAGCTCCTCAGACTCCTCAGACTCTTCAGATTCTGACTCTGATTCCGACTCCGACTCCGGCCGGGACCCCCATCCCAACCCCGAACCTGAACCCCTTTACCCAGACCCCGAATCTATCTTCCTCGCCCGCATCCGTGAAATCAATCTCTTAGCCTCCGCCGCCACTGCCAAAGGCAAAAAGTCTCCTCTCCTTATCTCCCGCGAGCGCGACGCAGCCATCGCCCGCGCCTCCGCCGATAAAACCGCACTCGAGCTCAAAATAGCACAGAAGCGTGAAAAGGCGACAAGGAAGATGCACCTTAAGGAATGTAAGCGGGAGAGCAAAGCTGAAGCCAAGCGCGTGAAGAACGAGTTGAAAGAATTGGGGGTGGGCAAGAAGGAGATTAAGAAGGAGTATAGGACCATGAAGAGGGAGAAGATGAGGGAGCATAGGGTTTTGAAGAGGGAGGCGAAGAGGGAGTGGAAGGAGAGAGCGTGGGAGAGGAGGGAGGAGAGGAGGAAGTTGAGGAGAGCGAGGTTTGGTGGGGAAGGGGAGAGGATGGGGTTCGGGATGGTGGGGAGGGGGAGGGAGAGGGGGGCAGAGCGAGAGGAGAGGATGGTTTGGGTTGTTGTTGAGAATTTGGTAGCGTGATTGATGATATGCACGCTAAATGGATAATGAATAGATAACTGATCGCCTCTATTGTATTTACGATATGCAGCTATTTCAATGGTAGATAACGCTCTACACTCAAATGTCAAAATGATGATGAGACACTTACGTTATACTCCTATTCTGCAGGCCTAGTTCTGCCCTTTAATCGGCATGATACACTTGCATCTGATATTGGACCCTGAAAACCAGCATTTAGATAATAATTTTCCGGTGATTCTCACTTCGTTCTGGAAACCTCTATTAGCATTCAGATGGCCCTATTTCCATCCCATCCCCGAAGTATACCAACCCTTCAACATACCCCAGCCCACCAACTAGCAACCTTCGCCCGCGACCCCTCCAACTCCCTCTGAAAACACTTATGCTGACTATCCTCAAAGAAATTCGCATCGACAAAATCCTTCGCTCCCTCTTAAATCAGAGAATCTAATGCCAGGCCGGCATGTATCTGACGAAGGTAACGGCTCCGCCTGCTACGCCAATAGTTTCACGAAGCCAGCGCAATGCTCGGCCGTTTTTGCGGAAATTGGAGATGGTGGATGTACCGCTGGGGACAAAGATGTGGCGAATAGCGTGAACGCATGCCTTCAGGATGATGGTCTGGGGTGAGGCGTTTGCTGGAGGGTTTGCTTTCTCCATCTGTGAAGGTGAGTTCTAGAATAGCTTGGCTTGGCTGAAGTGCTCCCTAAATCTCTTGCTTCGTATGCGTGGTTTCATGCCCGTTATCTTCTTGGCTGAGTCGACGTACCTGCCTTCCTGCTTGGTTGCCGGGGAATACTTTCGAGGCGGCTTGGCTAGTAATTGACAGTTCTTTTGGTGAATGTATTGTGCATAGTGCCGCCTTAGTTGTGGTCCATGACTGGATACACGAGTCTGTTGATAGGTATTTCTTGCCAGTTCGCTTTGAGGAAGGTTAATTGTATGTTAAAGTAGAAAAGTCGTGGTTTCATTGAATAGTGTCATTGGGACAGCTGATGCTAGGAATAACGTGACTAGTACAGTATGTGACCTGATCTGTTTTCTAGGAGTACTCGTCAGGATTGTGGTTGAAATCAAGCTCGCTAATGAGCGTAAGGATGCCAGTTACTCTAGCAAAGCTTTTGTGATGTCGAGGATGTCTTGGGCTTCAAACTTTCACCTTGAACCGCGCCGTTTTCAATAGTCTCCCACAAGTATTTATGCTAGAAGTCAAGGTCTATACACGTTAGCGTGTGTAGGTTAGAACACCTCCCATACTGAACATATCTTGAACCGTGGTCTTCATAGCCTCATCCTACACAAAGCTGCGTACTCTGAGCTCTGGGGTAAATGTAGACTTGATGAAATGTCTCATCCTTCTCGTTAGTAAGAATGGAAGTATTGACGCCAAATCCTCGCACCATTCGGAAAGACCTAGGAATAGCTCGGTCATTTGGGTCCACACCAATATGTACGTAGCCTCGGGATGCATACACTAGAAGTCTCAGAAGTTGTTATGGGCTATTTGAGCTTGAGGGACCTCAGTATGAGGCTCCGGCTTCCCAGCACGGATAGCATCTGGGACCATCATAGCATCTTGGATGAAGAAGGCCGGGGTGTTGTTTCTAACATTGCCCTAGTTGCCCTCCTGAATGTAGAACTTGATGGTACAGCCACGGATATCTTGGGCCTTGTCTGCAGATATACGGATTCCAAGGACTGGCGAGAAGTGCAGAAAGACTGGAGTCTCGCGTGAGGTATCTGTAAGGACACCGGCGACGTGACATTGGCGGGCCGATTCAAAGAGGTGAAATTCCCAAATGCACCAGGGGCTCGCGCGTGGACATCACGCCCGGGATGCGCTTTTGGTAGAAGTGGCGAATTCAGCACTCACTAATGTCCCCCAAATTACATGAACAACATAATATAAGGGTAAAAGTTCTCCCATTTTTAGAGTAAAGGGGTCTGTAAGCAGCATAGGCCCTATTTTGTCCTCACTCGCGACCTTCAATCAATCATCCGCGTTCGTCTGCTCGACACCAAAACCGCTTGTTATCCCTCAGCTCTTATTCTGCACATCTTTCGTATCTCACGAGAGATCTGTGACCTTCTTGGATTGTTTCGAAGTCAAGGCACTCTTCGCTCTCACAAGTCTTTTGGTAAGAATTTGCGAAGCGACTCGATTTTCGCACATGCATTTCTCAAATATAAAGAGTTAGGGCAGCGATTAGACAACTTTTGATGTTATGATCTATCTTGTGCAGCGTATATGAGGGAGGTAATCCTCCAGGTAGTGGTGATATTCTTTCGATCGTAGATCTTGCCTACCACAGTTTTTATTGTGGCGGTCGCATTTTCCATGCGAAATGCCGTTGCTAGCCCGGTTTCTGCTTATCCCGGGCACCTTGGATTATTACAAATCTTCTACTCAATTGGTGCTTTGATAATGTCCAGCTTTTGTCGAGAAAATTCGAATACTCATTGTTGAACTAGCATGCGAATCCAAGTTTGAGATGTTGGGTTTCGCAGTGGCGATGATCGGGAAGTGGAATTGATTGATGCTGTAAACTAAACCCCCATCCCTAACGAATTGAAGTCGATGACGAAGCAGAGAAAGAGGATAAGCGACAGAAAAAGTGACAAGCTAAACTCAGGTTGGCCATATTGTAAAACGTGATGGTGATAAAACACGTGAGGAGAATGGCAGAATGCTATTACCAATAAGTCGATGCGCATTTGACAGTTTCACGCAGAACTCCGCATCTAGGGGGAAAAAAAAGTGCTTACGAATATCCCACGCAATCGTGGCGAGCTGAACTTGCAGCAGGCATCAGTCAGACTTCTGCCTTGTTCAAGCAGCCATCAAGCAGGCAGTGAGGAGGAAGAGGGGTCAAGGTTTAATCAGAAAGCGAGCGAGATAGCCGTTGAAAGGAGGCCAGACGATTAGCTCGGAAAGAGCTGGGACAAGTTAGTCCAGAACTTATATTTCTCCTCCCCTGCTCTTATCCCGCAGCCACAAAGCCCAACTGCCCCTCTTCGGGAAGCCCTCCGTCGACCTCCCGTGAAAAGAAACATTGCGGCCGAAACTCCAAGCTCCGGCAAAGACTGACCCCTCAAACCTTGGTGTTTCTCCAAAGCGGTTTACCTGATTTCCAAAGCGCCAAAGTCTAGAAATAGCCCTCTGTTTCCGTTTCTGCATCTTGCTAAATGCTGGGCGAGTTTGGCTGGCTTAGGCGTTACCAGATAGCCTAACCTTGCCTACCTTTTCTTTACACCACGTTGTCCTTTTCTGTCTTTGTTTTTAGAATGTATGATCGATGCTCTAATCTTCCTTGTCGATCCCCACAAATAATACCGTCGGCTCTTCATAGATACCTACTGGATTGACGACGCTGCGATGACTCGCTTCTGCAGAGAGAGAGCATCAACCTACCACTTTGAAATCTTGGCACATAAGCGACGCCACAGACCCGTCACTGGCGTTATGCGAGTCGCTGATGGCTATCAGCCCTGGAGATCACGCCAGATGGGTGTGTAATCTCAAGGTAAGATTTCGATGCAGTGCGATTCACTTCATCGCCGGCTAGGGCTTGCATGTGAAGAAGAGCTGTTGGTAATGATGGTGTGGGGGGTACAGGGAAGACAGGATTGCTAATTGGTGCACTTTGTCAGCAATGCAGGAGAGGGGTATGCCGTGGAGGTCATCCTCGCAGGAGAAGCGAATGCATGCTTGGGGACAACACACGTTGTTGCCTGCTCGGGATAGATGTGATGGCTGCAAAAGAAAACTTTTTGATGATTGCTGTGAAGCACGAGATATACATCCTTCTTGTAATAGGCTGAAGATCGTCCAGTCTGACCATCGGTAACCTGTCCATGCTCCTCCTTCCCCTACAAATTAGTACCAAAACAAATGTTGAAAAGAAGATAGGCATGAGTATGTACAGAAGAAAAAAAGGTATTTTGCACCATCGCTGTGAAACCGATCGCACTTAGCCGAGCCATGCTTCTGTCTTTCCTGCACACCTTCATGCAATAACCAAGTCATCCTTCTTAATCTGCCAGAGTAAAATCGGGTACTCCGACCTCACCCCCGCCATGAACAGGGTTGAGCTTCAGGAAGCGCCGCCGACCGAAAGATTCGATGCTGCTCATGCTACTGGATCGCCTCGTTTTGGGGAAGTAAGGCCTGGTGTCGTTGGTTTGAGCGCTCTCTGACTCGAGATCTTCCCCGATATATAAGGTGGCGATATCTGCTGGAAGTACCTCGATCTTTGGAGATGTCGGAGGAGACCGCTTTGGGTAGGTGGTCGACATGACTGGAGCCAAAGGCAGGAATGCAAAGTTCCGCCTTGGAATATGATGAGCGCACTCGGTCTTTGAACCTGAAGCATCCGTGATGCTAGAAGCACGCTCAACCATCTTGTCGGTAACTTCAAAAGTAACGTGGCGAGGCTCGGTAGTCATTGTTGATAAAGAAGGTTTGTTTTGATGTTGACAGTAGGAAAGACTTGCAGGAATGACGAAGGAATAGAAACGGCTCACTTGTGCGATAGTGAAAGAGAGGACTGCGGTGGAATGAATTCCTAACCCCTTTTATATTCAGGAGAGCATGGTTGCAAGACGTAATAATCCTATGATTCCGGGCTACAAACGTGGGTGATTGTGAGTTTTGCCTCATCGCCAGCTGCAGAATATGCAAATGGCGCTTGAATTTAGATATCGCGTGATTAAACTAGCGAATCGCCATCAACTGTGTGACCAAGCAGGAAAGAAGAAAATAGATATGGTTCGACCATAGAATCTGAAAGAATTGGTTGTAGGACTTAGCTTACCCCGGATTACTAGAAGTAGAGGACTATTTTTGATAAGGAACCAGGACGCGCAGCCATCAGGATCACTAGTTCATGCCCATGAGAGATTTCCACTTGCTCGAGGCGATATTGACGAGGAAATCTCGGAAGGGAAGGCATGGCGTATTCGTATCTCATGGCTGAGAGCGGCGTTTCCAGCGTGTATGCGTCTTGAAAGCTTGAGGAATGGTCGGAACTGTCCGAATACCCCACAAAACGCATGAAAATGCAGGCAGCTGAGATCGAAGGTGTCCCCTCCGATCTCTACGGGTGGAGAAGCAGAGCAGAAGGCGGGCTGTGCAGCCTCTTCTATCCAGCTCCGAGTAACCTTAGTTTTGTGATGCGAGCAGCGAAACACTGACTCACATGGTGATGTCGCTGCCAGTCTGATCTTGCACCCCATGTCAGGAGAGACATTGCTTTTATTTGACACCCCGCATTTTGGACTGAAGAGGAGGACCTAGCGGGGAGACTCGGTGATCAATCCTGTTTTTGAAGCTGAGGCCATCCATCGTCGCGATGAGAGCCCTCTGTAACCGAACGTAGCCGGCGCAGACTGGAGAGGCGCTACCCAGTACTTCTGCAAAGGGGTCGACCGGATAATAAGTGTCGCTGAAGGCTTGACGGATGTCCTGGGAGATCTCACGCCAGAGGGCGAGGCAGGGCACGTACGCAGAAGTCGTGCTGAGGCAAGGACCGCGGTGTTGATGGATGTTGGAGAAAACGAACGGCACGGATGAACCTGGTGTGCTCACGGGACCTGAAACAGAAGTTTCATGTTGCGAGGCTGGTGAGGATAATCCTGTCGAGTGCCGAGTCGAGTGTCGAAAATGTCCTTTTCTATCGGCCGCGGCCTGGCAGCAGGACTAGAGGTTTTTGCAGGCTGGTCGAGCAGCATCAGATGCTCGAAATTTTTGTCGCCCGAGTGTCACGATCTTCATCGGGCCGATGCACTAGCACCAAATGCGGAAAGGCGTTGACGCAAGCCGAAAAGCCCAAGCCCGCCGTTGAAACCTGAGGCGGCCGGAATGTGCCTTGCACGCCTAGCACCTTGACGTCCAACATTGCCGCACACAGGAATTCATTATTAGATTACTCTGGATCTACCAGTCTGCTTGTGCTGTGCACTCGAGGACACCAGGGACCTAGATGGGCTCAGGCAGCCTCGTCGGCAGTCACGCGGCCGGCATTTGCGCCCTCGCGCAGCCCAGGACGGTGGAGTGGACGCAGGCAAATGAACACAGCCGTGGATGCTGCTTCGTCTCTTCATCTCGGCTTAACTTCTACCGCTGACGTCCATTGCGTGATCTAGTCCTGACTCGAGACCCTGGATGAAGTTAGATGTCCCTTTTTAATCTCAAAAAGATGACCCCGCGAGCATAAGAGATCGCCTGCTCTGACTCTGACCCACTACGCCGTCCTATGAATGGACGGAGAAACGGAAAATTATCGTCCAACACACAACCGTCTTTTTCACAGCCGAGCCGTACTATTCGAGACGACATTGGCCAACCCTAGGACTACTCTGTGCGGTCACTCCTGGCTGCGTCAGTCTGTTTCTGGACGCTGTCCTTGGCCAGGGCGGCTCCAATGTTCCACCCGCGTCTCTCTTGATGTGCTGCACTCTGGCGCGGATACGACGCTTCGTCCGTTCTTGATAAGCTGGACGCGCAAAAACCGCTCAGAAATTCGTGCTGCAGAGACATGGGTGCCATGTGCGGACGCACTGGAATCTTCGGAGCGAGCATGGGTAACTTGTGTACGAACGACGCTCCGACAGGTACCTCCAGAAATGGTACCCTTTGGAAAGTTTTTCGTGCTCCTTTTGGGCGAATTGGGGTAAGGGGAACCGCTCTCCATGATTCAAGCATGGGCCTCCCGACAACGGCCGCACGGAGAGGAAACAGAGCCCGAGCTCTGTTCGCTCTCCATGATGATGAGCGTTGACGGCCAGTTTGGGGTGATTGGTGACTGTGTCGAGGCTGCCGGCATGCAATGCGTGACGCTCTGCAGCTAGCCTTCGCGGATGCGCAGTCCAATATTATCGCAGGTATCAAACGTCCCACAATCACGACCATGATACAAGCAGATCCCAGGGTTCATGTTTGCGCAGCGCCATCCACAGGGCTGATGCTGATGGCTGAGGTGCCTGTCTGTGTCGAGGCTCCGTGACAGGACTGGTGGCCTCTCCTCTGCTGGGGATCTGCCAGAGTGTAGCCTAGCGTTTGTGCACTCCCGGCTAATGTTGGGATTCCATGGTCGCCGCCCTGTAGGTGGTATTTTATTATAGTTGTTATCAACCTTGGAAACAAAAGTCAGTAGACTCGTCTGCCATGTGAGACTCGCGGAGAAGCGAGCTCCTGAAAGAGTCCTGGTCAATTTGAAATCGACGGCGCTCGTCTGTCTGGCCTGCGACTGGAGCAGCGGATGTTTCTCTCAGCTGGGCCGCCTTGACTCTGTCCGCTGCCGCTCAATGCGCTTCTCGCGAGCGCTTCGCAGGCCTCTCGCATGAGGAGGCGGCGGACTGATGCGGCGCGGGCACGATGGAGAGACTTCTGCACTCGAGCGATTCCAGGCATGGTCATTGGCGGTGCGGACAAAAGCCGTCACCAACAGCGCGCCGGTCGTCGTCTGCAGATTGCTGCTTGATAGGATGGGATGACCCTTGTCGTGTGTTCCTTGTCGCTGTGTAGGGTGAAGCCAAACGCCCGCTGTACGTACATACATGTCCTTGCCTTCCGCACGGGGCCAACGGCTGTAGAAGACTGTCGCACTCAATGTTGCAAAGGTAATCTAACAGCTTGCCAGAAGCACCGTCTGTTCGGGCTCGCTGCGATGCCTCTATTATAAAACCACCCCACGGCCCAGCTACTCCCTTTTGGACTCCCTGCCAGCCAATTCCTCCAGACTTCTCTGCCCCAGACCGTTCCATTCCTCAGCGGCCCCATAGCCCTCCAGCCTGAGCTCTACGCTGCTGCACAAGCTCCATCATTGCCCCAAGGTACCGCCGAGCGTCGAGCTTCGAGCTTCGAGCGTCGAGACACAGTACACAACGCCCACACCACAGAAACAGCTCCCCGCGACGAGCTCTCGGCCAATCAGCACCGAGCAGATCACCCCCGCCTTGCACGCCTTCACAACGCCCGCGTCCTCGCACCACCCACTCCTCTTGACGCTCCCTCGGCGTGCACCAATCCGCCTGTCGCCGCCACCAGCATGTGTACCAAGGTAGTACACCACTATAGCTGCGGCCACCAGATCATGGAGGATGCCCCCTGCGCGACGTCAAGAAGCGCCGTCTGTGGCGTGCTCAACACCAAGAACGTCAAACACGACGAGAAGTGCGATCACTGCGATCACTGACAGGTACCCGCTTCCATCGGCCGCCTCAGCCGGCCCGCCTACGCGTTACACGGTCTGACAAATCTTATCGCAGTGTGCCACCGCAGACTTTATCCGGACGACACCCCATGACGGCCGGTGGCACGCAAACGGGTGTCGAGAGCAGAGACGCAGGCCGTTCCTCACCTCAGTTCTTCACTCTGCTACTTAGACCTCGGGCCCGGCGGGCTTGACCACTTCCACGAGCCCGCCCACGCACCGTAGGCAGCATTTCACGGCGTCACGGAGATAAAAAAGTTCAGGCGTTGGACGGGCATTGGGACCCACATGGACCATCGTGAGTCCGGCGTTTGAATACGGGGTGGTGTTGCATAGCACTTCCTATCATGTATTACTCAGCACCTTCTTTCCACATCAATACGGGACTTTCTTCTTTGGAGTATTCATGTGGCGGAAAGACGGGCTAAATGGGTTTATTCTCCTCATTATATCCTCTATGTTACTGCTACGTCTTTTTACAGACCGCCTTCCACGATGCCGGGAAGCGAGAACCATCAGACAGAAAAGCGAGTCGAATTAATGCCGAGGCGCGCCCAGACAACTTCCAGAAGGATGGATTGTCTCTGAATGGGCCTCCTCTTTTTCAAACTCCGCTCTTCTTAGCGTTTCGCAAACTGCAGACTATCACTAACACCACTGACTCCGAGGCGTGTAACATCCGCGGTTAATCTACGAACCAGTGACAGCAACGGCCATAGATACAGCTCCATTTCTCGCCAATCGGTATGGGGAGACGTCGTAGCCTATCTACAGACAGATGCTGGTAGTAAGTGGGCTTCGGCTGCGACGGCCGGCAGCCTACTTCAAACCCAATTTTGCATGTCACTAAGACGCTGCGACAGCATTATTCGCTATCGATATTGGTCGCATTTCCCTCAATATTGCAGCCATCGCTATTATTGGGTCTAGGTGAGTGTAGATGAGAGGGTCAAGATGGTGCCCAGGGTCTGAGTGTGATAGGACGTGATATGTGATGTGGACTAACAGTATTTTCCGGCATGCAGCACGGCTCGGCCTGGAAAGAGGCGTTTGCTTCTACCTGGAAACGAAGGACAGTCAGACGAGCTGAGACATGTTTGTTCCCTCCGATCCTCCCGCTTCTGCTCGGGGAACGGCCCGTTAGCCACAGGTGTCTGAGCCCGGTCAGCTATGTCTCGACCGTTGTGATAATACGTCTCCCGCATGCACGTCGTCAACTGCAGCTCCAGCGAAGCGGCGAGGGTACTCGACAAGATTGGGATCCTTGGGTTTCATGTGATGTCGCGGCGAGCCCGTCAGTGTCATATACCGCCGACGTGATCTTCATATAGCCGAGTTATGAGGCGTATATCAGGCTTGATATAGCTCAGTTGCCTGGTTCGGCTGCAAGCTAGGGGGCGCTGTCTTTTCCAGAAGGCCTCATGCCTCATACACGGAGTTGGCTCGAAAGAGCAACGGGACATCAATATGACGACCAATGCCAAAAAGCCGGTCACTCCACTCGTCCTCCGGCGTAGACTGCAGGCTTCAGCCGTATCAGCGGACTTTGCCCTAGGTTGTGATATCAAAGTCCATGGGGTACGACCATGGGTAGCTGGAATGCGCTTGACCACTTAATCTATTTGGCTTATTATGCAGGCTGCGTCTACCACCCTCGAGCCTTACCCGCGATTCTGCGTCTCGATCGCTTGCCTGACGCCTACTCCTGGGCTCTTTGTCACGCAATCCATTTGCAACGAAGTTCCTGCGAGGGCGTTGTTCGGCATCTGCGTGCATGAACGAGCATATGCAGCAGCACCATGCGGCTCTGCCCTCTGGCTCTTTATATAGCATGTGGTTCCAAATCGCCCTCTTCTGAAATTGTGATCATGAAAATTCTCACTACACTTGGGTCAACATGGCGCCACGCTCCTCTCCTGAGGCATATCCCTTGGAGTATGCGTTAGACGACGCGACAAGGATGCGGCAGAGAACAGGGACCCCAGCGGCGGCGGACAGGGAGCGTGATACAGTCGATTGAATGCATGACCGCTTTTCGAGGTGCGGTGGAGAGTTTTTCGAGTACTGTGATTATTGAGCGATGTTGGTGTTGGGATGCTCTTTCGCTGTCTGGTGACGACGCTGCATTTTCGTGACACCCGGTGCGCAATGAGGCTCGTCCAGGGCAGGTAAGTAGTGCACCCATCCGACCTCCGTTTATCCACCACGACCCGTGTCGAATAACGATGTCGATTGATATCAACTGGGAGACACTCACGGGCGGTGCAGATGGGACCGCCCGCGCAGAATCAATCCGTGCCTTCATTCACGACAAGTTCCAGCAAGTGACGCTGCCTCGGTTCATCCGATCCGTAAAGGTCCACTCGTTCGATTTCGGCAGCGTGCCACCAGAGATCGAAATCAAGGATATCTGTGACCCCCTTCCGGACTTCTACGAAGAGGATGAAGATTACCCAGACGAGCCCGAGGGTGATGATGAAAGCCCTTCCGTCCCGCGCGGCACGGTTGGAGGCTATTCCGCTCCGCCGTTGACGGCAAAGGAGCGACGCTTGAGAGACACGGAAAAGGGGCCGTCCAACATAGAAGTTCACTCATCAGCACGTCCGCGCGCAACTCCGTTTATCAATACGAATGCACCCAGCTTCCGGGCCACGCTGACGCCGGCCGAGCAGCTGGGGAGCCCGCTCCTCCCCAGAGCCTCAACACCAGGCATCCCAGGAGGGACATCCAACATCAACTACTTTCATCTTCCTTTAGGGGCCGGCCTGTCTGGTGCAACTACACCACTAGCTGCCGTAGCCGGGGCTCAGTTTCAAGGCTGGCCCGACTATCCTCATGGCCGACCAACAACCCCGACCGAGAATCGCCTTCGGAATGCCGCGTCTTTCGGCTCCTTGACATTGACACCACAATCAAATCCAGATCCTGGTACCCGACCTTCTTCTCAACACCAGCACGATTCCCCAAGGAGAAACTCCGCCGCAGAATCAGCAGGTTCGTCTTCCCAAGGAAGACTTCACCGTACCCCTTCTCCTTCCCCCCCACCGCGGATGCTTGAAAAGAGGGTCGAAGACATCCAAGTCGTTGCACATGTGCAGTACTTTGGAGACGTCAAGATGTCGCTTACCGCGGAAATTCTCCTTGATTATCCTATGCCAAGCTTTGTTGGCATTCCGTTGAAGCTGAACATCACTGGACTGACCTTTGATGGGGTAGCCATTCTAGCGTATATTAGAAAGCGCGCACACTTCTGCTTTCTCTCTCCTGAAGATGCCGATGCCCTTGTCGGCGGCGAAACAAGCCTTGGCGCCCTTCAGACGGACACCCAGCCCCCAGAACAGCATAATGTCTGTCGACCCAGGATTGGCGGCCTCCTCGAGCACATCAGGGTCGAAAGCGAGATCGGTGATAAGGAGAATGGAAAACAGGTCCTCAAGAATGTTGGCAAGGTTGAGTCGTTTGTTCTAGAGCAAGTCAGGCGGATCTTTGAAGATGAATTCGTCTATCCTAGCTTCTGGACGTTCCTTGTCTAATGGTGGTCTCATCGAGCGACCAGCCGTCGACAAAGACTGCTAAAACTTCCCTTGGATCTGCTGTGTCGCCGAATTCTCCTTGCCTTACTGTCACCTGCAACCATGCAGCGACACGAGAGAAGCATTGATAGCTACATTAAATGCAAGAGATGGAATTGAGAAACCCAGTCAGACGACCTGCAGCTGTCATCTCGTACTTCGCGGAACTTTGTACGCGCTGTCAAAATGCAAGCAAGCGTCGACCTGCCTTAGCCCTAATGCTCCTCTCGCGAGGTGGTACTGAGTACAGTCTCCACTGTTGAACTGGAGTCACGTACGTCGCAGTGCGGGCGTACCACGGCATGAAATTCACCTCGTTGAAGCAAGCATTTCCTACATTGGACTAACACAGAAACGTGGGATAGCGTTCTGCCACTCATGGCTGGATGCAGAGACGAGAGAGGACAAGTTTTTGACAGGTCTATACTTAGGCTGTCACTATCACAGTAACTGACAGCGGGAGTCAGACCATGTCTGCATCACTCAGTGCTCGCATACACAGAGAATACAATATTCGCTTGGCCCCGCGGAGTACGACTCTTCTTGTCGCCTTACAATGGAGTTCACGCCACAGGGTCTACTATCGGGACGACTTACAATCTCGCCTCGTTCTCTGTGTCCCTCACATATTGTACATCGATTTATCATCTAATTTTTCCTCCCGTCAGGTGCGCGGCCGATCTTCTATCTGGGCGTCCCATTTTGGCCGGACGCATCCTGCCCGAGTTATCCCGCAATTCCTGTTTCCAACTCGATGGCTCTCCCCTATCGGCTGCGCCTTGTTGTTGCTTTCGTGTAGCCCCTCACCCCTAGACCACATGACGGCATACTATCCGTGTCCTTCTGCCACGGTCCCATTAGCGAGTCTCAGCTGTCCACTGTCCACTTCCAGACGTCAAGACACTGCAGGCCACCGACGGGGAACGTGTCCACCCATGTAACCTTGCAACATCTTTCGAATGCCTGCACAAGGTGGTCGGGTCGGAGGACTGCGTCGTAAGATATTGATTGCAGCCCGGACGACTGAAATGAATTTTAGATTTCAAAGAGAGAGGCCTGTCCGAAGAGGCCTATTCTTGGACGAGGCGGACTTGCAGGTGGAGTAGGTGGAGAAAAATACGCGCAAGTCCTGCGAAGGTCTGCCTAGAGGGCTATAATCTAGGCCAGTATTTCGCGGGGCCTCTTTATTATCACATATAGTTCTCGGGGGGGTATAAACCATGGATCGGAGTTAGCGAGGCGGTGGGCTCTCCATCTACCTTGCAGCGGGCAGAGCAAGTTTTCCTGGATGCCATTCGTCTTCATCTAGAGCTTGATGAATGCATCCGTACGAAGAGATATTCTCGGATTTCTGGAAATTAAATGCTCTGATTGGTTGATTTTTCCACGTGACGGTGAATTGTACCCAGGATCCAAGCTGTCAGCCCTACCTTCTCTTGATTTACAGCCAGCGCGAAGTCATAGGGACCTTCGACGTTAAATTTTGCAGGATCCTCTGGCCTTGAGGTGCGCTGCCTCAGCCTCCCTGTGATGGTACGAGTGGCTTCAGATCAAGCTCTGATTTTCCGGCGATCATGCGTCTGCCACCTCAAGTCTGTCGCTTGCATAGCCAATTATGGCGAATACAGCTACACACACCCCTCCTTAGGTCACATGTCACGTCGTTGCCCCACTACGGACAAGAGCAAGCTGAAACAGGACCTTACGTCTGCCAACAACACGCCTCCTAAACACCTACCGACAGCTTCTCCAGCACCTACACATCTTTCATCATTCGACCTATTGCACCCTACATTCTTTGAATTCCATCAACCGCCACCATGCCGCCTCCAAAGCTGCACGTTGGCTCTCTCCTCCTGCCCTGTGTAGTTCTCCTGATCTTCTGGGTCGGCCCAACCCATGCCTTTGGTGCGGGAAACATTGCCTCTCTAGCGAAGATTGAGGGGCAGAATTGGCGTCATGGGGATATCGAGGACACCCTTCTCAACATTCTGATGTCCACTCGCACCGGCAAGAAATTCAGCAAGATGGACGTCAAGCGAGTGTATTTTGGCAATTGGCTCCGTATGTTCTGTGTCTCTGCTGGAGAAAGGTATGAGTAGTAGAGCTAACTCTGAGTGTTACAGGGGACTACTCTCAAGCTGTCGACGTATGTGCAGACCCTGTTGCCACCATTTTCTCTCTCAAACTCCGTTTCACTGCGATATAGCGGCTGACATCAGGTGATAGGTCGGAACTGTCAAGATGGTCTCTGCGGAAGCTATCCGGATCTTACTCTGGGTCCTCGGCTTCCTGAGCTTCGGATACGGCACCAAGGAGTTCGAGGTTACCAGGGATAGACTTGGCTGTTACAGGCCCGAGGAGCATATCGATAACCCCAAAGTAGGTCCGGATCGCAAGCCAAAGTCCCAGTAGCTGACTAAATTGACAGGACTATGCCGACAACCTCGATGCCCGACAATATGACCGTCGGCTCCGAGGTCCCGTCGATGAGAGGCGTGAGCTGAGTGTTGATGAGCGCACTGGTTTGAAGAACTACATCGCCTCAGAAGACCTTGGCATCACCACCTCCGCTGGCATGGTTCGCGACCTGTTCCGCCGATGCATCGATCTCGGCCGTCGCTCTAATAGGAGTGGGAACAAAGCCGATTTCTACGAAGCTCTTCGACTTCTTGGGACCGCCTGCCATTGCCTGGAAGGTACGCGAAGAAACCCACGGAGCTTCATTGTTCCGCTGGCTGTGCTAATTAATGGGCAGACTACTCGGCTCACTCCAACTACACCGAACTTGCCTTGATTGAAATGGGCGAACGCGACATTTTCCCTCATGTTGGTCGCAATGCTCAATTCCGCGTCCAAGGCGCTCGTGGTCCGGTCTATCCTATCGTAACTGGCACCTTTGGTGGTGTAGACTTCTTACACTCTGTCATGGGCGAATTCTCTGACAAAGCCACCCAATCCGAGATTCAGGAGCTCGAAGGGGCTATCTCAGATTCTCAGAATAAACAGAACCCTAGCATGATCAAAGATCTTCTAAATCAGCTTCCGGAAGGCATCTTCGGCGGCAAGGACCAAGCTGGAAAAGCCGACGAGCTCGAGCAGAATGCTAACGCTGCTCAAATGGGGAACATGCAGATTACCCCAAAGGAGCCCGAGGCTTTTACTCAGCAGATGGATGAACTTGTCAAGCAAATATACCCCATCATGGAGTTTCATGACGAAATCATGCAGCAAATTTCTGAGTTCATCGAAAATATTCCAGTACTTCCGGAGCTCATCGAGCAGGTCCAGGAGCAGGTGAACGTCTTCGTGTTCAGCCTCTTGGCACCGTATGTCCTGCCCATCATCAACCAAGTCAAAGCCGAGCTCGAAACGGGTTCCTCGGAGGTTATTGCCAGCTCTCGAGACAAACAGCACATTGTTTTCAACGACCAAAACTCGACTGACCCTACTCATTCCATGCTCTCTAAGGATCATTTTAGCAACGTGCTCAATGAGCCGGCCGGGCGAATTGCTTCGGAGGTCTTAAAATGGGTCGTCCCCCAGATTGTAGAATGCTGGGACGACGAGCGAGTTGACGCTGACCGTAACATTCAGCGCATCATTACTGGCGTCTTCCACCACCCCGCTCTCCGTAAATATGGTGATGATGGCGCTTCGGACGGTCGCAACATCATGTTCCGTACTGTTGAGAACTGGTGGCGTGACCTTTCTCAGCGTGCCAAGGATGATCTACGTGACAAGCTTAGTCGTGATGGTGTCCAAAACGGACGTAATCACAAAGAAGGTGTCCATGACAAGGGCCACGGATGTGGAAAACCACTCGGTATGGCTAATGACTTCTCCGGGGTTGGCGGTAAAGGTGGTGCCGGAAATCTCCTTGGAGCTGCCTTGGGTGGTTCGTCTGGTGGTAAGAGCAACGATCCATACCAGAAGATGGGCAATGAAGCCGGCAAGCTCGCCAGTGAGGCCGTTGGTGGCGGTGCCATAGGCGGCATCGTTGGTGGTCTCGTTGGCGGCATTGGCGGAGGTCTACTTGGTGACGCATTCGGCGGCGAAGAGAAAGAGGGTAAGAAGAGCGAGCAGTATGGCGATGATGGCTCTTACTCGCAATCTTACTCCGAATCCGGCCACCACAAAAAGAAGTCGTACGATGATTCTGAACGCTATGGCCAGGCAGAGTATAAGCAGACTCAATACCCTGGTGGTGGACGCCGTGAGGAGTACTCGCGCCAGGAACAAGATGAGCGTGGTGGCTCTTATGGTTATCAACAAAAGGTTGAGACAACTAGCTATGGCGGGTCCGGTGGATATGAACGTCGTGAGGAACGAAACTATGACAGTGGTGCCCAATACCGTTCTAAAGAGACGCGAGAAGGCTTCGATAGCCATGGCGAGTACTACAAGGAGGAGAAGAAGTAGGTTCCCCGCTCAACTTTCCCAATGGCCAGACCCGCATATTAATACCTCCCCAGGAAATCCGGCAAGAAAGACAAATACAGCAAAGACTCGGAGGAAGAAGAAGAGTCTGGTGAAGACTCGTATGAAAAACGCCAAAAGAAAGAGCGCAAGAAGCGTGAGAAGGAAGAGAAGAAGAAATACAAGAAGCATGGCGATGACCGAGATGACTCTGGTGACGATGATGCGTACAATCGCCGTGACTCAGGCGAATACAAGAGAAAATCGCAAAGCCCGAAACGGCGTACGGCAGACTACTCGCGCGAGAGTGGAGAAGGGTATGGTGGCGGAGGGGGAAGGACGAGTGATGCGTATGGTCAGGAGAGGAGGTATGGTGAGAGTGGAGGGTATGGAGAACAGCAGGAATCAGGAGGGTATGGAGGGGACTCGTACTCTTCCCGGGGCTATAGACAACAACGACAAGAATCCTCTGGCTATGGGCAACAGCAGCAGGAGCCGTACGGAGGAGGTGGCGGTGGCTATGGCCGCGAACAAGATGAGTATGGAGGGAGACGTCAGGAGGGGTACGGATCTGGTAGCTATGGACGCGAACAAGATGAGTATGGAGAGAGGCGTCAGGAGGGATACGGATCTGGTGGCTATGGATCTGGTGGCTACGGTGGTGGTGGAGATGATAGCTATGGAAGGAGGGACTATTAGACACTAAATCGGCGTCAATTATATCTTTCCGCCATTGAATAACTCGCTGGCTGGGAAAGATGTTCCTGATGGAATGAGATTAAGAGGGATTGGGGAGGTCAGAGGTTGGCTGATAACGTGGTAAAAACTTTTGGTAGAACAAGTAACGACTCCTCTCCTATAGAAACATGGGTTGAGTGACCTTTTTGTCTTTTTGGATTAACGGAGGCTTTGATCCTGACCTCCTTCTGGGCAAGCAATAAGAGAGTTAGAGATTGCCCCTTCTTTGATTCTATTTCCAGGTTTGCTGTGATCTCCCATTAACCTCCTTCCAAGTTCCCCTCGATAGCTTCTGAATTACAGTTAATAGCAAACCAGATCCTGGGAATAAGCTGATATTAGAATAACTAGGGTTCCTGGAAATGCATTTTCTTCATCAGATACAGTAGAATTTGATCATTCAAAAGACACATTTAAGGTAATTTGTATGCTTCAAAGAAATGGCACAACAAGAGGCATGAAACGAAAATTCTGAACAGTCCGTCTGATGGCAGTAAAATAGTAACTTCCCTCATCCATAAACAACTAAAGACATGATACAAATCCTGGTCCCCCTTCACTTTTGATATCTCTTTCCTTCTGCGCCTCGTTATAGGTAGAAGAGCCTGGCACCTTCAAATCCTCCCCCGATCTAAAAACTTCTTCGGCAGGTCCACAGTCTTCGCTCGCATGTATTCTATGGCATCTATATCATAAGTCAGCTCAGCCCCTTCCAGTGCCCCTAAGAAACCCTATCATTTCCTCTGCTCTTCCTCGGGGAGATCCAGCGAAGGGAAGCGGGTGGAACGAGGAGAGAGTAAGGAAAAGGGGTAGTTGTGTAATAATTCAAAATCCCACTTACTCTTCCCCAACGTATCATAATTGCTACAAGCATTATACCCACGATCTAGATGATCATGTAGCAAGAAATGCACTGCAAAAATCCCCGGCAACTCAAACCGATCAATTGGCTTCCCTTTGTATTCCTGCGGCCCCAGTAACTGCTGGACTTGCGCCACCGTCATGAATGATCGTAACCAGTCCCATTCGTCAGCATGCCGCACGAAAAACCCGCAATTGCAGTCTGACGCTTTATCACCCGATCTCCCTGCGACGATGTATCCCAGCGGCGCACGCATCGTGGGGCCGAAAGTCTCGAGGGGGGTGGGAGAGACTGGGTCATAGGATGGCTGTTGCCGGGGATACATCTTTGTAATTCTCGGCGCCTCCAGCTCCGTAATTGTCCTCTCGCCATACATATTATGCACACGCAACGGTAATTCTGTCTGTGGCATAAGTGCAACCCAATATTCGTAATACGGCTTTGGCGCGATTTGCCGTAGGTCGTTGGACAAGGATAGCCCTGGGGCAGACTGGAGGAATACTTCAAGACACCAGCGGTTGAAACCGTTGGGGATGTCTGGGCGGACGACTTCGGGGTCGGAGGTTTGGGCGAAGACCCGGAAGTCGACGGTAGAGAGATCTTGGTTAGGGGCATCCAGGGGGGAGGAGCCGTTTTGGTGGAATTTCAGGGTTGTGAAGCGGGAGACGTTATCACCCATGGCTAAATAAATAGTTAGAGTTGTTGCTAAGGGTATTAAGAATAGCAAGAGGGTCGTAAAGGTTCAGTTGGAGTTGATAGGCGGGGGAGTATGTATAAAACAGGGGATTGGGATTGGGGTTGGAATTGACATACCATCTCTAATCTGATCTTCCGTAATCTTACACTTCTCCTCAATATCAAGACCGCACATGTAAAAATGCCATTCACACTGAAACCCCGCGGGCGCTGTGATACCCACTTTAGTCGTTGGCGGCGGAGGAAGGCCTTTGATGCCTGTGACACGCACGTGGTCTTCGCCGATCTGCTCCATTTTGATGTTGGAGATGTCGGCGGTTACGTCGCAGTTGTAGTACAGCGGACCTTGGATTTCATATAGGAGTTGAGATGCGCAGGAGCCGATTGTTACGCAACCTAGGGGAAAGTCAGTATGGTTAGGGTCTTTGATAATATGATATTTGGGGAACGTGGACTGTGTGAAGAGGAGGAGATGAGGGAGGGAGGAGATGAATCAAACCTCCTGTGTTCTTTTCCTTTGCTATGTTGAAGCTTCCATCGTATTCCACTTCTGCGATTGGAAATCCCATGTTGACATGCTTCCCGATCTTGATGAGATCCTTAAACATTGAGTAGTACCCGCCGGTCACGTAGGCTGAGCACTCTATCAAATGGCCCGCAATGAGGGACGCCGCGAGTTCATCGAACTGGTCTGGCTTCCAGTCATGCCACCACCTACCCGCGTTAGTCAACCAACTCTACAGTCGCGCCCCTCTCCATCCCCAAATCGAAGAAATACTTACGCAGCAGCCCCAATAACCGGCGCCGCATCCGCGACTCTACCCGCCAACACAATATCCGCACCCTGCTTAAACGCCTCCGCAATACACAACCCGCCCAAATACGCCTGCGCGCAAATTGGCTCCATCCCCCACTCCTCCAACTTCTTCCCATGCATCAGACTCTCAAACTTCTCACCCTTCTTAATCAACTTATTAACCTGGGCTGTGACGTCATCGCCCTCGATCCAGGCCACTTTTAAATGGCCCGCACCTTTCTTGTCCAGCATGTCAACGACGACTTCAGCGAGGAGCTCGGTATCAGAGGCGCCTGCATTGACAGCGAGTTTAGTTTTGTTGGCGACGATGTTAGGGATCGCCGGTTCGAAGCATTGCAGAAAGGTTTCGGCGTACATAGCGGACTTCATGCGTTCAGAGAGGGGAAGTTGGATTTTGCCGTTGGAAGAGGAGAGGTTTTTGACCTTGCCGCTGCCGTGTACCGTCATGGTCATTTCAGAGAGCCAATCGCCTGTATATTTTCAGCTCTGGTAGTGAGAATGAGAGTGGGAGCAAGGGGATCGAATGGAAAAGAGAGTGTGTATACCAATTACAACGTCGACATCAGGATCTCCTGCCATTCTCGTGATAGCAAGAGATCGATCTGTGAATCCGCCTGAGCATCCTGCAATACGGATTGCGCGTTTAGTATTCTTCAATGGCGACATCTTGATTCTCGATCGAGCCTGTACTCTCTTTCAAACTTAATATAGAAGGGAAATTACAACTTCACAAGCACTTCATCAATCTAGAGATAAAAAAGACTTTGGTTGAAGAACCCTACCTCCTAGGCAACGCGTCTAACGCGGCCTACATATGTCTCTCCATCTCGGAGCTTACCTTAGCTCCAAGTCCCTCCAAGCTATTCACTTTGTCATAGGAATGAACGATCTGGGGTTACATGTAGAATCAACCAATAGCACGCCTAGTCATCGGAAATGAAGGCATGTTGAGGTCCTGAGGACATGTCCTGAGACTTGTTTGTGGATAAGTTTTGACGAGAACAGCAGGGCGGGTATTGCTTTCCCGACCTCAGGTTTCTCCAGAGGTGGACTAGATTGGTAGCGCGGGCCATGCTATTGGCTTGTTGGATAGTGGGGATGCGGGGCAGTGGATGGAGGGGGAGGAGCAATAGTGTCAAGGGTTGTTCGGATTTTCTGGAGTGAATGCGTGAGGTGAGTCGAGGATAAGAGCCTTAAACCCTCTACAAAGAAGACAGCATTTGAATTCTTACGGGTAGCTAGAGTCGAGGTCTCTTAGGAGAATGTCGCCTGAAGAGTTCCTACAATGATAGATGGACAGAGCCAGACGTCGGAAGGGTTGACGAAGAGCCGAGCTACGCGAGTCAGCCGACCTCAGATCCAGGAAACCATGACTCAAACCAGCTCCCGCAAGAAAGGGTGGTCAAAACTTGGTATTATTGTTTTAGTCATGATCTGTCCGTCACTGCCATGTGAGTAGAATTCCAATCGCGCTCAAGTCCATCTGGTCCTCACCTCAAAACATGCTCCTCTGGTATCACCCCTAACCGTATATATTCTTCAATTGCTCAGGTTTCCCCCTCAGCAAACGCCCTCGCAATCTCTTTCGCGATCCCAAGCCTCAGGATCCTAATCACATCTCTGCCACTCGCATCTTTCCTAAACCCCTTTCTCCAATCCCAAGCCCTCTTCGTGTCATCCACACTCCCGCCCTTAACCAGCACCGTACTACTCTCTGTCGACTGCCCCTCCATTGATCCGAACTCGGCGCTGCCGATGAGCGAGTACTGGCTCGAAGCGGTGGTCAAGTTGGAAGTTGATTTCTGTAGCATTGATCTTGGCGATGGAACGTGGCCGTCGTGGGCAGCGGCAAGGGCTGTACTAAAACATGCTTCGCATTGTGATTGAATCATAGAGGGTGCGGTGTCAAGGTCTTCCACGGCTGCGAGAAGGGAATATATTTGTTGGAGTGAGAGTGTGCGCTTGGGTTCTATATGATTAGATTATTAGCATCACTCTATCCCAGCTCAAGCGGGAATTTTAACCAGGACTTACGGTCGATGAATAGAAGGACCTCCCCAAGTAGACAAAGGAGCACATCAACCTGCACCACAGTCTCAATGTCGGCATCATACAGCCCTCCGCGGATGCTTGAAGCTGCACTTGCAATGATGACCATCAAAGCATTTGCAGCAGCAAGTTTCCTCGCCATGGGTCTATGTGCAGGTTTTTTACCTGCTGTATGAGCCAAAATTTCTTCGTCTCGCAGATCATAGAATTTGCGAATGGTTGCATATCCGCTAAGGTAGTTCGAGAGAATTTGTGCAGCCTCAGGGTCGCTGCGGGCGAATTCAGTCAGCGTTTGTTTAGGTGATGTGATAAGGGCGCTGAGGCGGTCATCGAGCTCGCCGACTGGAGGAAAGGCTAGAGATTTGACAAGGCATTGTGCAACGAGGATCCGTAGGACGTCCTGGATTTTCTTTGAGTTGTGGGCTCGAGCGTAGTAGAAGAGTGTGTCTCCATAAGCCTGAGTATTCTCACGGAGATGGTCGGCGTATGTCTGCAGCATGTTAGAGTGATGTGAATGAAGAGCTGGAAAACATACTAGAGCGACGTGAAGTGCATGTTTGGATAGACCCAAGGTATGACATAGCTGAATGATCTTATCGACACGTTCCGATGACTGAAGAGGGAGGTCGTTCAAAAGCTGCTCGATGCGGTCATCAGCCGTTCTTTGATCATCCAGCCTTTCGAGAACCTGAATCGAAAGTTCCCAGCCCTCACGAATCGTCTTTCCATCCGAAGTTGCTATTCTATCCTTTGAAGCTAAGGCAGTTGCATACGCCGTAAGCAGGTCATCTTTGGTGAGGCCTGCGCGTGGTCGCTCGTTGAAACTCAAGACCATGAGGTCGCTCTGATCGAATTGATCAAGAATGCCGTCTGCTCGCCGGAACCAGTCACCACCTGTCGCCACCTCTGCGATAGCAGATGTAAGGGTAAGTGACCAACCGCGGAGGATGTGTAGGACACCTTCGATATTGTCATCAAAAATACATGCCATGCCAACCTCGGTAGGACTTGTCGTTGCAATACTGAAACCCTCCTCGCCACTCTCAAGAACCGTGGCTAAAGCAGACGATAGCCGCTGGCAGTACGCTTGAACTGGGGTGACATCGACAGGACGAACTCGTTGCGATCGGGCGATGGAACGGCGGCTGGCTGCAAAGCTTCCCTGGGGGACCTCATCTTCTTCCCCGTTCCACCATATCGCCAAGGCGGCCGTGGCCTCGAGCCAGTCCGCTGACACAGCAATGATTTCTTCTTCTCCTCCAAGGAGCTGTTTGTACAGTAATTCGAGGTTCTTGTACACAGACCAAGGCACGTTGCTCTCGGCTCTGCGACTTGCCATGCTCAAGTTGAAGCTATTCTGGGATTGAGAGATGCCGAAACTTGAGGCTTGGAATGGCTGTGAAACACTGTGGCGGTTCTGGCTGTCGCCTTCTGCATATTCTTGCAGGTCAGCTAATGCTTGATACACTCGCCGTCTGAAGACGCTCCAGTCCTGTCCCTTCACGTCCCAATCATCCGAGGTAACGGCAGGACATTCCTGCAGGAGCTTTATGGCGCTCTCAGCAGCGGAATTTGCCTTGGTAAGGTGGACTCCGCGATAACCGTCGTCTCCCAGATGATCATCACGAGCTGTGTCCGCGACATCGAACTTGGCACCTTTTAGCAATTTTAGTGTCGCTGAAAAATTTCCTCGGAGAGTCGAAGCATGAACTGCATCCCAGAACATGTCGGATGCTGAATATCCACGCCTCTCTTTTAACACAGTCGCAATTTCGGCTGGCGTGTTATGGTAATTGTTGAGCCAATCGATTAAGACTTTTGGAATCGGCACAAAGTGCCTCGACTCAAGCCGGGTCGGGACGAGGGAAAATGCGGAGGGGCGTTGATTCCGTGATGCTTGACCAGGGCAGTGAATACTGAAAAGGAGGCTGATAAGTCGGTTTGCCGCGACAAGGGGAGAGAAGCCCGTAGAACGTCCTGATGCCGCTAGACTCCCGCTGAATGATGGCTGAGTCGGAGCGCGCCATATCTCGAGAAGCTCCTGGGCAACATCAGAGAGAGCTGTACTTCTGCTTTCTGGCGTGCCTGAGGCAATTGATTCATGCAGCCTCCCCATAAGACGCTCTGTTTCTAGTATGACATGATCCGACTCTCGGAGGGTCTCACTGCCAGGGTTTGGCGCGAGACTCTTGGCTAAGTTGAGGAGATCGTACTGAGACTGCTTTGCGGCTGGGCGAACCACTGGAGAGCTGGATATTGGCTGTTGTGTGATGCTCGCCGCGCTTTGAGAAAACCGATTAGGGGGGCGAGAGCGACCTTGAAAGATGGATGTGTCCTCCTCCTCGTCTCCTTCAGCGTCCTCCTCTTCACCCTCACCCATGGATTCATCTTCGTCTTCGTCGCCATCTTCTCCGGCTCTCCCCTCATCACCCGTGCCCTCATCCTCCTCGCTATAGTCGCTGTTTTCACCCTCGCCATTCTCTTCCTCCTCGTCCTCATATTCGGCCTGCGGCGGACTGCTGTTGGGCCGCAGCCCTGAGCGCCCCCGATGTGTTGAGGGACGACCCGGCACTGCGAAATGGCCGCTCCCAACTCCAGAAAACTCATGCTTAGTAGGAGAGCTATGGAAGGGAGATGGATTGAAATCCCTCCCTCCTTGGCTGCCCAAAGTGAATTGTAGTGGGTTGCCGAAGCGATCTCTTGGAGGGGGCCCGGCCGGGGTGGATGATGGCAAGGAGTGGTCAGGTGGGGGTCCGGCAGGAGTTGTCGAGGGTACATGACGACTAGAGCGGCGCGAATCGGGGGTCGATGGAGGCGTAGTAGAAGGGTGGCGGAACATGACTTGGTGTTCGCAGGGGAGCGGGACGTTTGCGGTGGGTTGGAAGGGAGGATACCGAACTATTTACGCAGAGAAAGATGGTCGTGAAGCTGAACTCCAATTGCAGCCGAGCACCCGTTCTCCTAGGTCAACCACTTAGGCGGGGTGCGGGGTGGAAGGAGGCTGTGAAGATATTGTGGATGTCGCAAAACATTGCTATCAAATAGCTCCAGGAACGCGCCGCGAAATATCTTGGCGATGGAGCGTTCGGGTTAACCCTAGTTGTTCCGAGAAACCTCACTCACGTGACGCGTGCTTACCTCAGACCCTCCCTTCGAAGGGCTCAAGGGATGTTGCATGCGCTGTAGCACGTTTCGGACATTAATCTCCACGCATTGCTCTTTTCATTTCCTCTTGCGAGGTCGGGAATCTGGACCGTCACACATACGCCGCCGGCCTGCATGCCCGATACCATATCTTCCTTTCCTTGGAAGCATCTGCTAGCTTCGCCAGCTTTATCGGTGCGCAGCTGGGGCGCATATTCCGGGGCCGCAGCAGCGAATCATACGCCCCAACGATTCACTTTTTCCATCTGATCCTCCGGACTTCTAGGCGTCGTGCATGCTTTTCCAATATCGCTCTCTGAGCCCCTCGAGTGAAGGGTGGCCATCGCTGCAGGGGTTGCCGCTCGATCATTAAGGTACCGGCGCCCAGCAGTGTTTTTTAAGCTGGGATGCGACGAGCTGACGAGGGGGTGACGGGGAATGACTGGCAAAGACTGACATGGGCTGACGGCCGAAGTCCACTTGACGTATCCTTCAGAAAACGGTCTGTCCCGCCGCCTACCGGCGGCCCCATTATGACCCTGTTGTGCCCACAACCTCTGCATCATCGTTTTCTTTCTCCTCACGCTGTCCCCATGCCGTGCAACTCGGGGGTCTTTCTTTAATGTCTAATCTTGGTCCTTTTGTTTATTGATATATCGAGCTCTCGCCCCACACTCTCTCCATCCTCTTACGGAGCTGAGCGGCAGCAACCTCGTCATGGTGCAAACGCAGGCTGTGTGGCAGAAGACGAAGTCCGGCGGCAAGGCTGGCTTCGACAAGCTCTGGGGATGGGCAGACAAACTCGGGGCGCCCGTCAACAGACTTTCAAATAAGCTGGGTTCCGAAGCTTTTTGGCCTACCACGCTCGACAAGGAATGCGACAAGGCTGCGAGGATCTTGAAGAGCTTTTGCAGTATGTTCCGACTTGAGAGTGTCTGGAATGGCTACTGACTACGCGGCAGAGGATGGTTTCTACCAGGAGGAGGAGCGTCCCACCGCTGAAGGCCCCAAGCAAAAGCAACGAGTACTGAAGAGAATTCCTCCAGAGGTATGTCGCTATATCTTCTCGTCACATCCCCGCCCCCCATGCACAATTGAGCCACACCCGGAAAGTCAAGAGTACCTAGATCGGTTTATGGGCCATGAGTAAGAGGTGCAGCCTTAGACTGCCACTAGAACAATCTGCGCAGTCGTATTGTCGTTCTTCGAACGATAGCTCATCGCAGAACCTCGATCTTAGGAAGTAGTCAAAGCTAATCCGGATCACTCTAGGTAATCAAAGATGCCAAAGGCCTTGCCATCTTCACGACTATGCGGACCGGCCTCTGGGTATCCGGCGCCGGAGGAAGCGGCGTGTTGGTCGGCCGAAAAGAGGATGGGACATGGTCTTCGCCCTCGGGAATCCTCCTACATACTGCCGGACTAGGCTTCCTAGTCGGAGTGGACATATACGACTGCGTGGTAGTCATAAACACACAGAAGGCGCTCGATGCCTTCTCCAGCGTACGATGCACATTAGGTGGGGAGATTAGTGCGGTTGCTGGTCCCGTCGGAGTTGGCGGAGTTCTCGAGACTGAAGTCCACAAGCGACAAGCACCAGTTTTCACGTACCTCAAATCGCGAGGGTTTTACGCCGGGGTGCAAGTCGACGGAACTATCATCATCGAACGAACAGATGAGAATGAACGCTTTTATGGGGAGCAGATTGGTGTCGCGGATATTCTGAAAGGGAAGGTGCGACATGAGCCATATGAGACGAGAACCCTCATGGCAACCATCAAAGCCGCCCAAGGGGACCGCGATGTTGACCAGTCTCTAATACCGAACGAGCCACCGCCAGGTGATTTCGAAATTGAGCACGACGAGAAGCCCTTTGGGATTCCTGACAAAGAAGACCCAGATCCATTCGGCGTTTTGGCATTGGAAAATGCTGGTCTCGAGATTAGGGAAGCAGGAACCCGCAAGAGACCAACAAGCGAGCAGTTTGAATTCAAGCCCAGTCCAACAAGCCCTATTTACACCACATTTCGGAGGAGCATGGATAATCGCTCCAGTATAGACGGCAGAAGCAACAGCAGACGCTCGAGCTGGAGGACAAGTACCATTAGTAGCATGGTGGAGCGCAGCACCCAAACAGTCGACATGTCGACACAGACAGACTTCGACGCACCACCACCAATTCAAGTACCGCCAGCACTACCTCCTAGGACTGAACAAAATTCCAGTCCCAAAATGGCTGAGATCCCCGAAGACAAAAGCACGGATGAAGCGAAGCCTGAAGTACAAGAACGTAAAGACAGCGCAAAAGAAGACTCAAGACCGAGCTCAGCACGAAATTCACAGGCATTTGACAACATCAATCTCGACGACGATGCCGAGGATGAAGAAGAAGAAGAAGAAGAAGAAGAAGAAGAGCCTGTTGTCCAAGAAATCCACCAAGCCACCGCCCCTCAAGTTATCACTCGCGCCCGCCTCGTCACGGTCGCAAAGCCGATTCCACCAAAGCTGCCACCACGCAACCCCTTCCGCAACAGGCTCACCGTAAACTCTGACATTGCCAACGAAAGCGCGACACGCGATATCGACGCTGGGACGTCGCCCATGGTTGCATCAGGTCCGAGTCCGCCATCGACACCCTCGCTCAAGCACGATGGCTCCTCCACATCGTCTAAGGATAGCATCTCTTCCATCGAAGGCCTTGAGCACGTAAGCAAACGCCTGCAGCCAAAGTTCGACAGCAACGATGAGCCAGAAGAGAAGAAAGAAGACAAAGACGAATTCCACTCAGTTCCGGATTCCCCGGTCAAGAACATTCCAGGCGGGTTTAACTAATCACTTCGGTTTTGTCAGTATTTAATGGGAAGGGGGGAAATGGATGTATTGTGCAACTTGCCACAGGATTACAAAGCTCAGTCCGGATGATCGGTTTGTACGGAGTATCGCGGGAGTTGGGACTGGGTTCTCTATTTGGGTTGAGAAGGTAGGACTCAGGGTTTTGGTACAAGGGTATCATATCCAATAGCATAGCTTCTTTTATTTTTCATTGGGAAGGGGGGAAAGTGCTATTGTGTACGTTATTGATATTTTCTGGGGGTTATGATGGGATGGCACGATAGGTATGTTGGGCGTTTGATGATTAGATGCTTCGACGCTGTTGTTTGCTTGCCACAAAAGTAATTTCTCAATCACTTACGAGGTAGCCATGCATAGAATAGATACGGTTCATGTGGGTTCGGACCTCGATACATTCATCCTTTGTCATGCTCTCTCGTGGGGACGATGGGTTAAACAATAAGGCGGGCTGGCCGCTAAGATTTTGCAACCGTGCCATCCCTGCCGAAATTTCTCCAAATCCACAGACCCATCATCCATCCCACTTCGACTGAATCTTCATCACGACATCAAATACTCCTCCTCATACGCAAGGTCCCGCAGAAATGCCCCCCAAACCCTCCAAATCCAAACCAGACCCCGCAGGCCCCCCCTCAACACCAAAGACAATCTCCGGCTTCACCGTCCTCGCACTCACGCTCCCCACACTCGCCTGTCTCAAATTCACAACCACGTCCCTCTCCACACCCATAAAACACTGCCTCTACATCAAACCGCACGAACCAAAAACCCCGTCACCGGACGACGCGAAAAGCCTGTTTATCGCAAATGTGCCAATCGACGCGGATGAGGGTAGTATTCGCTCGCTGTTCCAGGAGCATTTAGGAGGTGCAAAAGTGGCGCGCGTCGAGTTTGATGCGAGTGTTCCTGGTGGGGTAGTTTATAAGCGATGGAGGAGTGAGGGTGGTGTCGGGAATGCTAGTGCTAGAGAGGAGATGCGAGATGCGAAAAAAAAGGGAATGGCCGGGGGCAGAGATGGAGGCAAAGAGCAGAGGGGTAAAAAGAGAAAGCGAGATGAGGAAATTGTTGCAGAGGGCGTGATTGAAGACGAGAAATCAGCACTACCTAAGATCTGGCCTGCGGAATTACGGAAGAGTGGGTCTGGAGCCGTGGTCGTGTTTGTAGATAAAGCGAGTGCAAGGGGTGCGATGAAGGAGGTTAAGAGAGCTGGGAAGGAGGGGAGGGAGGTGGCGTGGAAGGGTGCAGAAGGGTTGGGTGTGCAACGTAATTTACCCATTTCAACTTCTTCTTTTTCTTCATTATCTCTTTCCTTAGAGGGATTTGGAATAGACATGTTCTTCAAGTTAGATTCGTTAGCTAACCACCCTTGTTCTCCCTCTAGGCTACAAATCCCACCACCACCTCCAATACCCCCCCAAATCCGTCCTCCAAGCCTCAATAACATCCTACCTAACCCAATTCTCTACCGCCGAACTCGCTCGCAACCGCCTGCGCTCCAAACTCCGCTCTGTACCCGACGAAGATGGTTTTATCACGGTAGTTCGCGGCGGCCGGGCCGGGCCCGCTAGACTTGAGGATGCCGAGAAGAAGAAAGAGGAACTGGAGGAAAGGAAGAAGAAGAATGGGGTTAGGGAGGATTTCTATAGGTTTCAGATGAGGGAGCGCAGGAAGGAGAAGGAGGGGGAGTTGAGGAGGAAGTTTGAGGGGGATAGGAGGAGAGTGGAAGAGATGAGGGAGAGGAGGGGGAAGGTCAGGCTGGAGGGGTAGGGTGGGCCGGGGTTTTGTAAATTGAGCGGAACCTGCCGGTGTAGGTTCGGATGGAACGTGTTTCGACGCATGGAAGGACGAAGCATGTCTAAATCCCTAGGCTTCCTGCGATATCGATGTCGAATATTGCGTCCGAAATAGGACTTCGTCTCGATTGTAGCGACTGAATCCGTTTCGAGGGGACCGCAAAGAGAATATGCTCGTCACCCTCAATCCCATACTTGCGCATAGCTGGAGGCTACAGCAGGCTAGCGACCCTTCGAAGAATCTCTGAAAGCAGGCGTTCGGGGTATAGCCATCGTAGCAGAGGGAGACGACCCGGTCGTAGAGCGGTCTACAGATTAATACCATCCAGATATACGTTGAACCAAATATTGTTAGAAGTTTCCTTCATTGCTTCCGAGGATAGTTCTTCGTTCTACCGGCCTGCCACATGCTCTAACACGTTGTCATCAGTGGACGCTTTCCAAATAACAATAAATTCTCAACCTAGGAAATGACAAATAATCAAGCCCTGTCGGCAAGAGTCACTTCCTTTTTAAAAAGGCTGTCTAGTTCATGAGGCCGTAATTATTGAGGGAAAAAAAACCCCTATGTGGAGGGCTTTTTGAGTGGTTCTGCGGAAGGTACGAATGAGAGAGTAATTTTTCTCATTGGGATTTCGCTACCTCTACTCCTATTGTTATCAATTACCGTCGTCATAATTGTTTTTAAAAGAAAAACGCATCCCACTAGCCACCGTGACACGAGCAACAAGACATCCCTGTATCAGCACCACGGCATATGCCTTTAATTCCCAGATAAATAATTCTCCACGGGAAGTGTGGGCAAGTCCGAAATTCTCTAAAGGCTAGGCATTTGTCGGATAGAGATCAAGAGTACCTCTCGGACCCCCACTTCTTCCCCCTTTGCTGGGACGCGCTTTTGACCACATACGAGCTTGTACGCCCACCATATGTCTCACATTTAATGACGCTTATGGTCGCACAGAAGCCCGAGGAATGTCGAGAGTGATGAAGCTGGCATTCGTTTCCGCTCCAGGATTCAATCCATGGCAATTAGCTTGCCGACGGATATCCAGATCTGTGTCTGTTTCCACGATGGATCCGAACATCGGTTGAGTGCGGGATATATTGCTTGCTTATATTAACGGAGAGATGTGGAAATGTTTGACTTCGGCCTAATCGTAAGCTGTTGGAGGCTGGCCTTTGAAATAGGTCTTGGACCTGGCTGGATGTGGAGACAGGTTTGGCGACACGCTCTTGATTGAATCCCAAAACACAGCTCGACATCACTCGCGTAAAATTGTGGCAGTTCTTATTTCATAATTACAGATCGGATACTTTCATCGCCGGTTTTTCCGCTGCGGAGAATAGGAACCTACCAGTCTGCTGCTTGACTGCGCCACAGAGCCCGAGGTGGTATTTAAGGCTTCGCTGATCGGGGAAAGTCCTAGAGATATTTGAAGTCTAGTATTGGTGAGGCTGTAGGGTAGCATGTCGATTGGCGGATCCTGGTGTGAGGTCATATTGATTCAGTGAGTGAACCCAGATGGATGTGGGGAAAGCATGCCGCGGATAGCTGAGAGATCAGCAAATCCAAAACCCTCAAGGGGTGAATCTTCCGATAATAAAATGGTAAGATCGTCTGATCGCCATATAGCTTCCACTTGGAGTCCGATATAAGCTCCTCGTCTTCCCTACAAGGAAGTGGCATTTGGATGTCAAAAAGACCTAACTAGCAATACGCTACGTCTTCTAAACGAGCTCTCGGTCTATCTGAAATGCAGCACATCTTCTGAGTAACACTGATACTCTCGATTACACCTGCTTAAAGAACATGCCTCAGAATAGAGGCGATTAATGAGAGAACTAAATCCGGGACCGAAATATTGTACCAACCTCGCAAAGAAAACACAGTCCTCATGGGGCTATGGGTTCTCGAAGAATCAATCGCTGCTGAGCCACCGCGGGTCTTCGACTTTACACCACGCGGGATTGGCCTTTCAATATCCTCGTCGCCAAGATATATGAGACAAATCGTGGAGTCCCTGTACCATGAATACATTAAGTGATGGATTCGGTGAGCTCCGTTCTGGTAGCTTCGTCTATGCAGCATGTATCAATCCAGGTGTATTGATATCCTATAACCCAACTCTTGTTGATAAATCCGAGTAGCTTAGGTTTGACTATTTCCATAGCATTGAACATTTCCTGGTACGCTAACCTTCGGCGGCTCCATGTATGCGAAAGTATCGAGTATCGAGGGATATCATCACCTACATGATCAGGGAAGGCCAGTGTCTTGGTATCCAGGAGTTTCGTTTCTGACATAGCTGGAAGGTATAGGGAAGATGGATGGCAAAGAAAGGGCTACATTAGAGACGTAGATCTAAAATCTGGAGTTCTTCCGTGTCTTTTTTGGTCACAGCCAACCGGAATGCCGCCACAAGGCTGAGAGAACGAATCCGAACGAGGAGAAAACACAAATTTAAGGGGCAGGGAACGCAAAGATTTTAGAAGCACATTGGTTAGGGATGATTTGTTGGTAAGTACAGATGAAGCTGAGAGTTGCTGCGTTGCCAATAGAACTTCTCGTAAGCGCGTATACAAGCGGTTAATTCGGAATCCCATGAGAGGAAGGAAGGTTGAGGATGGTAGGGGTTTTCGGCAGGGGCTTAGCCAGTAGTAGAGGAGGGCTAGGAACGCAGGAAGATCAAAGGGACAGGGGAGGGAGAATGTTGAGGCGCAGTGGAATTCAGCGGGTGCGTTTGAGGGAAGTGTCAATCGTTCCACATGCAGCTCTGGAGCCTTGCGCTACTTTATTTACTCTCGATTATCGCCTATTTATAGCCTAGCATTTTATTCGTAGAAGTGCCGAAGTGGTAGGAAAGCATCGAAGGTAGTTGACTTGCTAATATTACTCCAGCGGCTGTCACCTTTAATAAGAATATAAGAATATAACAAATATCGCACAAAACAAAGTCCTTATATCCAAGACCGCGAGATTTCGAGGCACCGGCTCGGAAGGACAGTCAGGCATTAAGGCTTTGGTTAAGACTCTCCAACATGTTGTTCACCGAGCAGCTGCTTTGGGAAATCCCAAATATGCAAGCCTCGATTTATCGGTAGCAATCGAACGACAGGGGTTATAGAACGCGAGGATTAAATGACCTTAGGTCCTACTTCTCAAAGCGAGCGCCGGTGAACGACGAGCAACTTAGCTAATGGGATGAGCTATTGCGTGGGTTGAAACGTGGGCTGCTCAGACCTTCTCGGCACACGGATTGTTGAAAAGGCCGTGTCATAACAGGCAGAAATGCAGTTAAATTAGGAGGCTACTGGTGTAAAATGTTTCTATTCTGCATGGCAGTCAGCATGGTGATGACTAGCCTATGGGGTTGTTGGGCAGAAGTGGGGTTTTGTGTTCATATGCATGCACATGGCATATCAGAATTGCATGCTAATCGGGATGCGTGGAAGGCAATGATTTCCACCCTCAGAGGAAAGAGGCTAGGATTGATGCAACCTCCCGTAGAGCCTCACTTCCTTGTTCCCATGGTTCGAATCGCAGGAAAACGAGGCCTACACGACGCGTCATACGAGAGGTACGTTACACTCTCTTTACTAACATCAGACACCCCTCGAAATGGAACAATATTCACTAAAGAGAAGGGATGTAACTCACGATCTACGAGAACAGTAAGTGACCACAGGACTAAATGTCCCGCAAATCCTAACGAGGAGGATTTTGATCATTGAGCCGCACATTTCTGCCATCCAAATATGTCTACATGGTAAGCCAGTCGAAATCCGGCCCCCTGCCAAATGGGATTTCTTGTGAGAACATGGCAGGGTCAAGCGATGTCAAACGCCTCCAAACTTTGCTTATTCTATATTTCGACCTATGATTCTTTTTCCTGCCCCTCTACCTCTCCAAAATATATCAGCCCCAGGAGCGTCTCGCCCAGAATCATGGCTAACGGGGTTCAGCCCTTGGACCCTTTTGCTTTCGCCAACGAGGTGTGAGAGTTATACGATTTTTTTTGCAAGGAAGCAAAGCCTGTGTGACACTCTCTGAGGCAGGTCGAACGCCTTTGAATCACCTTCGCACGAATATAGTCTTGTGGCCTGGTAGGCAAAAAATGCAGATCTTACATAAAGGTTCATATCCTCCCTCACTGAAGCCCTCCTAGTTTCAGAGCAGAGATTATCCAGTATCGTTAAATTACCTCTTCGAAATGGCATGCCGGCCCTTACTTCGAATCATAGCCTTGTACTGGTTATGCCTGTGTGCGCGTGCTGCTGGGCCTTACCAGTCACTCGGAGACATCTTCAACAACCAGCTTGCTCATTTGGAACAAGCAAAGCCCACCAAAAACCCCTATTTAGGAGGTCAAAATTTTGGCTACTGTTGTCGCCTTGCCGTCAATGAATCCTTGGAGATAATTGACGGACAACTTCAATTCAAGCCTGGTCAAATTCACCTCAGCGGCAACATATCGACGTTTCTCCAGTACCAATTTCCTTGTGGAGCCAGCTACAACGGATCACAAGGCCAGCCAAGACAAGTATGGGTGACATGGAGATGGTGCAACAAGAATTGTCCCGGCTGGGAGATCTCCAAACCTGAACGATACAGTTTTTGGATCCAGCCTTTGGTCGCCTTCATCATTCCCTCGGTCGTATTTTGTCTCAGCATTCCCCGAAGACGCAGAATCCAGGTCCCAGATGTTCTATTTCCCCGCAATGGAAGCACTCTGTCGAAAGCAGTCGTCCTCCCGCTCAAGGCGACCGTAGCATTTATCATAGTCGCACTTGATATCCTCATCTGGCTGGCCACAGTTCTCGCTCTGGCAGGCCCGATGTTGATATCCGGTATCTTCGAGGCAGTACTTGACCTTCGTGTTATCACACTATTAGTTAGAAAACGAGATATATCATTGCGAGATCAAGCTCGGCTTCTATACGCAGTTCTCATCGGCAATCTCGATCAATCGCCTGCATGGGGTCACATGAACGCTATTACGCAGGAACTCCCTAGTGAAAACTACGTACCTGCACCTAGTGTTCTTTCTTACATCACGACGACCAAAGCCCGCCTGAAGTCTATGCTAGAATCACAATACAGCTTTGGTTCAACGGTCGGGGCAGCGATCATCTTCTTCATGGGAGGATTCATATTTGCGCTAATTGAAATACAATCGACCTACGGAATATCGTAAACTAAATCATCCCTCTTTGAATTCGTATTGGGGATCTGACCGTGATAGATCTACTGCGCATCGCCTGGCATTTGGCATGTTCTGGATGATCATACCACACGTCGCGATCGTGAGCAGTGTTCTCCTCGCTGGCAACAACCCAAGTTCTTGGAACTGCGTGGCGTCCCAGTATTCTAGCGCGGACTTGGATGAGCTGAGCCATTCACCAGGCTCAAGCACTGCAGTCGACAAAGGCAGGTTTTCGTTGGGATCATCACGTAAATGGCTTAGCAGCTTTTATGCGATGCTTTATCAGCCCTCTTACCAAAGTATCTACCACTCAGCGTCGCTATGGAATCGCGGGACAAACAAAGCAATGTGGCTGTCAAGTCTCTCCGCAGAAAACTCCCTTCCTTCTGTTAAGAGTGAAGTACTTCACCTTGGGACAACGAAATGGCTTTTCTACTGCATTTTCCCCGCCATGTTCCTCCTTGTAATTCCATCCTTGTTTGGGATAATGATCAGGTAGGTCAGATCTAGATCCACCTGGTTCAAAATTAATGATTTTTCTAGTTACGTCACGCCAGTTGTCGGTATTAGTTGTCGCTCTGGCGCTATTCTTGTCTATGTCTCAGCCCAAATACTACTCACGATTCTCTGGATAGTCGATGTTCGCCTTTGGAAAAGAGATTCTAAAGGCGAATTTCTTACTCTAGGATCTCCCCCCAGGGGATCGTGGGCGCAGAAGCTTCCTTGGTATATTCTAGGCTTTCTGGGTGTTTTGGCAACCTTCTTCTTTTCCATCCTTAGTACCAGTACGCATCTTGAACCTTAGATCAGGTACTTTGATTCTGATACTGAAATTGTTAGTCTTCACGTTCATCAACCTCTACGTGAATTGTTTATGCTTTTTCCCCGTAAGTAAGCCCCCAGGAAAATTATTTCTTGTTGTCTGAACCGAATTTTAATTTGATACATAGATATGGCATTGGTGGGACCGCTACAACTCGAATGCTCAAGTCTATCTTGGAAGCAATAGTGATGAGAAGATTAATAACGCGAGAAGATACTGGACGCCGTGCGGCTTATCAGCCACAGCCTTTCTCGTCGCGGCCGCGTACATCGGGTGGTGGTATCAGCGGCGCCTTCGAGCCCAGTTCCGTGACCTTGTCGACAATTTGGGTACTGATACCCTGCACATATCTCATCGGAGAGAGGTTTCGCATCAAAACGGGGCAAGGCATATAAGCAGCTCAAGTGCCGGTCTTCCTCAGGCACAATCCTGCTGACTACGTTAGTGGGTTGCGTGCGTTCCATATTTCTAGAGTCTGCTTTGTATTGCATATTTGCTGTAACGAATCCTCACTTCTTTTCTGGATAGACCTAGTATAGATTGTGAACAAGTGTTAAGGCTTTTCTAGAAGAGAAGAGAACGTAGCGCTCGGAAAACAACTGTACACTCTCATGTGACAACGATTGGGCATTTTCGAGGAGGGGCAGCGCAGGGTTCCAGTGGCGGGAATATCAGTCTCCAATAGAGTTCGAGGTACAAGTGAGACCATACAGAGTTCTTGTTTTGCGGCGTTTTCTGCCTGGGCAATCAATGGTCATGCGATTTCGATAAAAAGCAACTGAAATCCATTTTTCATAAAGCTCATTCGAGGAAGTCTTGTTTTACACAGTCTCACCGATTCCTTGCGATACAGCATCCCCTGGGCATCATGGCTGTAAACCCTACTATTACATTGCATACAGGAGACCATCAGCTGAACTTGCGGCTTGCTGTTGAATTCTTGGGCAGCCATCCCGACGTCAAATTCATTCACTACCACTGGGCGGATCTCTCTGGCGTCCTTCGGGTACGAATATTACCGACTGATCACAGCCTCCGGCTTATCAGGCAGCATCGCCCTCTCCAAGCAGGCGCGTTCAGCCTGATTGGTTTCGCTCAAGGCCCCTCCCTACCCCGAAATTTTCGCCCTGGGGGTGTGAACGGCCTCTGGCCTGATTGGAGCTCGTTGCGACTCTTGAAGCACGGCCATGCCTCCGTGCTTTGCAATGTGTCAGAAGAAGCGTCTGGTCACACTGATGTCAACCCTTCAGCGCCGTTTCTACGATGTCCCCGAAGCATGCTTCAAAGCTTGCTCAACAAGGTTGAGTCCGAGCTGAGGGTATCTCTATTAGTTGGTTTTGAAATGGAATTCCATCTCATGGATGAGAAGGATCGACAACAGGCACTGACTGGCGATGGACCCGCCGGGTACAATTACTGGAGTTCGGCCTCTGCGATGAGAGACTCTCGAGGGAAGTGCCTGGGAGAGTGTGTGGAAGCACTACAGGCCGCAGATATTTACGTGGAGCAATTTCACGCAGAATCTGCAAGGAACAGTTATGAGATAGCCACTGGTCCGCTTTCAGTCCTCTCGGCAGTTGACACCTGGAATCAGAGTCTCGAGATTGTAAAGCAAACCGCTGTACAGCATGGCTTTCAGGCAACATTTCTGCCAAAGCCTTTCGCAAGACTTTATTGTCTTGGTCAACACGTACATCTATCTGTACATGTTGATGAGTGTGATAGCGATGAGAAAGTGCAGGAGATTCAAGAATCATTCCTAGCAGGCATACTACGACGTCTGCCACTGCTATGTGGCTATGGGATGCCTTCCAGAGACAGTTTCAAGCGGCATGGGCTTGCATTTTCGGGATGGGTGACGCGAGGAACTCAGAATCGCGGGGCCCCTATTCGGGAGATAGATAAAGGGCATTGGGAGCTGAAAACAATTGACGGAACTGCAAATTTCTATTTAGTGCTAGCCACATTCATTGCTGCAGGGGTCCTAGGCGTTCAAGAAAGCGAGGCTCTTGTCTGGAGAGATAATCGGGACTTCTTAGCCAATCTCGACGGAGCGGAAATGAAGCAGCTCCAACTTGAGACCCAGCTACCGGCGACACTCAAGGAGGCATTACACCTTTGCGCATCGAATCATATGGGACTGGATGTGCTTTTAGGGCCGCAGCTGCTGGATTTCTTCACTGCCGTTAAAAAGGGGGAGGAGAAGTGCCTGGAGAATATGACGGATATGGAGCAAAAGATCATGTATCTGGAAAATTTTTGAGCTTCATGCGAATAATGAAAAGAATTTAATTTGAGAAAGCTTTAAAGGATGTGAACAGGAGTATCTATAAGGAAACCCCGCCAGCCCCTTTAAATTTGGGTTCCCCAACTGCCTCAAAGCTGCCGTTCGGATATCTTAGCAATGCGTTCATTCCGGAGGAGTGTCCCATCCATGAGACATTGTGTCCGAGCGCTTTCATGTAAGCTACAGTGCTATTATCATAGTCATAGTCGAATGAAATCTAGGCATGCTTTAGTATCTTGAAAAAAAAGGTGTATGAAAATACTAACGACATCAGGGTTAAGTTGATCGTGAAATCGTGGCTCTGCTAAAGCCTCATAGATGTTCAAGCGTCGATCAAGGACATACCAAAGCGATTGAAGAGTTGCAGTAATGATTCTCGAACCTCCTGAGGCACCAGTGACAAAGTACAATGTGCTGTTCGAAAGGAACTCTACAATAACAGGTGTGCTAGACGAGAACGGCCTCTTTCCGGGCCTTATGAGGTTGGCGGGCGATGGAACAAATCCGAAAGCATCGCTAGTTCCAGCGATTGAGAAGTCATTCATTTCGTTGTTCATCAACAGGCCTGTCTCAGGCACCATAATGGTAGAGCCAAAATTTAGATTGATGGTACTTATCAAGGATACTGTCAAGCCGCTGTCATCGGCAGTCACAACATTTGAAGTGCCTGGCCTACAACTGGATTAGAAACTCTAGACATATTCTAAGGGGGTTCCTTACGTTTCCAAGCTCTCAATGTTATCAGGGTTATATGCCGATACTGGTTGCGTACTGGAATCCAGTATTTTGTTGCGAATCGCAAGAGACGTTTGGTTTGTCAGCATCTCCGCTTCAAATTTATTTACCGTATCGTTGAATGATGGATCTCCAAGTTTCGTTCGCTACAATTGTCAGTGCCATCACTCACAAGCATTCACTGCATATGTTAAGCTTACAGCACCATAGCCGAAGCGAATTGCTTCATCGAAACGATGAGTGCTAAGGTTTAGGTGGGCTGGATCCCAAATGTCGTGATAGCCCTCCAAGGTCTTCAGCACATTGAGAACAACGGCGCCGCTTGTGGGTGCGCCAGTGCTGACAAGCCTGAAATCTCGGTACGTAATCTGCTGAGGCTGGCGGACTGTGACCGTGTAGTTCGCTAGGTCTTCTAACGTCATGATTCCACCAGTACGGCTCAGGGCAGAAATAGTCGCCGCAGCTATGGACCCGGAATAGAATGCGCTTGGTCCACGCTCCGCTAGCATCTCCAAGAGATCGGCGTACCGTCTCCTCGTCAAAGTGTCTCCTATGCCAAGTCTAGTGCCATTTGGTGCGAAATCAATCGCCCAGGCGGAGTCGTCGACAAAGATTGTATCATCCAGGCGGTCCATATGTGAGACCATCTCCTCGTTTACCGGAAAACCCGTTCTCGCGAGCTTGATGGAGGGCCGAAGCAGATCTGGCCACGGCAAGCGACCGTAATTGTGGTGAAGGTATTCGAGACCTCTTACGGTACCAGGAACTCCACTATGCCATATATCAGCCTGTGTGGCTCTGGGTGATATTTAAGAAAGCCAAACCTAGCCAAACCCCCATATATTGAATGGACGCTTCCGTCCTTGAACATGTCCTCAGTTGAGCCAGCTGGTGCCGTTTCTCGAAAGTCCACAACTTCATACTCTCCGGATGCACTACGAATGAGCATGAAGCCACCTCCTCCTATGCCTGTGAGATATAGTACTCCAGACAAGTAGGTCAGCATTGGCGAGTCTGGTTCGATGAAGAAGAACTTACAGTTCACTCCTAAGCAGAATTCAGTCCCAACCATCTTCAACCTCAGTTAGTGCCTTGCGATTTCTCTTCTTTTGCCATTGCCGGAAAACATACTGCATCTGCCGCATTTCCGCCCTTCTTCAGCAAATCAAGGCCAATGTTGCTACATATTGAGCTCAAAGACGCGACTGCCCCACGAACAGGTGAAGAGCTGTTGCCATATCCCTTTTGAGCGTGAAAAGGGAAGTGTGTAGTTGTTGTAGTTCCAGCTAGCTGTTGCAGGGCAAGCACAACCAGAATGGCGAATGAGACGAACATGATGATTTCGAGATCGCGCCGTCGTATTCGCGACATGGGGCGCATCTTGTAATTTCGGCCCGGTAGCGGGCGGGGGGGGGGGGTTGCTTAGCTGCCCGAGAAACGTAACCGAAGGAACGGAAGTTCCGAAGTCTACCCGCGCCTTGCAGGATGGGTTGGATAGGGTTAACGTTCATCCAGAATTATAAAAGGTGATAGACGGAGGGAGCCTGGAAGGACGCTGCGGTGTGCCAGCTTTGTGCTTACCAGGCCGACTGACGGCCCTGGGAGTGGTGGAGGAAATCGGTGAAACTTGCTTGAGGTGGGGGTCGCCCTGCCTTTTCGACCCGTCACGGACCACCACAGATATCTATTACCAGCATGTTGGTTTCACTGTCTCGCATCTTCAGCAAACCACCTTGTACATGACGTGGACAGAGGATGGGTGGACATTTGTCTGTGCTGCGCTAGCACAAAAGATGTGATTTGCAGTCCTGTAGCGTCGATTTCCACCCCTCACATTATATTCATCACACCTATCACACCCATCGCACTTTTCGTCGTCCCATCCTCGCTGAGTGTCAACAATTCTTAGGATAAGTAAAAACCAAGGCACGAACTTCTATGCTCTGTCTCGGAGCAGCCCCTTCGTTTGCAAGTCCAAACGAAGCATGAGGAGCATCTGGGTCGTCAGCCCAAGCGACGGTGTCAAATGAGGTCTACAATTATGACTTACATCTTGCGAGAACGTCAGAATTCGAATCGAAGTTCTTGAGCAGCAGCACATCGTCATTCTGTTGCTGGCTCATGAAATACCATTTCATTCCTTCACTGTACTGCGCGTACATGGTCGTGCCATCATACTGCCTGCGGATATGATCCGTTTCAATCATATTTTCATCCTTGACGGTCTTCCCATCGCAGACAGCTAGCGGCCAGTCTTCAATCGGGCCGTTCAGTGGCTTCCAAACACTGATTTAGTTAGCTGGGATAACAGGCATTGGTTAGTGGTTACAATATTTACTTGATAGTTCGAACACGCCCTTTCAGCAAGTATTCAGCGTCGTCACCGAGGTGCAAATGAACTCTGCGGACAACAGCATCCGGGGCCTGATCTACCGTTACCGTAAGTCTGGGTTCTTTACAGTGAACTTTGAGCCATATCTCACCAACATGAACATGTTTCTCCGGTGGAAGGGGCTGAGCCGGGTCGCTTAAATTCACGAGCTTCCCATACCACTTTGATAGAGAATTATTCCTCAACTATCAAAGTAAAATTAGTAGTAGGCGTAGATTTCCCACAGTGAGCCAACACTTACCCTCCAATCAAAAAAATGGACGCGGTCAACGCCCTCGAGGTGCTTCCGGAGGAGCTTCTCGCATTCTGGGAGATAGCAGCCTTCAACTGCAGCATGATCCTCGAACTGCTCGCTAGAGAGCTTGGTGCTGTGCTTGATGTATGTGAAACCGTTGTTATCGATTGAAAACTCGGATTCTCGTCCCCGCACATCGTGCACTATTTCTTCCGGACCTTCTTCATATACCAAGTTCGACTTCCGTTGGTCTGGCGACTCCTTTGGGATATCGAGGAAGAGCTGGAAAGGCTTTTCCCGATTGTAAAGATCCGACCATTTCAAGTACAAGAAGTGGGTTCGTTCATCTCGAGGTCCAGCCATGTTGAGACGCTCTGATGACAAGAGGTGTCGCGATGAGTACTGGGCATGCGAAGTGTGCTCCCAGTCCCCAAGGGCAGACTTCAGGCTTATCTACTAGTCTCGGGCCAGGCATACGATGTCGCGTAGATGCAGATGCAAGCTTTTGAGAGTGCCCCCGCACATGCCCCAGTACGCCATCTGCACAGGAACTACAATGAATTCGATGCCGGGGCGTCACGATAGGTCAGAAAGGGTCTTAAAGTGCATGACACGTTGGAGTCACGTCGACTTGAATTGCAATCATCAATTTATGGAAAGAAAGAAGCTGGTACACCCAATACATTGATTTCACTGCCTAACTCTCATCAAGGGCTAACTTTCCATCCAGAGATATAGTTCCAGTCCCGTACTATAGCTTATTTAGGATCCATTCACGAACGGAGACAAAAGGAAAACTAACCATAGTTAGGGTAGCCGTTTTGCAGACTACCCTGCGACACCATTCGTCATAGGCTGGTCGGGGTCCAAGAGTGAGAAATCGGGTGCCCGATCGGTCTTATTGTTCACCTCTTCACTGAACATCGCTTTCCACGGCTGGACACGAGTATCCTTCTTCACTTTTCCCTCTACCTTGCTCGACCAAGAGACTTCCTCCACCTTCTCATCGCGCTTATCGGCGAGCGGCATTCTAAGTCTGGCTGGGTTCTTATTAGCATACTAGATGTGTCTTTGCTAGCATACTCACCAGTTGAAACGGATCAGTCGAGAGGCTAGAAGTATAGGGCTGGTGGAAACGTTTTTGGTTTGGCACCCGTATAAAGAGCGTTGGGCTGTTTTCAACGCTATATATGCCAAAAATGTTGGAAGAGGGGTTGCATGAAATACCAAGCTGTGAAGACGCAGTCGCCGGAAATGGTATGGATCAAAGATATGATGCATGTAATATATTGTCCCCAACCACTATCAAGCTGAGAATTACACCGTGTCTATTGGCGTAGACGGCAATTACAATTGGGGGTGAATATGGCGTGACTCTAAGTCTTCGAGCCTATAATGAGTCTCTGTGGGTGTCCTGTGAATGTCCCCGTCGGCTACTACTACTTATCAGTTTGACTCCCCAAAATATGGGACGCTTACATAACGCGAGTCGGCCGTCACTTGTAACGTTGAGGCTCTGCCTCGCAAATTCGGGGGTATGCGTCATTCTCCATTCCAACACCATCGTTAACACTGACCATGTCCGACAGCCCAGATCTCCATGATGGCAGTGAAGCTGCCTCTCTGCTTGCATCGAACCAAAATGATGCGGCCACACGAGATGTTGTTCGTCGAGTGCCGCGGAAGAATATTTCTCGCCTCACTTTGTGTTGCCTAGCCTTATTTTTTATTGTGGAGATGTTCAATTTCGTCACATATGCTCCCCTCACAGTTCTGTTCGAGAATGTGATATGCGATGCTTACTACTCTAAGAGGTCGTCGACTCGGTCTGGTGGGTACTATGATTGTAAGATCGAGCCTATTCAGGGAGATCTTGCACGCTTGAAGGGATGGAAAGGGTTCTTCGATACTCTACCAGGTGGGTTTCCTTGTTAGATCAGCGTACCAATATTGATGCTCCTCAAAGTATTCATAGTAGCTTTTCCGTTAGGAAAAGCTTCAGATACACTGGGTCGAAAATTTGCTTTGGCAAGCAGCATTGCTAGTGTCCTCGCGGGATTTTTATGGATACTTCTTGTCGGTGGGTTTTAAATTCATAGTGTTAGAGGAATGAAATGGCGTAGAATATACTGATTTTGGTTTGCAGGTTATATTCCTTCAATTTTCCCACTCAAAGCAATATGGCTATCCGCCGTGATGTATTTGTTCGGTGGTGGAATCTGTCAAGTTAATGCCACAATAATACTCATGACCGTTGAAGCAGCGGGGGAACGATACCGTAGCCAGATCATGTACTACACTTACTCTTTATATCTTCTCGCTGAGCTGGTGGGTCCAGCCATCGCCTCATTTTCCATCTCGACGTCATTGTGGCTATCGTTCCTTTTGGGAATCACACTCCTCCTCATGTGCCTGGCTTCAACATTTTTCATCCCTGAGACACGCCCTAGAACAGAGAGAAGACATCCGGAAGACCCTCCGTCCTCGTCACGAGATGCTTATGGAGAACGTCGACAGTCCCAGCATTGGGAAAGAAGCTCTGGCATTCAAATTCGGAACTCCAGAGCACTAATGCGTCATCGAAATGTGCTCCTCGCTGCCCCGATTTTCGTCGTTGGTCAATTTCGACTTGCCACGCTTAACTTGCTCCTGCAATATGCCACCGTTAAATTCCGCTGGACATTCTCGAGCGCAGCACTGCTCATATCCGAAATCGCAGCAGTCAATCTAATTATACTCGGTCCTGTTCTTTCGTGGGTTCCATCAATACTTCAGCATCGATATGGATGGAGGACTCGAACTATTGACCTTTGGATTCTGCGTGGTAGTCTAGGTTTCTTATCCATAGGCGCATTCATGATCGGAATTGCGCCACGGACTGATTGTCTTATATTCGGTGCGGAAATTCACCCACCAAAGCTTCTTCGGCCCATCTTGGGTTATTCTGACCTTCGTTAGGCGTTCTGATCTTTAGCGCAGGATTCGGCTGTCGAGCTTGCCTTCTCGCGTTAACTACCTCTTGGATTGATGATAACTACCGAGGTCGTTTCTTCGGCATCACCCAGATCGTTGAGAATATTGGTTTGCTCATTGCCGACCCCATCATACAGAACATGTTTGCCGCTAGTCTTGGACTTTCTCGGGTTTGGATAGGTATCTCTTTTTGGTTCGTATCCGTGAGTGTAATCCGGACCTTCACTTTACGATGAAATGCTTAAATCCATACAGGTTGTTTATGTCATAGCGACAATATGCGCATTTTCAATTAACAGACGTTTGTAAAGAACGTATTTTCTTCGTATTTCATATTCCACCTTTTGAGGCGTATACTTCCGACAGTGGAGGGCCTTTCCTACCTCTTCAAGGCACACCTTCTTGGGCACTATCATCGCATTACGGGTAGCCGTTTCGATAGCTTACTATTGGGCTACTCCCTTCCTTCGTTCGCCACGTCGTGTTTCAGCGTGCCGCCCTCCTTCAACTAGATTCCAGGTCTTCCGTTTGCTTCTCTCCTCAAGAATTTTTGGAACCGGAGCCCTTCCCATCAGCTGCATATTCAACCTCCCCCCTCACCTACTCACTTCCCACTCGGCCCGCAGTCTCTAGCGAGCTTTTATTCCCCCTTCTCTTCTCCGTCACTTGTCCCATTTCCCCCTCTTCCTTCGCCCTCTTCTCAGTCCACGCCACGCGTTGAAACTTCGTCAGATACGGATTAACCTTTCCCCAGGACACCCATTTCCTCAAGGATGCAGAGGGCAATGACGAGTACGATCGCACCGCCTAGAGATCCTCGAGTTATCGCCGAGTGGTAAAAGTGGGGTTGGGGTTAACAGATGAGGTGTGAAGTTTGAACACATATCCCAAGGTGAAGTGGGATCTGAGTGGAGGTGAAATTCAATGTAGTGTGCTTATTATGGAACTCTGCGACTTCCGACACGAATGTAAACTTAGCGCAGGGGACTTAGCATAGAGTAATAATTCATACGATCTTTAAGAATAATCCCCCTTTGAATCCGAATAAATTGAAGATAGGGGGTTGGCAAGGCGATGCTCAAGGATGCCATCCATGTATTCACCAATCACGAGCCTAGATGCTAGTGGCTGCACAAATCTCATTCGTCCAACATCACACAGAAAGTGATGCGGAAGTAATGCTGGCCTTAACCACAGCCATCAAAGTCAGTTTACGAGCATTGGAACACTCTTATGCCTGAATTTCAATGTGAGGGTATGATGCAAAAGGATAGGAGGATTGTATGTAGATGAGAACAAATTCAATGTAGGCAGGAAGCATTAAGGGGCAATCTAGATGTAAGACGAACCACGTGCTGACTATTTCCGAGAAAGGAACCAGTACAGGTCTTAATATTGGGTAGATGATACTTGGCCTAGAGATTCACGCTGAGTAGTAGTAGTAGTAGTAGTAGTAGTAGTAGCAGCAGTAAGAAAATAAGATCGAACGGAACAGTGGAAATAGCTTCCTAACATCATCCCTACTTGTCTTCTGGCTTGACCAATGAAAAGAAGCTCCCTTCGTGATGCAAGCCCCTGTTCCAGTTGTATACAACTCAACTACTTCTGTAAACGGGAGGGCTCTATAATAGGCTGCTCAACAACCTTGGGCTTGGGGTCTCATCATACTATATAAATCCCAAAGCTCCTCGGGCCCTCAGTCCAGAGTAAATCACTTCTTGTAGAACCCATGTTCCTTGCGACTTTTCAAACGGATATGCAAGGAATCATATTCCCCGTACATAATCAATACCACCCACAGAAGAAACCCACGGGAACAACCAACGCCACAAAAAGCTGAGGTAAGACGAAAAAATGAGATTCAGTGTTGCGGCTCAAGCATATCTCCAAGGAACTAACGTTTGAACGACCATGGCCAAGTCCGAGAAAATAGTAATTCTCTTAAGTTTTATGTATTTAATAATACTAGTGTAGCTTTAATATTTCCTATATTAGTAGCGATATAGATAGTTAAAGTATAGGTATATTGTACAGAAGGAAAATCTGTGCGTTACATGGGAGTGTGCATCAATTTCTTTGGGCGACATGAAAGAACTATAAGGCTGAGTATAGCTTGGCGGATAGCGGTTACACGTGAAATAGAGGCCTCCCTCCTAGATGACAAACTTTCTCGAAGTGACAAAGATGTGATTAGTGATGTCAGCTGAAGAGTCGAGGTCCTCGACTCGGCACGGTCCACACGCATAGATCACTAATTCCTGCCAAGCCGGAAGTCCGTCCAAACTTTCAACCTCGGCCGCTTTCTCCAGACTCTCCACTTTAACCATCAGCGCATGGCGGAGACACGAGCTAGTTAGAGCAGCTATTGATATTTGAACGTCTTTTTTGATCTCACTACTTACACTGCCCACTCACCTTCCAGCACTTTAGATACATATCTTCCGTCTTTGAATCTCTCCCTCCAACCTTTCTTGGAACGATTCACACTCAAGTCAAATCCCTTGTCCGCAATGCCACAACCCCGCACCCCAATCAAGCTTCCCATAAGCTACAACGACGTTCCATTCACACAAATCAAAACTAAACATTACGAAAAAGACCCGTCGATAATCATACTCACGCTGTACCGACCGAAGAACTACAATGCATTTACGAATACCATGATGTTAGAGTTGGAGGAAGCGTACGGCATGTTTGACGTCGATGATCGCATAAAGTGTATTGTGGTGACAGGACATGGGCGGATATTTTGTGTTGGGGCGGACTTGGAGGTCGGGTTTAAGGGCGGGTTTGAACCTGTTAATGAACATAGGGATGGGTATGCTCGTTTTGATTTGAAGTTTGAGGATTTGAGGGCGAGGAGAGATTGGAGCGTCTGCCCTGCCTGGTGTTCACTATTAAGTCTTTTCGAAGTTGTGTTTATGTTCAATTTCGTCCCTCCATCTGGTCTCTCTCTGCGCATCCCGATTAGAAACTCCTTCCCTTCTCCAATGCTACTAAGCTAATGTCCCCCCTCCAGTGGCGGCCGGGTAACCCTTGCCATCCACCACTGCCGTAAGCCCACCATCGGCGCCCTCCAAGGCTCCGCCGTCGGCGTTGGCATAACCATGACACTACCCATGAATATCCGGATCGCATATCGCCATGCCAAAATCGGCTTCGTATTCGCGCGCCGCGGACTCGTTATGGAAGCCTGCTCCTCCTTCTTCTTACCACGATTAATCGGGCATTCCCGCGCCATGGCAGCCGTCACCACTGGATCCACGTACGAGGCGGGGGATGCGATATGGGGTGGCTTGTTTGCGGAGACAGTGGATACGGCGGAGGGGGTTTTACCCCGGGCGCTGGAGATTGCGACAGAGGTTGTGAAGAATACGAGTGTGGTGAGTACGTATTTGATGAAGGAGATGATGTTTAGGGATACCGGGAGTGCTGAGGGCACGCATTTGTTGGATTCGAGGATTCTGTTTGAGTTGTTTCAGAGCGGGTACGCTTCTCCCCCTCCCCCCCTTATCCTAATCCCTCACCCCTCTTCCCTTTGATGTAATCGACCCTTACGGATGCATAATTGGGACAATGCTCCCAGAGTAATTCCTAGACTGGATTACAGACAGAAAGACAAGCTAACCTTCCCCGTTACAAATTAGGGATAACAAGGAAGGCGTGCAATCCTTCATGGAGAAACGACCAGCCAAATTCAAAGGCACAATGGAGAACACAAATGTCTCTGCTTATCCATGGTGGATGCCGATTGATGTTGTGGGACGAGCGAAGGTGGATCCGAGTGGGAAGGCGAAGATTTGAGTCCCGGGCTGGGTTAACGTAAGGGGTTAGTGATGGTTTAGGCAGTAGATGATTTTTGTTTGCTTAGGGTTTAGGATGATTAATGGGGCCCGAGGGAATTTGACGTATATCTCATATGAATGAATGCACAGAGCAGTGCAGTGTATTGAGTATGGAGAGCTATCAGTTGTGTGTTACGCTATCTCGTAATCTGCTGCCAACGGATGAATTTACATCTGTCACGATCTTGCAGCGCAAGCATCAACGTCCTAGACCTGTGATCATTCAGTTATTTGGGCAATTTGAAACGGCAAGTTCAGCTCTGCAATTTTGAAGGCGTTGAATATGAACTGCAATTTGCCTTCTTGTGTGCGGCACATCACTACTCCGTTCGTTCGACAACGCAAGTTAGGTATTTTGATTCGTTTATATTGTACTTCATTTTTGAAGCTATGCAGAAAGGGTTCGGAAAGCCATTTCATCCCTTCCCATCCAGTCCAGTCCACACCACACGAAAGAAAAGACGCTCAATAGAAGGTTGATGGTCGGTGGGCAGCGAAGAGCTTCTTGCTGGTGACCTTGTTGACACGGTGTGGGAGCGGGAACTTGAGGTCCTTGGTGAGGAGCTGCTTGATGTAGGGGCGGCGGATGTCATTGGTCTTCTCCACCTCGACGACCTTTAGGATCTATATAGTTGTGGTTAGAAAGACAGTTGTTGGGCGGAAGTTGGACGTTCATACGTGAATTGACCTGAAACGAGATCGGTGACGGGCAGCCATATCCTGATAGAGGGCATGTACGGCTTCACACCGGGACATCTCACGGTACTCCTTGTACATGTTGTGAGTGCCGGAGCGAGAGTCGTAGCGGATCCAGATGCCAAAGTTCTTGACCTTCTGGGGGCGCTTCTCGTAGATCTAGAAGCACAACATTAGCATCTCAGTGTTCTCCCCATTAGATCGGTATTGAGCATATTGTATCCATCAAGCCTATTGCAACGCACCTGGTTCAACGAGACAATCTCGCCGTTCGCCTTCTTGATCTTTCGCAACTTTCCAAGGAAGTACCAGAACCTTGATTTCGCAACGACATCGTTGGGGGCAAATATGCGCATTCGGTAGAGCTTAGGGGTGGGGTTGGCCTCTGTGGGCAGATGGCGCCCGATGACCTGGTATTCCTGGAGACGACCTAGGATACCGTTAGCACCATCCTATGGCAAGCGTCAAATCGTCCAGCCCAGCAATTGCATTCAGATGTTATCCGTGCGGGTTGGGGTCGTTGCAAATTGTGTCGAATGGTGCATCGGGTGACTTCTCGTCCTTAATAAGTTTTCGTGATGAACGCTTTTCCAATTTCCAGCGAGCGACAGAGTCCTCCATTTCCACCCTAGCGCTTCCCTTCAGTTACACACCCATCTTTTCTACGGATCCTACAAGAGGAATATGCGTGTGCAGGTAAGAAGTCCAACAAGAGGGCGACGTGGTTGTGTGTGGGCCGGTTCGAAATGCAATTGCTGAGCTGTTTATCGGTGTGAGGGGGGTCTTCTTACCCATCTGCATGAAAGTTAGCAGTGCTATTATGGCAAATTATTTCAAGAATCTCTCACCTTGAATGTGGCTGTTGGGTTAGTGGGCTGTCGTCGCTGTCGATGAAGTCCAACTTGATGGGCAAGGTTAGAAAATCTGTGGGCTCGCTTACGGAGGCAGATTTTCCGGCGCCGGTTGAAGTGGATCGTGCACGGCGCCGAATATTAGCCGCAACCACTGACGACACAGATAAACTCGACAAAGCTCAACCAAGCTCGCCATCTGTTGCTAAACATGGTCGACACTTGGTTCCCGGAGTAAGCATGGAAGCAATTATAGAACCCTTCCGCCGTGCCCACGCAAGCGGGAATGGATACGCTGTCTCCGCCCTGCTGAGTCCAGTCGCCCCGCCGGACGACGCTGGCCGACTCTACGACTTTTACCGTGCGTCCAATGAACAACAGATCGAGCCTGAGATCCGCTATGCCCTCAAATACAGCAAGAGCAGCAGAATTTCGCCCGAAGAAAGCAACGCGTGGACCGATATATTTGTGCTCTATTGGAAGGCCGTTGGCGAAATACTTGCGGTAGAAGAGGCTACAAACCAGGGACGCCTGGAGGACCGCATATGGGTTGCTGTGTACGACGCGTGGAAAGCGCTTACCGACAGCATTCAAAGATACGTCTCCAATGGGACGCTTCCATTCTGGGCTGTTGTGTGTATGTATCATGCTGCAACAAACCTGAGGAAGTTCGCTATCAAGGCAGACGAACAGCTAGCGAGCACAAAGGGCAATGTGACATTCAATTCAGGCTTCCAAGACGACGTTGTCGACTCGTTGGCGAAGACGGAGAAGCTTGAGGAAGCAGCGCGGTTGTTCAACAGGATGTTCGCTTTATGTCTTGGGGATCGGTGAGTCCGGCCTATTACGGCTGTTGCAGGCACAATTGCTGAGATCGTGGACAGGAACCCTGACTTAAATGAGTCCCGCAAATGGGGCACCTATTACATGGCGAACCTCCAATTCAAGACTTATTTTAAGGTGTGTATGGCCTCCTGTATCTCAACTGCGTTGCATCACTGACGAGACCCCGCCTGTAGCTCAAAACTATTAACCTATCAAAGAACGTAGTTAGATCAATCGAAGCCCAACCCGACCTCCCACCTCTGCCGTTATTCCCGAAAGCGCATCAAGTAACCTACAAATACTACACAGGCATTCTAGCCTTCCTACAAGAAGACTATGCAAAGGTTCGTTCGGTCTATTAAAGCGCTCACCGACGATCTTCTGACCATCGCACAGGCGGAAGTATTGCTTACCGAAGCGTGGAGCCTCTGCCATGTCGCAGCTACCAAGAACCAAGAGTAAGTCTCGAGCACTAACCTAGGCAACAGCTGCCGCTAACTTGGCAGACTCATCCTCACCTATCTCATACCTTGTCGTCTTGTCGCAAAACACAACGTACCCAGCCAAGACCTTCTCGCCCGCTTTCCCGGCCTCCAGAGAAGATTCGGCCCTCTTGTTAACTGCATCAAAGGGGGGGACCTCACAGGATTCGACAATGCGCTTCTGGCGGGCGAAGAAGAATTCGTGAAGCGTCGCATCTACCTTACGCTCGAACGAGGCCGGGACATCGCATTACGAAATCTCTTACGCAAGGTTTTCATCGCGGGAGGCTTTGAAGAATTGAAGGAAGGCCAGACCGAGGCGGACAGGATAAGGAGGACGAGGATCACACTGGCGGAGTTCGCGGCCGCCTTGAGGATGGACATCGGTGGAGAAGGCAGCGGCCAGGTCTTGGAGGACGATGAAGTCGAGTGCATGATCGCAAATATGATTTACAAGGCAAGTACTCTCTCTCAGCGCTTATGCATTGTCACCACCTGCAACCCTAACCCACCGCTCACCATCCTTCCCGAATGTCTCATGCAGAATGTTGCCTGGTGGCATGGGAATGCCTTATCCGGAGGCAAACTCGCTTCGGCCAGGCAACGCTGCAACGCTTCCAGAACCTCCGCGGCAATGCTTGAGCCGTGCTAATAACCGGCGTAGGGCCTTATGAAGGGCTATATCTCCAGAGAACATGCAATGGTAGTGCTGAACAAGAAGGGTGCCTTCCCGGGAACAGGGGTCTGATGCCTAAAGTACCTTTCACCCTTCTGCACCCAGCAACTCCTGGACCCACGCCCTGCGGCGTTATTGGCTGATAAGCAGCGACGCCCATCTGCGCTGCAGTCGAGATGCATGCAGGTGGTCGGTCGCGAAAGGGACTCCGGCCTTGCCAGATTAGAGATGATAACGAGAAACGATTTACCCCATCGCTCACACTGAGCATCATTTCTTCAACTATGTGCACCCGTCCTTGCATGATTCGTGCCTCCAAATCCGTCACACACATGCGACGCACACCCGTCTTGATTGCCACACAATCTAAGTTTTACGAGCGAGATCCCTCCGAACTGCGCGGCCAGGATTCAAAAAGTTCTGACCCGCGCCCGCGCCGCGCACAGACCGCAGCCACGCTATCACCTGATACCGCGTATACTTCCCCCCACCAAAAACCCACCAACCAATTAGTAGTGTTATCCACCCTCCATCTGCTTTCTCCACCGCTGAGCGAAGGTCAAGCCTCCTGAGATGGCGAAGCTAATTTGGATCTGCCACAACATCCTTGTTGGGGCTAGGGGAGTGTTTGTCACTGTGTGACTGTTCGTCCATGTGCCGATTGTGTCTTGTCTTGTCTTGTTCAGACTTCCTTACGGCTTGCGTTCGCCTTAATCAGTCACCGAGCGGAATGGGAAGCCTCCAGATGTTTGCTGGGTGGATGCGTGCTTGTGTGCGTCAGGTCCGTTGTACTCGTCCTCACCTAGTGACTCACACACCTCGTGGTAACAGACAACGGAGGCTATGCCTGATCATTTCTTTCCTTCAAATCTGTGCGGCTGTTGTCTCACTTTCTTACCGTGCCGTTTTCTGTCCTCTCTCTTCTCTATGCTCTGGCCGCGCCACGCTCTCTGGGGCGTGGGCGTTGCCTTTTAAGGCAGAAAATGAAACTAATGACCCGCATATATGGGACGGCCTGGTCTGAATCCTTGCGGGTGGATAAGGTGGGAGAAGTTGGTGGGATGAGATTGGAATGGGGACTTGGCATGCAGGTCAAAATTTGTTGGGACGACCGCAAATACGCAACGGTGGTACAGTGAATAAGGGGCCTTTGTGATACCAAGTAAGTTTGTAAGGCTTGCAAAGGATTTGCTTCCGGTTACCGCTTCTGGAATATGGGAGGATTGGCCGTGGAATGGGTGAGACAATGGCTTGCAGGGTGAAGATTTCTCTCTATTTTCATCACACCATGTGTTGAGTAAACCAAGACAATGTATCACAGAGTTCTCACGCTTAGTATCCCCGCTAATTCTGTGAGAATTCGTCATGATAACGACAAAACTTTGAATGCTATTTGCCCTTCAGTCCACCTTTCTTAAAACAATAGCATCCAAGTTCTCATCCAATCCCCGCGTATATATATATGGTGACAACACGTATCCAATCCACCCAACGTGACAAACAATATCAAAATCCTACGATCCTTGTATTGCAATTTGTGTAAGACACTCATTCATCTGTTTTTCCCGCAGAAGAAAATAAGGAATACAATCGCGGCCGTTATTACGAAGGGGAGGGAAGTTGGGAAAAAGAGAAATGTGATGTATGAGAGTGAAAATGAAAATGAGAACAGCTTCTGAGCTGCCGTGACATAGTCACGTATGCGTTCCATCTTTTTGAGATTGATATTTTGGAGTGAGTAAAATAGAATCCTGTCAAACGGTCGACGAAAATGGCCGGACTATCATTCGCAATCTTGTGGCCGGAACGAAACGCAATCATCAGAGGTAAAATGATAAAGAGAGAGGGATAGATATAGTACAATGAGTTGGCAAATGAGTGCCTGAATGGTATGGTATCATAGAGCCGGAACGCCTTGCAAAGGAAAAGGAACAAGGAAGCAGATAGATAAAGCTAATTCCTCGTCGAGAGTCGTTCGATATGAGCGAGTTGATGCCTGGGGGCGAGATCGAGGGAAGTAATATACAAGAATATTAGGTTGATGCACGTGGAATATCAAGAGTGGGTTGCGGGTATTGGTCTTCCGGAGAAGCTCGGAGCGAAGTTGATATTGGTGTTGGGGGTATTGACGTGTTGTCGTGGCAAATGATGAATCAGGGGGGAGAAATATGAGTCAGAGTGATGGTAGAGAAAAGGGATATACGCGGAGACGACATAATAGCGAGGCTGTGTCAACATCCATGGTGCCAAGGTGAAGAGTGTCGAACAAGGTCGCGACTAGATTGGGATGAGTCCGGTCGGACGCCGTGATGAGTGGCGATGTAGTATTGTGTGGACCTAACGAGGCGTCTTCTGAGCCAAGTCGTCCATGTGATTCACCATCGCGACGAAGAGATCGAAGAATAGTTTTCCACCGTTTTCCATCTCGTTCTGCATCGTACCGCTGCGTTTGAATGTGTGGCGGGCGCGGATGATGAGGGCAAGGTAATGTGCTCGAAGTTTCGAGTCGTTGTCAGGAGTATGTGCATACGCAAATCGTGCAGATGAAAGAATAGTGCTGCACTGGATTCCAGATTGTAGCCCCTGCTTCTTCAGCGCTAACTTCTTGAGTTCATGGAGTCCGTATCTGTCTGCGGCGCAATAGATCACCGTATCCTTTAGGATCGGCCCTTGGGGTGTATACACAATCGCCTCGGCCGTTCCATTTCCATTTCCATTCCCGTTGCCTCCGTCTTCGAGGTTCCAAGAATTGCGACGCTTGTCGTACTCAAGTCGAGGATAGTAATCACCTTTATAGAGATACTCAAGGAGAGAGGAAAACACTTCAGGTTCTTCGTCGGGTAATTCGATTCGTTTGTTGGTTGTGGAGAAGAACTGGTCGCGGCAGGCGGTAGCGAAGAACGGTGAGTGGCAGAGGACGTCTTCATGAGCAGCGAAGAGTCGTTGCTCGCGGCCGACAGATAATGTGATGATTGCACTGATAGAATCCATCATTAGCCATCGACGTTCGATCAGAAGGATGCAGTGGAACTTACCTTCCGATTGTAGGGGACGTTTGATTAGACTGTGGCGACGATGCTTGAGCTTGCTGTGCCAATCTCTCGACTTTTCTTGTCGATGATGGGTCTCTAAATGATGGGTTCTTCTTATTCGATTTAGATTTGCTGGCTCGATGCTTCGAGAAGCTCTCACCACCATATCTTGATCGGTTTGATGAGAACATGACGGCTGGTGATGAGATTCGTTGAAATGCGACTGGTGGAGAAGATTGGAAATGAGGCGTGGCGGGTATTTATAGTTTCTCTGGATAGGCAACAAACCCTATGAAAGTGTCACGCAAGCTTGTATCGAATGGGAATCCTCAGGCAGAAACGAGACAGGGGAGGGAGAGGGATATGGGCAATACAAAATGAGGCAGCCGGTCCTAATATATATGCAGGCCGCCTTGGGGAGGCCGCTATCTGAGCTGCGTACATGCCTTGAGTGAAGGAATACGCGGATTGGACGCGTCGGGTGGGACCCGACCTGCGAAACGTACCAACGCGATATCACATGCACCGCTTAACCTAAAAGAGTTATATAAGTGGTGGTCTAAGAGTCAGGGACTCAGGGCGGAGGGCAGAAAGCTCAGACCCTGGTCCTAGCTCCTGGTCGAGCACAGGGGCTGTGACACGAGGGAAAAAGTGGCCATCTTTTTCGATAAAAGGACAGAAGAATGAAATGCATCTGAACAGAAGTGATCCGATACTTATCTTCTTTCAATCGGGATGAGCAACCCACAATTGATGGAAATAAAAAGAAGATGGTGAAAATCTGACTCCTCACTCGTTTGCTCGAAGCCCCATCCTTCGGGCAAGAAAGTTGGGAGCTTGGGCCAGGGACTGACATGAAAAAGCAAGGCACCGTCGTGGTGCAGCAGCCAAAACCCAGTCCAAAACGAGCTCATTATGTCGTTCACAAATCAAGGAGACTTTGCCGGCACGTCGAGACGGCCGAAACTCGTTTGCCGTGCCCCTGAGGGGCGAAAAGTTGTGACAGGCCGAATGTTGGCTTAAGGGCGGCCGCTTCCCGTCTTCCCCGCTGTGATGGCCCTTGACTATCGCTCGCGCCAGGGCCGAGGGTAGACCAAAGGTGAGCTTTGGATGCAAAATCCATAAGGAGTCCTTGCAAAGCAGTTGCAAGCATGATCGCTTAGTGTGGAGCCGCGTGGTTCCATGATTGGCCCATTGCAAGACAGGTACCAGGCATCACCAACCGTCCTCAGGCATCCACAATGTGACGGAGATCTGTCATGGTGGCCACGCGGTTTCGATTTTTCCAATAAATCTCTCCTCTCTTTTGGCTGATAGTGGCACCTCTCGGGTGTAGGACTGCTCGGCACTTTTCTCAACTCCTTACTCCTAAGTCAAATTTTTTGCGTTCAACAGGTCAAGGCATTTAATTGTCAAATGAAAAGGCAAGCGTTCCTTCTCGCATATCCTCATTCTTCTCATTCTTTCACCTCTATTACGTATATATAGTGTCAGTGACGACCTAAGAATATAGCTAAACCTTCTTATTTCAAAGCTATGAGGCAAACTAAATTTCCAAAGCAAATTCTTTCAAACCTTTCCCTTCATATGAGGTTATATCCTGTCGTGTGCGCTCCTCAAAGTCAAAATTCAGGGGCTCGACTCTCTACTCTCGACTTTCCCTCACAACCCTATATCCGTTTCTGCCGTTCCCCATAGATACTCGAAAATTCCTTCATCAATCCTCACAGCATTCCCCACAATTCTCTTTGTCCTTTCAGTCCACATCTCCTTCGGCATTCTCCTAGCCTCTGCCCCTTCCTCGAACTCATGGATTGCAAGATACTTCGGCGCCTCCTCCGCCTTCGGATCATCTTTACTCTGGACCTTGAAAACCAACACATACCTTGTACTCTTTCTCCATCCAGGCATCTGTGAAATTTCCTCGAGGTGCTCTTCCCTGTACCAACGTTCGAGTTCTTCCTCCATACCCGGCGCTGGTTGAATCGCTGTGGACTTGATAATTTTTCCAATACCCCTCAGCCCACCCTCACCGGGTTTCTCGAAAACCTGAACACGCCGGTAAAATCGGGTATCGAAGTCTGCAAATTTCTGCGCCGGTCCTCCTTCCGGTAGTAAATCGTTATACATGCTCACTCTCCCGAATTCTGCACTTTGTAGGAACGAGAGGTCAGGAAGGGCGTAGAGCGCCAGGTGTGGGCGTAGTCGAGAAGGGTCTTGACACTTAAAGCGCCATGCAGCGACACAGCCCGTTGGACCCAGCCTTGCGTTTCTAATGTCGGGAATGTGGTGGTTCTCATACCAGTTGTTGAAGATGGCATCGGTGAGAGGTGGCTTTGGGACTGAGTTAGTCCAGATAATTCCAGGTCCGGTGAGCGGCGGTCCTCTGTATGTTGTACGATTCAAGTTAGACATTAACACAGGAGAGGGCGAAGCGAAATCCGTGGAAAGGCAAGGTGAAATTTAAAGGGCTGCGAAATTTGTAGAGCATTGGGTTACTTTCGGTCAACGCGACGGCAAGGTATGGGATGTAACCACCAGTGGGAGCGACACGAGGCTGATCGGGAAATTAGATCCGAACTAGTAAAGATGCCGATCTTCGGATAACTATACGCCGTTTTTCAGACGCGCAAGCACGCGTTTGGTCAGTGCTGGTTCTGGGTTCAAGTAGCGATAGTGGGATTGTCAACTACAACTCCTAACTAAAGAGTGCCCTCGTGGTGTCATATCCGTATTTCAGCTCACCGAACCAGTATTCTGGCGCTTCTGCTTTGGCAATTCGCCAAGCAGCATCAAGGACTTCGACAACCTCGCGGGGTAACGGGCCTTTCTCAAACAGCGGCAGAGTCATTTTGAATTGTTCTAGGCTACTTGCTCCCGTAAGAATACCGCTTTGCAATATCAGTTTTCTAATTTCTATAGCATACGCAGGTTCCAGGAGCACTTACTCATTTCCACCGTTTCTTCTCATCCTCAAGCCACTATGATGAACAAGCCATCGCAATCCTGTCTCGATCAACGTAAGGCCGTATTTTCGAACTACCGGCTCGATGACGCTTAGGGCTTCCAGCGACGCATTCGTGAGAAACCGAGCTCGGTACGTTTTGTCAACTTGCGTCAAGACCTGCGGTGCCGTGGTATTGTTGGAACTGTATTTGCCTGTGAAGAGGCCTCCCGCGAGGCCATTATATGTTACGATATCGAGTCCATACCGTCGACATGTGGGAATAAGCTCTGCTTCAATCGACCGAGCTGCAAATCGTTAGCTGTTGAAAGTAACAAGCGTGTCAAAACGTTGACAGGTAGGATAGTAAAAGCGGTAGGAAACGAGCGCGAAAAAAGCATGGTCACGGGTAATGATCAGAAAACAGGCGTACTAATTGCGTTGTACATGGCTTGGTATATCGTCGGCCGGATCCACCCACGCGCACTGCAGGTCATCACGATCTCGGCTACCTCAAATGCGGCGAAGTTACTCAGGCCAAATTGCTTGAACTTGCCTTCTCGGTACATGGTGTCAACCTCGTCAAGAGTTTCGGCAAATGGAACACTTCGGTCAGCTGCATGGAGGTAGAATGTATCGACAGATATCGCACGTAATTCACGGAGAGACGTCTCCAGCTGCTCGCGAAGCTGGCAAGGTGAATGCAAGCCGGGGGTGATGGGATACACTTTGGTAGCCAGCTTGAAGCCGCGCTCTTTCCATCCTATGGCTCCAGTAAAAGCCTCCTGCTGACCTTGCTGGTAGAGCCTCGACGTATCAACCTCATCGTACCCGTACTCCTTAAAGGCGTCGAGGAATTGCCCAAACTCTTCGAGACTCGTTGTTTTAGCTCCCCATTCTTGATTCTGAGGATTCTGGGTCGGTAAACGAATGGATTAGGCTAGACCACTCTGCTTACAGGACCAAAGGTCATCACTGTACGTTGTCAGCGATATTAATCGAGAATAGGGAGAACCACTCACAACCCAGGATGATGCGATGTTGTGCCATACTGGCAACGTCAACGCCCAATATTGCACAATCTCAGGTATCCAAGATTAAACCCTTGAACAGCGGTATCCTGATTTCAAAACTGCCATTGTGATAGGTAGCGCACAGCTAAGCACGGCATTCCATCCGGAGAGTTGCTCCGCGCCTGTATTCTGGAAAACGAAGTGAGAGCTATGCGGACGCAAGAGCAAAGCCGAGTAGCCGCGAAAAGAGTCCCGAAAGCCTTGCCGGAATTGGGTCGCATATGAAGCTTGGCATTGCCCCTCTCCATCGCACGTGTTGCGGGGTGCAGGATCTTGCCCAGATTCGCATAACCAGATCTCGTGCAATCTACATTCATCTCCACGACACTCGCTTCAACAAGTCATTGGCAGATGCTCTCCGGCAGAGCGGAAGCTTACTAAGGTCAGCCGGCAGGAACCATTTAACCCATAGTGTTTGCATTTGCTGACCACGCACGAATTTAGAAATACAAAAACCTCATTGGACACCTTCCATTTTGCGTCAAGATTCTTTCTCCTTTATCTGTTCGGTTGCACCTTAGAATAGCGGTCTGCTCTGTGTTGAGCGGTGTCAACGTGCAAGGGCTCTGCTGCATATATAGCACTCATCGATGACGGGCGACCTCAACATCCTGCCATAGTACATTCAAATACGTTCATGAGGCGTATGGAGGCAAGTACCGCAGGCTATACTTAATACGGAAGGGAACGTCCAATTAAGCATCTCTCAAATCTTAACTTTAATATGTTCATGGTGGCAAAGATCGTGGGTCACTTACCGAACCCGTTAGGGAACATATAATCCTAATCCTGCTAATGCTGGTATTGGCAGTGGATACCTTGAATCAATTACAAACACCGCGTCACGCCTTGTCCATCTTTATTGGCTGAGCACAGTAACCCTCATGGATTAGAAGGAATCCTCCCTGGGCAACCACTCGGGCCCACTCCATCCATCCTTTCCCTGGGTATTCTTTCATTTCCGTCCTGAGCGGCAGACACGGCAGATGAACGTGACTGCCATCTAAAATAAACAACTTGTACTACATGTCAGTGCAAAAATTGAAAAGTTGGAGAAATGACCTCCCCCCATGAGCTAGGAACGTATAAAGCGGGGTTTGCCTATGCTCAGATTTTGGTGGTCTGAGAATCGAACTGTGTAGGTGTAGCCGTATTGTAGTCATGGCTTGGAATGCAGTATTTAAAATTTTTGTGGCGTCGCTGTGTCTCTTCTCTGGTTCCTCGACCGCCTTCCCCTTCTCCAAGAGGCAGACTACATCCCTCGACATCGACACCATTCAGAAGCAGGCGCTTGCAAACGCATACAAGGTGCTCGATGGCACGCTCTCTGATGGTATGACTCGGGGAGCGGGATGCACCAAGAGCACTGTCGCGATCCGAAAGGAGTATGGTGATCTTACCAAGGACGAGAGGACAGAATACATTCGCGCGGTGAAGGCAAGTTTTCGTCGCCCTTTCTCGAAATTCTACTGACAACGGATAAAGTGTATACTCTCGAAGCCGTCCAAACTACCCGCTGGGAAGTATCCAGGGGCTAAGTCGCGATACGATGACTTCGTCGTTGTGCACATGAACATGACTCCATCAGTTCATGGCACGGTATGTTTCCCTCAATGAAATTTTTCATTACTGTTCTAATGCAACATAAGGCAAACTTTATGCACTGGCACCGATATTACATCTGGTAACTCCTACTCTGATAACTAAATGGCGGGCACCACACAGCTAACTTTCACAGGGCTTATGAAACAGCACTGAAGACGGAGTGCGACTACAAGGGATACCAGCCTTACTGGAACTGGGGCAAGTACGCAGACCTCCCAGCCTCTCCAATTTTTAATGGAGACAACTGGAGTATGGGCGGCAATGGTGAGGCTGTGGCGCATAAGGGAGGAAACATTGGCCGCGCAATACCTGCTGGACCTGGAGGAGGATGTGTCAAGGTATGTGTTCTCCAAGGGCCATGATACGACAGTGGTGCTGACAAGTCATCTAGACTGGCCCGTTCGCTAAGTAAGCCCACACCTACCTTTAGTCCGTAGCATTTCATGCTGCTTGGCTTGATGCTACATTAGAATCTTGCATTTCAGGCCAGAACTAAGGCTCCTCTAGCACGACGATTCATCTTGGTCCCTTGTCTCCGACGATGGACCCTGCCCTCAAGATCAAGTCCAACCCACAACGAGATGGTTATGGCGACAATCCACGTTGCCTGCGCCGGGACGTCAACAACTATTTTACCACTCAATTCTTGCGTCCTGTGGATCTTGCCTCCCACATTACGAGCAATCCTACCATCGGGAAGTTCCAAGACACCCTTCAGAATGACACTCCGCAAAAGGCTGCTATCCATGGGGCAGGTCACTTCTCAATCTGGGGAGATCCAGGAGGTGATGTCTACGTTTCTCCTGCGGAACCAGTCTTCTGGATGCACCATGGCCAACTCGATAGGCATTGGTGGATGTGGGCAAACTACTTAGAGGCTGAGATTAAGACAAGGACTAGTCAATATGAGGGGTATGTACAATGGTTCAAATCGGCTTGGGTCTATTAAGCTAATAATTTACAGCGGTACAAATTGGCAGAATGATCGTCTCCCTGGCGCCTACTTTAAAAACCATGCTGACTTTTTCCACAGCCAAATTCTGCAAAAGGCAAACCGACTGATCCACAATGGCTGGATGTCACTGCTCCCACAGGCACAAATGGCCTGCCCAGCAACAAGATATTCTCGACCACCTCGGGACCTTTCTGCTATCTCTACCAGTAAGAGAAAGCGCCCTCGGACTCTGATTAGAGACGTTTATCTTCTATCTATGTGCGAGTCGAATTCGAATCGTCACTGTCTTTACACAATTTACACAATTCAATAGACCAATTTGCCGAGTGCCCGTTTGCGCAAGCATTTGATAATAATTCCCCCCCTAATGACTGCTACTATTGCGACATGATCTTCGAATACTCTAAGTACCGACTCCGACGGTTATCATACTGTTGGTATTGCGAGCGTCACCAGCATCTCCGTAGAAGGGCTTAGATCACGTGCATAGGCATGGGCCTAGATTGGCAGTGTGACATAGCCCACGAGGTTCTCAAGAGGTCCGCCATTCTCTAATTTCATCATTCTTCATCACCCACGATGTATCAGATCGACTATCCTACCGATTGGGTCTCTTGGGAAGTCTAGGGTTCTTTATGCTCAGATATCTATGAGAGAGTATCACTGTTGGAAAGAATTCTCCCTTCCTCTTCGTCATGGCTGTATGTTCAAAATTGAATGTTTCGATAAATTGTTTAACGGTCGGGCAATTTGTGGTTGCCTTGGACTTGCCAAACTTAGCTCTAGGAGGGGAATATACTTACTATTACAGCTCTGAATGAATTCCTGATACCCTTTAGCCTCGAACTCTAGAATCCTCCTGAGATTCTCCTAAATCTAGTGGCACATCTTGCTATATTTCATGTGATCCACAGCTGATATTTGGTGGGTCCTTGAGGGATCTAGGCTAGCAACAAACCCTCCTCTGAGCGATGGATATGATATGTCTCACAGTCCATTCCAGGCGCGAACATTTTTCTCAGGTTGCAGTTAATTCTAACTCTATACATCAAACGGCCTCCTAACAGCTTGAAATACTTGATATTTCATGATTGAGCCTTTGTCCTTCACTGAAATCAGCTGGGGAAGTCTTTCACAAGCTTAGGAACGTCTTGCCTGCATCTAATCCTAGATGGTAGGACCTCTGACCTGGTTTTTAGCTCCATTCTCGGCCTTTGGGGTTGCGGCATCAGGAAGTCCCGCGTGATATTCTTCGTTCTCAGTTCGACGCTGATCGTCATGCGTATCGGCTCGAAGCTCTGCTACCTGAATGTTCCTGAAGTCCTTCTTTTTCATACTAACAGGAACTGTTTCAGTGACCGGCGCGCTCTTCGCCGCATAGTCAATTCTATCTTTTTCCTTCTTTTTTTCCTGACCATTTCGAGCATCTATATCCTCGACAGGACCTAGGTGTGGATTAGCATCGACGACAAGCACTGCCGCTTAAGCGTATTCAACTCCCCGGGAATAATCCATCTGCCTCCTGAAGGAAATGAGAGGCACCTTGACATCCAAACATCTTTGCTCGTGCACATGCATTGCTATTTCTAATCAATACTTTGGTAGCATCATCTGCAGTCTGTAATTTAGTTATATCGCAGCTCCCGCCGAACATTACACAAGGTATATTGTCATAAAGTTGTGGCAGTTCAGATCCATGCTCCCGGGAGCGTAAGTGCCATGGCCATCCTCATGTGCACCTTTCAACATTTATGGTAAGAGCTGTGTCTATGTGACGACAACCAAGAGCTCATTTCCACATTTGAAACAGTGTTCTTATTGATATATATATATTACCCGTTTGGCTAATGAGAATTCGGTATGTATTCTGAATTGGCCAATGTGCTCCGTTGTTGGGCAATAGTTTCCCTGGCTGGTTGTGCCCTCTGGCGGAAGCTGCATAAAGTGCGTTGTCGTGGCGTCTAGCCTCCGCGTTGAAATTGGCGCCCCTGTTAAGCAGGAGTCTCACCATCGGCTCGTGGCCTCTCCACGAAGCCGCCTCGAGGGTGTTGCTGTAGTGTCCACCCTAACGTCGGTGCTGATGTTAAGCAGCAGCTTCACAATCTGCTCATGGCCTCTCCATAAAGCCACCCGGAGTGCACTACCATATTGCGCGGTGGCGTCAGCGCCCTTGTTAAGCAGCAGCCTCATAGCCTGCTTGTGGCCTCCTATAGCCGCCTGGAGTGCGTTGGGATTCGCTCCGTGGTCAAGTAGCATTACTATCTGTTCATAGCCTCCGTATGAAGCAGAGCAAAGTGCGTTGCTGTACTCTCAACCCTGGGCGTTGGGGTTAGTACTGTAGCTGAGGAGTAGCTTCACTATTTGCTCATAGCCTCCAGATGAAGCTTTGTATAATGAGTTGCTGTAAAATCCACCCTGGGCGTTGGGGTTGGCACCGTGGTTGGGCAGCAGCTTCATTTTCTGCTCATAGTCTCCGTATGAAGTAGAGTAAAGTGCGTTGCTGTACTCTCCACTCTGGGGGTTGGGGTTGGCACCGTGGTTGGGCAGCAGCTTCACTATCGGCTCGTAGCCTATGTATGAAGTCACCTGGAGTGCGTTGCCGCAGTATCCGCCCAGTGCGTTGAGTTCAGCGGGATTGTCAAGCAGAAGCCGGACCATTTCAATATGCCCTCATTTTGCTGCGAGTAGGAATGTGGATCTGAATGAAGTGGGTATTGTCTTTGATGGTTTGAGAGAGTTTGCTTGGATATATAAGCAGTGTTACCTTGCCGTGCTAGTCTGGAATCTTACAAATGGTCTCTCTGGAAAGCAATCTCTATCAGCGTCTTCATGCTCTCTATTCGACCCAAGATGTCGGTAATCTCTCCTTTTTCAAACTAGCCCAATGGTCCTTTCTCGACTGCGAGGGCTCGGATGACCGTATACCACGGTATATCGGCGGCTCCACCCTCGAAGCGGAACCTTAGATTCAGAAGGAGACGATGCAAATTCGAGGCCTTAATAGTGGATCTTGCATGATCTTTCGAGGCATCTTCTACGTCCGTTAAATACCCAACAACCTTGCTCGAGAGCTGGAGGATGGCGATGATGTTCGCCGTGGGACTAACTGGGTCCTTGTTGAAAGACAAAGGGTACATATTGTAGACATGTATAGGTATGTGAGAGGAGAGAGGACGGCGATATGATGTAGGGAGAGGGATGGAACTTTGGCAAGGCTCCATGGGGTCTGCCTCATACTCGTTATACCTTATCGATAAGGCCAAACAGCTGCAACGCTGAGCTACAGAATTACGTTGGACCAAAGATCCGCGTCCAATCCTGGAATACAACACTATCAGGGAAAGTCGGCCACTCGCTCCAATTAACTAACCCTTTTGTGGGTGTGACTCCTGCACCCAGACTCAAGCAGCGGGGCGACCGTGTCTGGTGCAAAAAGGCTTGACGGCCAAGAACAGGAAGTGATGCGATTTGAAAGTGAACAAGTGGACTAATTAAAGCTCCTATGTCTTGTTATTAAATAATTGTACCGCTCTGTCTACTTCAAGAGCTCTGATGTGCTAAATGTACTAACTTCTGTGGCGGATATGTGTTTTGTGGCACGCCTATAATAGACAACTACTTAAAACCGCTACAGGCAAGCATCGAATACCTCAAAGAACTCATGTCTTAATTTTAAGCCTGTAGGATTAGTCCTACCTTCATTTGACCTTGTAGCTGCGTATGTTCTATACGCTTTCCTGTCCTGAATCCCCCCTCCGCCCCGTCCTTCCGTATTCCGTTCTTCCTCGCGAGCTTCCTCCGCTCTGGTCTATAGATGCATCAAGTCTCCTTTCAAAGACATCAACAATCTAAAAAAAATAAAAAATAAAAAATTAGGTTAAGGAGGAAATTTTTTCCAAACTATATGCTGTTATCCCCATAGATCCTAAAATGCAGGCTGTACTCACAATGACGAACCGGGTATATAATCTACTGCGATGCACATTCAGCCGGCTCTATCACTCTAAAACTCTACTCTGCCCATTGCCTATTTCTTCAAACCTGACGTCTTCCATATCTATATCCTTGTCATTTACCTCCGGGCTAACGTCCCTCAGCGCATCTTCCAGAGTCCAGATCTTGCGTCGTAGGAACCAGCCTACTAAGCCACCGCCCGTCTTCACCTCATCATGTGTTCCGACCCAGTACTTTGCTCGTAGTGCCCTTTGAGCCAAAAGGCCGTTTTTGGCACCCAGATTGAGTTGCTGGGCTGCTGCAATCGAGACATCGTGGAGCCCATGCAGAAAGGCTAGTGTATGTAGTGGGGGGTCTGCCAGTTCAATCGGTACTAGGGAGGCGTGGGGGATCCCGTGAGGAGTGTATATTACGCATTCAGCGGCGTCGGGACCGCTGGATTCAGCAGACGGGTCCGGGAACATGGAGGCGGATGTTCGTTTGCGAGGCGTGGAGGGTAGGAAGGGATGCGTGGCGAAAGCTATAAGGAGGGCGGAATGGTAGTAAAGGGCGTCGTTGGAGGCGGTCAGACGCGATATCGAGAGCCATGTGGGGAGTGGAGCGAGCGAGTAGGAACGCCAGTCTGGCAGGTCGGAGGTAAAGGTAGGAATGGCGACTATGCTACGGAAGTGTTTGAAGCTGGATATCAAACTTGCGGCTTTCTGGGTACCGACATTAGCATCTTAACGACTCGTGCAGCTTTGAAGTGTGATGGCAGGACGCACCTCGGTCGCGAAGACAGGTATATCCTTATGAAGCTCTAGCAGCGTTTCCTTGTGGCAATGATCGGTAAATTCATGCGATATGGCAACCGCGTCGATGAACGTTTCAATGTCTGCTGCGGCCTCTTTTTTCGTCACCCTTCCCTTCCCTAGTCGCAGGCCGCCCGTAAATATCTCGATCTGCTGTGCCAGCGCCTCCACTTCGGCCACCGTTTTCACAGCGCTCTCTGTCGCGTGCCATTGCTGCGAGAACCAGCGCGCGACATCGGACTGCCCACCGACAAACCACGGGTCGATGAGGATATTGTAGTATATGCGACTGCCGTGTCGGATTGCAGAGGCGGGGCGCGGAATCTGGAGCAGCCAGCTGGTGTCGGCGTTTAGGTGGTGTAGTAGAGGTCGACGTGTTGCGAGGGCGCGTACGACGCGTTCGCGAATCTCAAGATGCAACTGAGCAGAGGGCTCGTCCATTGCTCTTTGTTAGGGAGGCATCATAGTGAATGGTGAAGATGCATGACGTTGACTTGGGTCAATGTATGCAGGGATTCTGGTTAGCGTGGCGCTAGCGAGTGAAAGCCGACGGTTTGCTCGGCCGCTTCCGACGATTAGCTTTCACTCTTCCACAACGGAATTGTTGTCGCACATTGCATCAACTATTTACTCTTTTCATCTGCTGTCTATCCATGAGCGGGTAATTGTTTCTAAAGCATCATCAGAGCTAACCAACATCGACCGAGCAAGATCACTTGACCTGACTAGGTTCCCTCTCCTATTTCAATATACAGCTCAACTCATTAACCTCTCTTTGGATTTGCACTCTGACCTCTCTACTCTGCAATGTTCAAGAAACTGAAGGACAAGATCAAGCGTGAACAAGATGGGCAGCAGCACCAATTCCATCCAAGCAACCCATACTACATGAACTCATCAAATCAGCAACATCTGGGAAGCCCTTCTGGGAAATACCAGTCGCCTCATGTGTCTCCACCAGCCCAAGGGGATTCATCCTCAGGTTATGTAGCTACCCCAGGTCCTCCCCCGCCTCAGTATCCCCAGCAGCCACCTCCAAGTTGGGAACCTCCGCCCTACCATGACTGGACAGTGATTCCAGACAACTCACTTCTTCCGCCACCCCCATCAATTTGCTACGATAGCTCTCCAACTGCAAACTGTACTATGGAAGATGGAGACCGAGCCTTTGCCTGGACCGAAGCGAACCCTCTCTGGCAGCCGCAGAATCTCACCCCTGCTCAACATACTGCGATCCAACACGGCCAGTTAGCCTTGCTCAAGGCACCGACATACACAGGCGATTTATTACCGCAGAAGCGTCCTGGCCACTGGAAATGTAGGACCCATGCCAAGTGTAAAGACTCAAGCATCCTGACGAACCTCCCAATGTATTCGGTGTTTTGGGATTCACCTCTTCACACACAACAGCCTAAGACCATCTATTTTGAGCTAAAAGTTACCGGAGTCGGTCGCGGAGAGCGTACGCTAGAAGAAGCAGAAGCTGGAATTGCGGTAGGCTTCGTTGCTCCACCTTATCCCACGTTCAGATTACCGGGGTGGCAACGCGCATCCCTCGGCATTCACGGCGATGATGGAAGGAAATATGTTAACGACACCTGGGGAGGGGTCGACTTCACCACTACATTTAAGCCGGGCGACATTGTAGGCATTGGCATCAAGTTTGCTCCTCCCCAGAAGCCTCCTTCCTATGAACCGACTCAACGAGCGAGGCTGCTCGATATTGACGTTTTCTTCACGCGCAATGGAATGAGGGAAGGAGGCTGGGACGGAAATGAAGAGCTGGATGCCAGAAGCGAAGGTGGAACAACTGGGTTAAGGGGTGAATGCGATCTGTTCCCAGCAATTGGTGTATTTGGTGGTGTGGATTTCGAAGTGTTCTTCAGTCCTGAAGACTGGATCTACAATCCATTTTAACGGCGTTGACGGTGTTTGAAGTATGAAAGATTACGCCGCCGTTGTGGGTTGTCGGGGCTGAAATCAATTGTTAGTATCAAACACCAACATGCAAGCAGTGATGCGCCGACTAAACTTCAGCTAGTGTCTTGGTATTATGCTTTTAAGAATGTCGATTCAGCAACACCTTCACCCAACAAATCGAGCGCAGAATGGATTCTTCACCACAGATATCGTGCGCCTCCCTGGGTGTGGTCGCCCTTAATAACATGTACTTTCCCGACAAAGCACCAATAGCCAACGTGATTGGTACCTTCTCGAGCTTCTTCACACTCAGGAATCGTGGAATCGTCTCTTTGTGACTTCGCGGAAAACTGTTTCCTGCTTGATTCCAGCGGGAGCTGATTTTTCAGAGATGGCGGAAGCCCAGTGAGGAGGATGGGGCGTAACACTTGTACTGAAGAAACAGGAGAATGCACTGCTGATGAGAGGCCATCTGGAGTAGGATGACACTTTCAGACGCACGTAAATTGGCTATGGTGAGACCATTTTATTCTAATATGGTTACAGCAAAGAACTTTTATTATACTGCCAAGCCCCTACGACTCCTCCTTGATGACTTCCCACACGCGCCACCCTTGTATGTAGGAACCTTTCGCATCCTAGCATCGTCATACAAAGCCCGAATCCGGGCTCTCACCCTCTTTCAACTTCAGTAAAGCCAATGCATCACTGAGCGTTCACTTCTGCCTAGGAACTGTTTCCAGCCTCGTGTCTCCTGATAACCGCCATTCCGTCATAGATACTTCCGAGATTGTAGAATTATTCTTACCTAATCACCTCGAGACGCCCAAATTATTCACAGAGAATGCTTTTCAAAAGTTTACATAACAGAAACTCGAAACGTTCGCAGTAAATATCTTAAGGTGTAGCCTCTGCTCAGTCGGCGATGGAACTCTGATTATCGGGACTGGATAGCGTGACTTGTTAACAATGAACTGCGCAATGAGAGGAACCTCGCTTCCACCGTTTAATGAATTACCAGGAAAAGTGTTCGATTCAGCTAGTGCGGGAAACGCTTTCGCTATAAACCATGTTGGATTGGCTTAGAAGCCTCCATATTCTGGAGTGATTTGCCCCCGAAAATGGAGGCCTCTAAGCCAGCAAAATTAGAGCTTCAAAAAGTCTTAGATCTGCACTCCAATTTCTATGTTCATTATATAATCTTGAAGTAAGCAGCTCATCAAACGTCCTAGTCTTATTTCACTCTGAACCTCTCAACCCTCCTTGACTCCCCTCAAACCCCCCTCTTCTGCCCGCATCTCCCCCTGCACAGTCGAACTGTGCCCGCTACTCTACTATACTATTGCTCTGCATCAGTACGAAAGCAAGTGTACTAGCGCAGTGCTCTCAGCCTGCACGTTCTCATATTAACGCGAGCTTCAGCAGCTGTCATTTGCCGTCTCAAATGAGGAGCTAGATTTCTGTGTGATTAGCTGGCGTAACATTAAGGGGCAAACACAGCTGAGGTCGGTATGTATTAAGATTGCTTGCTTTTTCTAAGCCTGTCGCAGCTGCCATTCTCGTCTCATCTTCGATTTGCTCCGTTCTACCTTCATTTATTATTCCATTTCTTGAAGTGTATTTTTGGAAGGTGGCACTCTAGTATTGCTATCGAATGCAATCGAGCGCCTTAGTATGCTTGAAATTTCAATGGTCGCGATACCCTTGATGCTCTGATGTTGTACAATGCGTCTGAAAGCCCTCACTCCATTCTGTGTCAGCCGATCAATGTTCAATCAAAGGTGTAAATATTCGAAAATACTGATATTAAAATCCTCTGAATGGATTTTTCTAGGCGACATGCATCTCCACGCCACAGGCCCACCCGAAGATCAGGTGATATCACAAGGCTGGAGGAGCCATGACTTCGTCTCAGCCTGATGCGACGAGATTCTCCTTCACATTTTGACATCCACAATGGATGACCGCTACCTCTTCCACATCCGCGAGCGCTGTAGCTGGCCGCGTATAACACGCCTTCGGCATATATGCCTTCTTAATGCGCTCTCCTACTTCCCTTCCTCCTCAAACTCAAACCCATTGTCATCCCCATACACTCTTCCCCTCCGCGTCAGACTCCAGCCCTTTGAACGGACTCTCCTTCTAAACACACTTTCCCAGCTTCAGTCCGAATCTAGGCCCCAAAGTACCATAAGCGACATATTAGCCGAGCATGCAGCGGTCGTCCTCTTCTTTCGCTGGTCCTGGGCCGACAATGTCCTGCGCTTGGCGCTGACTGAATTGGACCCCGAATGGGTTACCGAATGCCACGACGGGGATTTCAATGCCGCGCTAGACGTCTTTCGATCAACGTTGCGGACGAGAGTTAGAGGAAGAAATGAACTCTATGATAGACGTTATTATCGCACCGAGCAGCTGATGCGGGACAATCTCGAGTTGAGCGAGCGAAATGGTGTCAAAGTTGACAAGGTTACGGTTATGCCGCATGAAGAGGATTTAGGGATCTGGAAAGAGCTAGGAAGGTTTGTGCTCTGTGATGTTGAGGGGGTGAGAGGGTTGCCGGGGTTTAGAAGGGAGGCGCTGGAGTTGTTGAGGTTGGTAGAAGATCAGAAGGCTTTGAGGGAATGTGTAGAGCGCATGATTGAGGAGACGCCGGAGTTTCCGCCTAGAGGTTTATTTGAGGGTATGGGGGACGATCTCGACGATAGCGAGAACACCGACCGTGAGGGTGAAGGTGATGACGAGGTTCCTGTGGATGCGGAAGCTGAGAAGGCAAAAGAAGAGCAAGATAAAGAGCGGACCAAAGATTTGGCCAAGATCACGACGACCAAAATCATGGAAGCCGAGGAACTTTGGGATGTATGGTCGCTGTGCCGAATGTTGGTAGTGTCGAAGCAGAATGCGCTCCATAAAGCGGAGATCGATCGGCTCATTACATCTGAGGAGTTCGCTAAATGGTGGAAAACAGGGAACCAAGATGATGAAAGCGTTCGGGAAATCATTGCGAAGCAGCCATTGAGTGAGGTGTTGTCTCAGCGTCCGGTAAGCCTCTGACCCCTCGTAGGCTCATGCTTAGTCAAGCGGGATTGAACGATTCTAAGACGGTAATAGAGCGAGATAACCAGTTTCTTCTTCAAAGAGGACTCCCAAGAGTTTGTAAGTACCCCAGAAGACTGCTTGTAGCGCGAGCATCAACTCATTAGATATAAGCTCGACCTCGAGTTCCGTCGGAGAGCCCATGAAAGTCCAATCATCGACCCAATGAACCTGTTCTCGTTCTATTCCTGGGAGACGCTCGAGGAAATCGACGCAAAGAGCCTCGTCGACCTAGAGAGTGGGTTGGGCCTCGATGCCAAGGCATTAAACGGAACTCTGTGTACTGTTTCAGTGGACAGTGTCAATCACACTCTATATCTCACGGACGATTTATTCCTTTCGCATGTTGGTTCTGGCTATCGATACCCCGGCTTGACGATTGGAAACAGGGTCGTATTTCAGCAACAGAAATTAGAAGGGACAGAAGTTGTGAAGCAGTTTCGATATTTCCTAGAACTTTGGGTGAGTTCTTTTCTTCCACAACTCCCCGATACGCATCCATGAGCCGGACAGCCACTAAGCAGGTCTTCTTACTAGAACGACTGCGCGTTTACCTACGATTGTAGTAGCCAGACCTTCTACCTCCTCCAAACCCTTCCGGGCCTGAAGATGCGGCAGCTAGAGCACCGATCCGGCGTCTGGGCTGCCTTCGACTTCTTCGATCTCAAGTACCGACACCGAAATACCCTCTCTATACAACATGAAGCCCTTCGAAAGATTCTCGGCGAGAACTATGATCCATCTTACAGCGATTTCCTAGTCTTTATCGATTCTCGTGAAATCGACCTCGCGAACCTAGCGTTCATTGGAAAAGGCAGTTTCGGGCGAGTGTATAAAGCGAGCTGGGCGAGGAAGCCGACAAAAATGTATGATCATACCGAGGAAGGACGGGGAATGGTCGGATTGAAAGTGGCCTTAGTGGGTAAGAGTTTTGATGACCAAGCGAAATTCTTTGTCGAGGTATGCGGCAGGTCGCCGTCTTTTCTAAGCCTTTCCAGCTGACGGATTATAGTTGGCCACTGTGTACTCAGCTCTTGCCGGAGATTCCAGTGGTTGCGTCCCATTCTACGGGTTCTGCAAAGTATTCGTGGATGAAACAGGGCGTATTATCGATTTGAATGCAATCAAGGTGCTCCCAACTACTACAAAGGAGACCTTCGCCCTCGTGTTCGACTTCGCAGAACAGGGCGACATACTGGGGTTTTTAGAAAGAAGATTAAGGCCGGGAGAACTAGAAAATAACTGGTTGGTCATTTGCGGGGCGCTGAGTGGACTTGCGAATGGCTTGATGACGATTCATAAGAAGGGTATCGTGCACCGGTATGTTCCCAATCGCTGGTTGCTGACGAATGTAGATGTGAGTCTAGATGCTGACAATAGGGTTTAAATAGAGACATTCATCCGAATAACGTTCTGGTGACATCTCTCCGCCAAGCAGGCGAAGACGAAATCGAGTTCGACTGTCTGCTGTCTGACCTAGGCGAAGGGAAAGACATCACTACCACCGTCAAGAATATGGACTCACAACCTCTCGCCAGTTCCTCGAGCATGGCCACCAGGTCTTATTCCTACGCCGACTTCATGACGCCAGAAATTACCAATCACACGCAGGGCTCCTCAACAGCCGATGACATCTTTTCGTGGGGCCTGCTCGCCGTGAAGATCATCAATAATGGTAAGATTTTTCCGCTGCTTTGCGACGAGGATGGAAATGCCCATTACCTCGCAGGCCTCATGAGAGTACTGGAGCGGTGCTTAGATCCCAATCCGGCCGGGCGATTTGACGCGACATCTTTAGTAGTGGTGATGGATGAGATCATGGATGGCCCGTCGGGGATAGCTGCTTCGACCTACGGTGAGGAGACTGAATGGTATGATGGGAGCTACGAGCTCCCTCAAGTCAGAAAAATGTTGGAAACAGACTCGGAGTTGAACCTCAGATCAGGTTGGTTGTCATTGTCGAGCCGGAAGAGGAAAGCAAATTCTGAACTGTGATGGAACTAAGCAATCAAGCTCATGTAGAAATCTCTAGTCTTGGTTTATTCATAGTCTATCTTTAACAAGGAGTAATAGTGTTCTGCCAGATGCTTATGAGCGAGAACCAACTCTTTGATCGCACCGACATGCCCTTGTTGTTGGGCCATGTCAAGGTACGGCAGGGCTAGCTTCGCACGTCGGACTTCACCTGGTACAAATCCAGGCGATGGTTGATCATCACTACTAAGCTCGACAAGATCGCGAAGATAGGCTAAGCCCACAGTGTAGGCGTATACCGGATTGATTCCTTCGGCCGCTCGTATCAACTTGCTTATCTCGACTTGCGCAAACTTCCGAATATCTGTTTTTTTTGGTTTTGGCTTCTCGCGCCACTAAATGAATCCGCTTTACCAGTTCATCCATGCTCGACTTCTCCATATCGTTGGATGCTCTTGGCATCGGGACTGCCAGAGGAAGATTAGGATTATCTTCGGCCGCAACACTGATCAAGACTTCGAACATTTGCTGGGCGACCCAGGAAGCCGGTGGTCTGAGGAACGGATCTGACCGAAGACATTCCCGAGCCAGCTCAGTCTCTTTTGGCATAGGCAAAGGGTAACTGGTGAAAGGTCCCTTCTTTGCCTGGAGAAGATCTTTGATCTCGCGCCGCGCCGTCTTGTCGTCTGGCTTTGCTTGGTCCACTTTCTTGCTAAAGGGAAATTCCGTAAGAAAGAGCATATGGAGAATGGTGCCTAGCCTGTGAGTTATTGTAAGTGGTTAAACTACGAGACGGGCGTAACTGAATACTTACGCCCAAACATCTGACATGGGAGACCGTGATCCCACTTTCTCCGTTTCCGGAGCTTCGAACCTTGGATCCTGTACGTCGCGAGTTGTTGTCTCCCATATCTGATACTAGTCAGTCACTGCTGGATGCGGAAACCATATATGACCAGATTCAGAGATGGAACGCTTACTCTTCGAGCACTTCGCAATCCGGAAAGCTTTGCCCTTATTGAGCCGTCGGGCATGGTTTCAAGGTGAGTCGTGACGTCGGACATGACCTTGACAATAATTTCAGCCCTATGAAGAGCTGAGAGAGTAGCCGCTATCTCGTGCCCGATCTGGAGTTTCTGTAGGCGGCTCAGCTTGGCAATGAAGCCCGTCTCCAAAGCATCCGCGAAGCTCATGTGCTGTGCCATGTCTTCCATGGCAGCATAAAGGGATCCATCTATCTCAACAATACCGTACAGCGTCTGGATTTGTGCTATCTCCGTCATATCTCGATACAGCTTGACCACTCGAGGGAGCCCATCCGATACCCCTCTCTTATCGATGACTTCATGGAAGGAGATTTGAGAGCCTTTGAACGTTCCTTTTATAGGCTTCCCGTCGGCGGACTCCTTCGACACAAAGATACTTGGGTCAGGCACTGAGACTATATTCAGAGTCGTATTTGGGAGCGGCTTCAGAGACAAGATGTTGCGGCGCGACTCTGACACGTCGTCCTGAAGCTGGCGAAGTTTCTCCAGCATGGCTTTCCTATCCTTTCCATCCTCTTCCCTGGCATCTCGCATTTCATTCATTTCCGTCGCTAGTGAGCGAAGAGCGTCAGCAGCCTCCGACGAGGCTCCCTTAAGCGCCATCTGAAGCCTGATCAGAAACGAACTGGTCCTGTGTGTGCGTTGATGTTCTTCGTATGCTGGATTGAGGGACTCACCAGAATCTCCAATTCGAAAGCCTTACGGATATTATCCAGCTTTGCTTTCATCGACGTAAATCTGTGCTTTATAGTAACATCCAACGCGATGTGCGCAATATTCCATTCTCGACATTGCATCACAAGGCTATAGACCTCCTTCAGACAGTCGTCAAATTCGCTCTTCAATTTTGCGTCTTCGAGCGCCTTCTTATTGTCTAGGTAAGTGAGAGAAAGCGCAATACAAGTATTCGTGAGTTCCTGGCAATCCTTGCGGAATCCGCGCACCTCTCGCACCTTGCTAACAATGTAGCCGAGTAATGCGATGAGGGACGTCACGTTATCGAGGACAGCAGCCTCAGTTGAAAGGATGTTCAGAGGAGAGATAGGCATTGTGTAATACAAGCGTTGATGGCTGAAAGACAGTGTTCGGTGGAAGGCTGTTCGGATTGGCAAAAGGTGAAGTAGGCTAGCCACAGGTCTGCTATATCATGGTGAGCTCCAGATAGACGAGGGAATTCCGTCTCATTCAATCAAGAGATGTTGACTTCGCCAAGGATGAGTGGCTGGCTCTGGCCAGCGAGCCTGGCTGTTATCTCACGAGTCAGCCGCCCCACAGATGATTTTGCACTAATACTATTTTAGATTAGACAAAACTTCTAAAACTTCTAAGCTAATTAAAACTTCTAGGGTCTTCTAGGCTAATTAGAGGCTAATTACTAATAACACGTAAAATTATCTATAGAGCGTCTAAGAAGAAATAGAGTAAGTTTATATATATCTTAGTTTATAAATCTATTAAATTATGTAATAGCACTATACTAGCATTAGTATTTATTAAAATGTTTAATGTAATTAAAAACAGAGGTATTTATTTCTATAATAGGCATATTTTAAGATGTATCTAACACTATTTAAAGAGTAAAGTACATTATTAAACGTGTTTTTAATGTGTTGTGTGTTTTAGCTATTAACTATTTATTTTTATTCTATTACTCCTGTTAACACTACGCGTTGTATCCCTCTATAACTGTAGGAGCTAAGGCACACATGCCTTTTCTATTACCTCCTGTAATTAAAACTTTAGTGTAAACAGGTGTAGGTGTGCAGTTACAGTTATTAGTACACCTATGCTTAACCTACTACATTATACAACCTAGTTAATAAAAAGGGTGTTAGAGATCTTATACTTTTAAAAAACTTCTAAGAACTTTTAAGAACTTCTAGAAACTTTTAAAAACTTCTAAAAACTTCTAAAGACTTTTAAAGACTTCTAGAAACTTTTAAAGTATAGTAAAAAAAAAAGTTAAAAAAAAAAAATAAGTGTTTAAAATAGCAAAGAAGTAGAAAAAAGTAAAGACATTAAAATACTTTAAATGTAATAAGTTAAAGCCTTATTTTTTTAAGCTTTTAGCTTTAGATTAATCTTATCTTATTTATAAAGTTAAAAGATCTTCCTAGCCTTATCTTAGTAGCTAAGGATGTTTATAATGTTAAATTCTAAAAAGACATTCTTTACACGTGTTTTACATAGATCCTTTGTAAAGAAAAAATAATAAGTGCTAATAATAGTAGCTTATTACTATGTAATAAGTAAGTTTATACTTTAAGGTAACTAATATTTAATTATAAAGATACTTTTTTAATTACTTAAACTAGTTTTAGTAAAAGCATAATCTTTTATACTTATTTAGTATTAACTGCTAAAATTACTATCTAGATTATTCTACTAAATAAGCTTAAAAACAAGCAGCTAGATAATATATAATAACTAAAAAGATCTAAGCTATGCATTATTAATGCGTAGAGTAAGGCTAGTTAGTAGGGACTATTTACTTAAATTATTAATAAGGAATTTACTTATCTACTTATAAGGCTAAAGCAGGCTTCTAGTAAAGCTTTTTAAGATATTTTAAAAAATTTAGAGTTATAGTCTTAGATTAAATTAGTAGCTATTAATAAATGTTATTTTATATTAAACTAGAAAAAGTTTTAACCTGCATTTATAATGCTAGGTTAACTATAAGTTATACTTTAAAAAAATGTTGTCTAGTTTACTTATTTTACTATGTTAGATAGTACTGCAGAGGATGCAGTCTTACGCTACGCTAGTTTCTGTCTGCTAGGCTGCTGTATGTACTAGACTAAGGTTATCTATATGTTAGTTAATTACTTTAATGTTGCTATTTTAGTAGTTTCTTTACTATAAGGTAAAGTTAACTTATAAAATAGTCTTTATTTCTTTTTAAAAAAAAGTGTTTTAAGTAGGTGTACTAATTTTAAAGAGATCCCTAAAATAGTTATATTTATTAATAAGCGTATATCTATTTAGTTAGCTGTAGTATAGTTTTACTTAATGCTTCTTTATTTAACAAAAGAACTAGAACTTTATAATTAGTATATAACTAATATTAATAATAGTCTACAGTGTGTGTATAATATAGTAAAGACGTTTACTATAAATGTGTAAAAATATAACTAAAATAAGTGTTATTTTAAGTTTAAAAAGCTAACATCTTATATCTAAATTATAGTAGCTACTACTTTACTAGGCATAAGTATTAATATCTTTAATGTTAACTATGTTATATGCTAGAAGTTCTTAATTATAAAGAGCCTTTTAAATCTCTAGCAGTATACTAGGTGTAGTAAACACGCACTTAGTTAATTAAGTACTATGTATATATTTCTACTATATTAGTTATTTAACTCTAAGGGTTTATATAAACTAGGTGTTTTACTACTTTACCCTAAATAAAATAAATAGCCTTTAAAAAAGAAAACAGCGCAGAATTAGTTACTAGTTAATAAAGTAAAGGTATATAGTTAATTAGCTTAAAGCTTTACACTAAGTAATACTAGTAATATAAATAGTGTTTGCTTATAAAAGTCTAGCTAAGAAACTGCTAGGTTAGACTAGCTTTCTGCTAAATATTAAACAAAGTCTAATATATAGGCCTAGGCAAACATAGGTAATTGCTAGATTAATATAGCTAATAGTTTATATTACTGTAAAAGTATTCTGTCTTAACTAGAAAAGTATAATATCCCTTTAAAAAATAAATCTGTTATTATACTAAGTTTCTACTATTTAAAGTGTAACATTACACTTTTTCTGCTAGCTACGCTACTGCTAGAGCCTCTAAGTGTAGTTTTTACTTTAAAAATAGGCATACTTTTTACTTTTATACTTATTACTCTTAATAAGTAGGCTAGAATTTAAGTAAAAAGATACTATAGTAACTCTACATGTTAAGCACCTCTGCCTTTATCTATGTATATAAGAACGTGCTTACAATAGAAGCTGTTATAATACTATAAAATTAAGTATACTATTAAAGTAGATTTTATAGTTAATAAAATGTGTAAGTATATTTTATTTATATCTAGTTAAAAATATTTTAAGACTAATACTAAAGCACTTTATAATATACTTTTAGGCATAGTAGCGTCTATAAACATATGTTTAGTCTATTATAAAAAAAAGCTATAACACTAGCATATAAAGTAAGATAAATCTAGTTAGGTCTATACTTTATTATCTATAAAGGATTTAAGTATAGATTATGTTACTTAAATCTATTAACAGGATAACGCTTTTGCTAAGAAGGTAGCACTGCAACATACACTGCAGGCCGCATCTGCATCCTCTAGTAGCCGCGTTGTCCTCTAGCTAGTTGTATTAGACAATACTTATATAACTATAAGTGCCTTTACCTTAACTGTACTAAAGATACTACCTTTAAATAATACATTATATAGTGTTGTTTATATAATTATATTAAGCTCTACTTAAAAAGTTACATATCTATAAAGTCTTATAAATAACTCCCTTTAGCGTGCAGTTTAGGTTCTTTAAGATGTTTAAAAGTAGGCTAATAGTAGGCTAGTAATGCTAACTGCTAGCACTAGTTAATCTAGTTAGCTAGAGCCCCTAGAAGATAAGAGTTTGCTAGTAATAGTACGCAATAATGTAAGTTATAGTAGGCAGAATAAGCTATATATACATAAAGTAGCTATAAACACTACACTATTGCAACCCTAAGCAGCATTAGTAGATGTAAATAAAAATATATTATGTTGCTAAAAAAAAGTCTTTAGTTTTTTACTAGTATTCTAAAGCAAAAAAGTATAATATGTAACTAATAAAAAAAAAAAGCTATTTAATGTGTTATAAATTACATTATTAGCCTAAGCATTTTTTTAAAAGCTTTAATTCTTTACTTTATGCCTTAGTTAACTTAAGAGTTTATAAGAGTTTTAGAGCACTTAAAATATTTAAAATATTTAAAGTAAAATTATAGTTTATAGTAATTTAATTAGTAAAAGTTAGCTAAAGTTTTAAAGTATTTTATAATTTAAAAAAGTACTATATATTATAGGGTTTTTATTAGTCTAGGAGTTTATAGAAGTTTTAGAAGTTAGTAAAAGTAAAAATATAGTAAAGTTACTATAGTAAAAGTATAACATATGTAACTTACTAGTAACTAATAAATAGTAATATAAATAACACTATGTTATAAGTTTAACTTTAACTATAATATTAACATGCCTTACTTTTAGTCTCTTTTAAAAGCTTTAAGTTTTATAACTTAAAATAAACATTAAGCTATAGTAGTAGCTACTGCTTTAAGCTATAAGATAACTTATAGTAGGCGCATTTTCTGCTTTTTATAAGCTATTAGTTGCTGTTGCTGTTTTTATAGCAGTTGTAGTTAAAAGTATAGGTTGCTAACATTAGTATAGCTGCTATTACTATTGCCCTTGCCCTTGCCCTTGCCCTTGCCTTTACCTCCCTCTTACCCTTCTTATCTGCTTCTGCCTCTCTCCTTCTTCTCCTCTACTACTACTACTACTACTACTACTACTACCTTTTTTTTTTTTTTTTTTCTTCTCTTCTTCTCTTCTTTCTGCTGCTCTCTAATAATAATAATAATAATAATAATAAGGTCTAGTAGCTGTTTAGGGACAACTCTCTCTCTTTAGCTGCTCCTCTCCTCCCTCCTCCTCCCCCTGCTGTAGTGGTGCCTGCGCCTGTGCCTAGCTTGCAAGGATACTACACCTAGAGTTAACAGGTAAACCCTATTTACTAGCTGTAGGCTTAGGCTAACTAGCCTACTAGTAAACATTATGTTTACTAGAAAAATAGTAAGTAGTAGTTTACTTTAAAGGCTACAAAGTTTACCTTATAAAGGAAGGTAGACATAGTTTATAGTTATGTAGGCTAAATTATAGAAACAGAGTTAGGTAAGTAGTTACTAAGTAATTAGTAGTGCGCTTACTATTAAAAAAAAAGTTAAAAGTACTAGCATTATTTTAATAACACTAAGTTATAGGTTAAGCATGCTAGATTAACTTACACTTATTATTATGCTAACTTTTATAAAGGTAGTTACACATTTTTAACCTACTATAAGAAAGACTTATAAGCAAAACTGCCTTTTAAACTTAGAAAAATAAGGTATTATCCTTTAGCACTAAAAGAGCTACTCTCTCCCCTACCTTCTAGGGGTGCTAGCAGCATTGCTGTGTAATAGGTATTAGGTGT